GATTTTTAAAAGTTCCCCAAGCAGTTCTTACACGTGGCTGACGTTAAGAACCGCTGCTCCAGGGGGCTGGATCAGTCTGAACCTGTTTTCATGGGTAAGCAGTCTGGGCTGTTGTCATCAACTTCTGCGATAAAGAGATAGGCAATGATTGCCCCAAGGCAGAGTTTTCATCCAGAGAATGAGTTGAGAAATTTGGCTCCTCTATTTTTTGGAAGAGTTTGTGAAGGACTGATGTCAGTTCTTTGGACATTTGGTAGAGTTCACCAGTGAAGCCATCTGGGCCTGGGCTTTCTGGGAAACTTTTATCACTAATTCAATCTCTCATTTTAGGTCTATTCAGATTTTCTATTTATTCTTGAGTCCGTGTTGGTAGTTTGTGTATTTCTAATCTGTTGGCATACAGTTGTCCGTGGTATTCCCTTACGATACTTTTTATTTCTGTAAGTTTGGTAGCAATGTCCCCTCTCCCATTCCTAATTTTAGTAATTTGAGTTTCCTCTTTTTTTTCTTTGTCAGTCTAGCTAAAAATTGGTCAGTTTGGTTGTTTTTGTTTAATGAACCAAGTTTTGTTGATTTTTCTCTATTTTTCTATTTTTTATTTCATTCTTCTCCCAACCTTTATTATTTCTTTCCTTCTTGTTTTGGTTTCATTTACTCTTCTTTTTCTAGTTTCTTAAGGTAGAAGGTTGGGATTTGAGATCTATTTTTTTAATTAATAAACTTTACTTTTTAGAGCAGTTTTAGGTTCACAACAGAATTGAGCAGAGAGTACAGAGAGTTCCTAATGACACCCTGTCCCCTACGCACAGCCTCCCCCACTATAGACGTCCGTCACCAGAGTGTTACATTTGTCACAATCCATAAACCTACATTGACACTTGGTTGTCACCCAAAGCCCATAGTTTACCTTAGAGTTTACTTTTGGTGTTTTGACAATGTATGCATCATTCAGGTATCACACAGAATAGTTTCACTACCCTGAAAATCCTTTGTGCTCTGCCTATTCATCCTCCCTCCCCCTAAGCGCTGGCAACCACTGATTTTTTTTTCTTTTCTTTTTTTTTTTTGAGGAAGATTAGCCCTGAGCTAACTTCTGCTACCAATCCTCGTCTTTTTGCTGAGGAAAATTGGCCCTGAGCTAACATCCATGCCCATCTTCCTCTACTTTATATGTGGGACGCCTACCACAGCATGGCGTTTGCCAAGCGGCGCCATGTCCGCACCCGGGATACGAACTGGTGAACCCCGGGCCACTGAGAAGCGGAACGTGCGAACATAACCACTGCACCACCAGGCTGGCCCTGATCTTTTTATTGTCTCCATAGTTTTGTCTTTTCCAGAATGTCATATAGTTAGAATCATACAGTATGTAGCATTTTCAGATTGGCTTCTTTCACTTAGTAATACGCATTTAGGTTTCCTCCATGTATTTTTCATGGTTTGAGAGCTAATGTTTTTAGCACTGAATACTACTCCATTGTCTGAACAACTTTTTTTTTTTCTTTCTGCTTTTTCTCCCCAAATCCATCCAGTACATAGTTGTATATTTTAGTTGTGGGTCCTTCTAGTTATGGCATGTGGGACGCCGCCTCAGTGTGGCCTGACGAGTGGTGCCATGTCCGCGCCCAGGATCCGAACCCGCAAAACCCTGGGCCGCCAAAGCAAAGAGCACAAACCACCACTCGGCCACAGGGCCAGCCCCTGAACTTCTTTTTTAATGTAAGTATTTACAGCGATAAATTTCTATCTGAGCATTGCTGTAATTTCTTGTCAAAGTTTAGGTATTTTGTGGGAAGTACTGTTTGTATAGGAAAGGCAGGATAAATGTGTACTAATTTTCATTTACTTACAAGTTTTGAAAACAGTGAGTAGATTCCCTAGTGTGCCAGTTATGAATTATTGCCTTTCAGTTCCAGATTTATCCTTTTTGTCAGCTCTGTGAAATGGATTTGGGCCCTTTTAATATTGATCCTTTACCAGCTGGTAGGTATTAAGCTTTGTCAGTAGAGGACACCAGAGAGATATTGCAGGACCAAGGGGTTTTGTTTCCTGTTTCCAGTGTTTCCGTTAGGCAGGCTTCTGTGCTGTGGGCAGCTTCTCCAGTGTCTGGCTCCTGCAATGCACATGGCTTCTTCAGCACCTGGCTTTTTCAGTGTATGGTGGCCAGGAGCCAGAAACTTCCCTGGGCACCCCCCGCTCAAGGGGTTTGTAGTAGAGAGCCTCTTGTGAGACACCTCCCCACGGATGAGTTTCCCCAGCACCTGACAAGCTAGATTTCTGGCGATTTCTGCCAGTGCAGCACCACAGCAGCTTCCCTGCCGTCTAGGGAGCCACAGGCATGTCCTCTCTAACAAGGTCTGCACCTCAGCTCTGGGGTGCTCTTCACTGGACACTTTACCTCAGCCCTAGAGGTAGTGGCTGCTCCTTATATTACTAATTCTGTATTCTTTTAGAATCTCAATCTCCTACTACTCCACGCCCTGTTATAGTCACTAAGTCTTTAAATAAATAAAACGTTCCCTGTTCAAATTACTGCATGGTTCCTCTCTCTTGGTCGGTTCCAGACTGATACATCTAGTAATTTCTAAAGGTAACAATAAGTTTGGTTGGTTTGATGAACTGATCTGTCAAAATTAAGGATTTATGTTCAATAAAGAACAAAATTAATAGTCTTAATGGAATAGAAGACAACTGAAATGTCTAAAACTGATACCTAAATGTCTAAAGTTGATACCTACAATATACAAGAAACCATCAGCAAGAAAAATAGACCAACCCCAATAGAAAAATGGGGCAATGGATGTGAATAAGCAATTTAAAAAAGAGGAAATTCAAAAGGTCATTAGGAAGTGTTCAGACTCATTAGTAATCAGAGAAATGCAAATTGAAACGATGAGATAGCACATCATACCTGTCAGTTTGGAAAAAGTTTGGAAGCTGGATAATGGTTTTATCTGATGTCAACTTTTTTTGTTGTTTTTTGAGGAAGATTAGCCCTGAGCTCACATCTGCTGCCAATCCTCCTCTTTTTGCTGAGGAAGACTGGCCCTGAGCTAACATCCATGTCCATCTTCCTCTACTTTATATGTGGGATGCCTGCCACAGCATGGCTTGATAAGCAGTGCATATGTCCACACCTGGGATCTGAACTTGTGACTCCCCGGCCACCCAAGCGGAACGTGTGAACTTAACCGGTGTGCCACCAGGCCAGCCCCTCAAGTCAACTTAAAAAGCAAATTTGCCTGTTATTTTATTCTCAAAATGAGTTTATTCCGGAATAGCCAAAAGAATTTGGGGTGTGCGTGCTATGGCAAACCATAGGTGAATCTAGAAAACAAAGGAGGGAGCTACATTTACAGAGAAAAGGGCGGAGTAGGGAGGGGCTTTTCTAAAGAAAAGTCCATTGGGGAAAAGCAGCAGTTGTGAGGGCGGCAACAGCTTCTCATTAGCTGAGCTGTGGCATTTCTCATTGGCTGGGCTGTTGCAGGGTGGGGAGAGAAATCTTCCTTCAGTAGTAAAGTAGTTTTACTTCCTGTCCAAGATGCAAGGTCTTTCTCTTCCTGGTTGGTATAGTTGACAAAGTATGACAGGGCATGAGAGCTCCCTCTACAGGCCTTTCTAACTCCAATTTAGTTAAGATTTCTTTTATTAATTTCCACACTCAAATATACCTTAGAGGTGTCTCTTCTCTCCATCATATTTTGCTGTCACTCTAGTGCAAGGCCATCATTATCATCTGCATGAGTGTAATACAAGAGTGTAACCAGTCTGTCCACTTCTATACTTGCTTCCCAACAATTCAGTCTTCCCCCGAAAGCAAGAGAAATTTTTAAGTGTAAATCAGATCCCCCTTCTTTGCTTAGAACCTTTCAATAACTTTCCATTGATCTTGGAATAAAATCCATTATCACGTGGATCCAGATCACCACGTGATCTGCGTGATCGCCTTACCTACCTCTCCGATTTCATGCTGTGCCACTCTCCTTGCTCACTATTCTCCAGCAAATATTTCAATACGTTGATCACTTCAAGCTCTTTCTTTCCTCATAGCCATTGCACATGCTATTCCCTCTGTGAATCTTCACATAGCTTGCTCCTTCTCATCTTTCATTCTACTCAGAGAAGCCTAGCCACCTTTTCTGGAGCAGATCCTAATAAGTCTCTGTCACTGTAACCCTGCTTATTTCTTTCATAACACTAACACAATTTGTAGTTATTTTACAAATTATTAATTTGTAAATATAAATTACTCTCTCTCTCCCCTATTAGACAATGCACTTCATGAGGGCAGGGATCATCTGTGTCTTTTTCACCATTTACCTCCAGCACTTAAAGCAATGCCTAAGACAGAAGATGCATTAAAACATATGTGAATGAATGAACCTATTTCCTGTTCTTGGGGAAGCCTGGACCAGTGAATTACTTTACAAACGCAGATGCTTCACACTGAAATGGTGTCTTCTATTTAGTAATGCAACAACAAAAACAACAAAACAAAAACTCCACACATTCGTTTAAAATTTTGTACTTTAAAGTTTATCAGCTCCTCCAAAAGTCCCCCTTCCTGTTCAGTGTCCATCTGTGTTTGTTTTATAGTCATCTGCCCATTCCTGTCCTTTTCTAATATACGGCTTATCGTTTTCTAATTGATTTGTAAGAGATCTTTGTATATTAGCCCTTTATCGTTTGTTTTGTAGACGTTTTTTCCCAGGTTGACTTTTGACTACCTACTTGGGTTTTTTGTTTGTTTTAATCCCACGCCTGAACTACTCTAGGAGGGTGACGATGTCAGAAGACCAGGCGAAGTTGGTTGGGTGGCAGGGCAAAAGGGCAAGGTAGCAGGAAAGCACAGTGACCCTCAAAAAGGAAAACAATGATTACGCAAGTCCCTTCCCGCCCCCCTCCCTCGCGGTCCTTGCCACCTCCAGCCACCAGTCTCCTCCTTCAGCGCGGCGCCCGGCGCGCCTGTCTGACGTCACGCACGCACTGCTCTGTTGACTCAGGCCGCGCAAGCTCCGTGGCCCGTCTACCGGGCGCGCAATTGCGAATATTGTCGCCGCGCCGGAAGTCCAGAGCACGTGACCGGGTGACAGCGTTCGCTCGGCTGCAGGGCTCGCTTAAGGTGTTGCGGCACGGGATGGCGGAGGCGCCTCCTGTCTCAGGTACTGCCCTGGCCCTCGCGGGACTGGGCCCCCCTCAGAGAGCGGAAATGGGGTCCGTGACGAGTCCTAGGGCTCCAGCCATTCATATCGCGAGAGCGGCGCGCTCTAGGGTTGGGGATAGTGGCTCGGAAGGGCCACGCCGCGCGCGTCGTGCGTACCGAGATCGCGCCCATCCTCGACTGGGTCGTGAAGCCCGGCGGCTGGGTTTCTAAGCAGAGCGGGTTTGCCCTGGCGCCCAGAGAGTCGATGTGGGTGTCCCGGCCGTCCTGGGGCAGCGGCCTCCCTGATGTGGGACAGGCGGGCGTCGGCCCGGTTGCCGCCCGGGACGGTGGCGGGTTCCCGACGCGTGGCGGCCGTGCGCGCTGTGCTGGACGTGTATGCGTGCGTCTCGGGGCGGCGGCGCGGGCGCTTGGTTTCCAGCCTCAGCCTGCCATGAGGTCGCAGTGTGACTGGCTCTCGTTTTCTCATGTCAGTTAGGAGTAGATAAATTAATTCCCGCAAAGGCTCCCGTTCTGGGCTGTACCTGGTCCGTGATTGTTAGCTCGCTCCCCTCCCGGAGTTGCCTGTGTGTAGAGACAGCCTCATTTGGCTGCTAATGTAACATTCATGTCCTTTTCCTTCAGGGTGCACCTTACATCGTTTTTCCAAACTTTATGGACAGCGACCGAAAAGGAACATTTTATATAGCGATCTCAGTGCACACATACATACATATAAAAGCGAACCAAAAGTTTCAGGAAGCCATGGTTTTCCTATCTGCGAAACACTCTATTTTCTATTTCGTTTGAAAAAATATTTGTCACGACCCACTACATTGGTTTGACTTCAAGGCCCTCTCTTTCTGAGAAACAGGTCAGCAATTTGCAGCATGAGGTTTGTAAACAGTCATTGGTTTGAGTCTTAGTTCTGCTACCTACCAGCTATTGGAGCGCCAAGACGAGTATATAAGTATTTGTGTACTGGGTGGCAGGTAAAATGTTTTTATTACTGAGACTTTTGGTCAAAAAGTTGGAAAACACACCACATTGGTGTACTCTGGTCCTGATTTAGGTATTAAGTCATGTTGGAGGGTGGGAACCTTTTGAGGCTGGTGTTTTGTTATTCTCCCACCCATTCTTTTCCTAGGTCCACTAAATGGGATCCATTGGGCTCCCCATCCTCAGGCTCACTTCTGGCCCATTTCTACACCCTTCAGTTGGGTCGGGCTAGTTGTGAGTCATGTTTTGGCCTCTGGTGGTGTTCCCCAGGTTATAACCTCCTCCCCATTTACTGAGGCAAAGTCCTCTAGTCCCGTGACCTGCCCACTCCCTCTCATGTGCCTTAGTTTGCTTTTGCCTTGGTTCCTATTCCATTTTCTTACTCCAGCATCCTCTCTAGTCCACACCTCCATCCCTACTCAAGGTTTAGTTCTCTTGCCTGCTCCTGTCCTCAAACACAGCTCAGTCCAGGATTGTCTTTCTGCCTATGGGCAGACTCTCCAATGCCAGCTTTGCCTCTGGATTTTATAATCTGCAGTTGGATTTCCCCTTACTCTGCTCCACCCACCTGTTGGACACCTACCGCACTGCTGTGTTACCTTGGATCCAGGGTACCACTTGTGCTATAGCCAAGCCTTGGTTATAAGACATCCTATTTACTCAGTAACTTACAGCTACTTAAAATAGTGGGGAAAAAAAGGTGTCTGAACTCCAGTTTCCTGCCTCGTGTGCTCTTTTTCCCTTCCTCATGTCCCTTGAGGGTCTTTCTGAGGGCTTAGCCTACCTCATGTCTAGTGGAACATACACTGTATATGAATATGTGCTGCCTATCTGGACTCTAGATGCATCAACTCCTTACTGCTTAACATGAAACACCCTCTTCTCATCCTTTACCAGGTCATTTTGAACATCTTTACTGACCTTTTTCCTAGCCCTGTCTCCAATCTTGCTTCTTCAAGCAGGAGAGGACTACACAACACTCATTTGGTTTAATCTGCCCATTCCCACCCTTAAGTTATCTCTTATGTTTCTGGAACACCTTCTCTGCCATCTTTTGAATTTGTGTAATCCTCTTGCCATTTTGTAAGGCCATCCACCCCATCCCCAGAATTCTGCCTATGTGAAAGCTTTCAGGACAAATCCTGGATTGAGTGAGAGGTTACCCTATGATCTTTATGATCTTGTTCAGTTCTTTTTTTTTGTTTGCTGAGAAAGATTCACCTTGAGCTAGTATCTGTTTCCAGTCTTCCTCTTTTTGCTTGAGGAAGATTCATCCTGAGCTAACATCTGTGGCCAGTCTTCCTCCATTTTGTATGTGAGTTGCCACCACAGTGTGGCTGATGAGTGATGTAAATCCACTCCTGGGATCCAAACCTGCAAACCTGGGTTGTCAAAGTGGAGCACGCCAAACTTAACCACTACACTACGGGGCTGGTCCTTGTTCAGTTCTTAAGTATATGTTTCTCTGGTACCCACTGCCCAACCTCTGACAGTGCAGCATGGTGTAAGAGCGTGTTCTCTTGGGCCACATTGCCTGGGGTGGAATCCTGAATCTGCTTTGGAATACCCCTGTGGCTTTGGGCAAGCTACTTACTCTCTCCATGTCTCAGTTTTCTCATCGGGAATGTAAGGATTAAATGAGTTAACACGTGCAAAGTGTTTAGAATAGTGCCTGGCACATGTTCAGCACCTAATAAATGTTAGGGCTTATTATTAAACCTGAAACCCACACACTCTGCACTGCACCCATCTGTGGTTGGGTCTGCGTGTTTCAGATAGTCTGTAGTCCTAACAGCAGTAATAGAGCACCATTTTAACCACTTTCTATGTGTTAGTAACTTGCTGTACTCTTCCTGGCAGCTCTTGGATGTAGGGATTGTTACCATCTCCATTATATATAAGGAAACTGGGACTCAGTAACTTGCATAAAGACACAATAAGTGATAGACAGGGAATTAAGCCCGTGTCTTCCACACCCTACTGATTCACAGTATGTTCTATTTGCTACACCTACTTCTGACTTTGCTACTAACTAGTTTTGTGTTCTTAGGCAAATCCTTTCATCTTTGTGTTCCGGGGACTGAGTTGACTATAGAAAGAAGCATCTGCGGGGGAAAAAATGAGTGGATTGAAGGGGCATATGCTTATTAATTTTTGAGACTCTGTGATTCTGGACCATATTATAGAGTTATGTGTGGAAAAAACTAAAATATATTCCTGGGGGAGGAGATGGGAACTAATGTACTCACTATGCTAAGTACTAGATGAAATCTTATTTAAATCTCACAGTAATCCTTTGGAATAGTATTATCTGTCGTGGATGAGGAAACTAAGGCTAAAAAGCAATCAAGGGCTGTTGCTAGCTCATACCAGAAGTTGGAAGGCCAGATTTTAAACTGATTTTGGCTGTCTCCAAATCCTGTTTACTTGATATTACACAATGCTACCTTAGAGTTTTGAAAGACCTCATAGAACCTGCTGATTGATGTCCCACCCCTGAACAAGGTCCACAAGCACCTTGAACCCGTCACTTTCATGGAAACATAGGCCTTACTAAGAGTCTGCTTTATACAAAGTCCTTAGGAAAATGACTTTTAGATAGGGCTGAGAGTCTTCTGGGCTTCATGGGTGACTAATTTCTTTCTTTACTGGCATGTCTATTTCTTATGTCCTAGGTACTTTTAAATTCAATACGGATGCTGCTGAGTTCATTCCTCAGGAGAGAAAAAATTCCGGTCTAAATTGTGGGAGTCAAAGGAGACTAGATTCTAACAGGATTGGTAGAAGAAATTACAGTTCACCACCTCCCTGTCAGCTTTCCAGGCAGGTCCCTTATGATGACATCTTGGCTGTTCACCAGCACAGTTATCACCCTTCAGGAAGCAAACCTAAGAGTCAACAGACTGCTTTCCAAACCTCTGCTTCTAATAAATCATTCAAGAGCCATGGCCTTCAGAATCAACCTTGGCAGAAATTGAAGAGTGAAAAGCAGCATGTCAGAGCCAAGAGAACACAAAGTCTCACTGACCAGACCTCAGATGTGGCTGGCGTAGAAAGTGTGGCCCGGTCAGAGAGTGGGACAGACCCCAGAGAGCACAGCCCTTCTGAGAGCGAGAAGGAAATTGTCGGCGCAGATCCCAGGGGAGCAAAACCCAAAAAAGCAACCCATTTTGTGTACGGCCATGGTAGAGGACCAAAAGTGAAGGGGAAACTCAAAAGTGAGTGGGGTAACAGAATGACTCCAAAACCAGAGGATGCCGGACCTGAGAACGCCAAACCCCTGGGGATCATCCACCCTGACTCTTCAGATGCATCTGTTAGAAAAGGAGTATTAGACGGGTCTGGGGCCAGACGCAATGAGCAGAGAAGATACCCACAGAAAGGGCCTCCTTGGGAAGTGGAAGGGGCCAGGCCACGACCAGGCAGGAATCCACCAAAACAGGATAGCCAGCGACATACAAATGCAGGACCCAGAAACAGCATGGCCCCCATTCCAAAGGATAATGTTAATGAAAGACCACCAAAATCTGCCTGTGACAGTGGGAACTTGGCAGTCGTCAAGTCGTCCAGAAGGGTTGGTCCAGAGAAATGCACCGTGAGGAGGCAGGATCCTCAAGTAGCATCTTTCCCCCGAGGCAAACAGAACCACGTCCTAAAGAACATGGAAACACACACAGGTAAATCTCCTAGATGGGTGGAAATGTTTTTCTTTGGGTTTTTGATTTTAATTTTTGAGTAGGTAATATATTTACACAACTTAGAAACCCAAAAATATAAAAAAGTTCAGAGCGAACAGTCTCTTTCTATCCTTGTTCATCGACTGCCTGGGTCCTGCCACCACCTGTTCCCCTCCCCAGTCGGTAAACGCTTACTTAGTTTTATGTATCATAAGCTAATACAAAGACAGAATTTTTCTCTTAACAAATGAGGAATTTAGTAAGTGTTTGTAAAAATGCAGATATGGGTTGTATAGATGTTTGGTTACAGTTTTTTTTTGAATTGTGAAAGTAGGGGATGGTAATGTCTCCACTGCCCCTCCTGGTACCAGCCCACATCATCTCTTGTCTGCTCATCTGCAAGAGTTCCTAACGTCTCCAGTTTCTCTCAGTTCATCTCTTGCACCAGCATCAGAGAGCGATCTTTCTAAAACACATACGGAACTGTGTCACTCCCCTGCTTAATTCCACTCACTTTTTCTCATCACCCACGGATTCTGGCTTCTGCCTTACTCAACAACCTCACGTGCTGCTGCCTCGGACCCCACTACATTTTATTCCCTGGACTCTATACCGTTTTGTCTTTCCATGCTGTCGCTTCTGTGGCTCCCTCTGTCTAGAATGTCTACCACTTAGCTTTCTGGTAAATTCTTACTCATTTTTCAAAAGCTAGTTTAGCCGCATATCCAAGAAACCTTTTCTCACCTCTTGTGGGTAGCACTGATCTTTTCCAGCCCTGTGATATATCTTTCCCTTACATACACGTGCTTCTATTATAGCATCTACCCATGGAAACCGTCATTTGTTATGGGTCAGCTCCCTCTGCTAATCTGTAAGCTCCTTGAAAGCAGAGACGATATGTTTCTTTTCATTTTTGTATCCCTATTGCCTAACACAGCTTGTAGGACATCGTAGGTACTCAGCTCTGACTGATAGAAAGTTCTTCCCTACATTGAACTGGAAACTTCTTTCCTATAAATACTTTCTGTCCCCTGGTTCAAGTTCTGTCCTCTGGAGCAACACGCAACCGGTCTGTCTCCTCACAGTTTCCCTCCCCATCATTGCACATCAGCTTTTTGCAGTATTTGAAGCCACTTCTCGTTTTGCCCTGAGTATGTATTTCATCCAGCTAAGCAGCTTCAATGCACTAGCTCTTCCTCATGGACCTTCACCGTTCTGGTCTCCCTCCAGTGAATGTGATCATGAAGCCACCACCTGCCTGGGCCTGTTTTTGCGTTGGCCCATGGTTCTTCTAGTTCTCATTTGCTTCACCTTTTTCTTGGGACCTCAACTTGAGTGTGAACCCAGGCAGTGTTTTCCAGAGTTGTTTTTGAATTCTTAAGGCTGGTTAATAGTTTCCTATTGTCTCATAACAAATTACCACAATTATAGTGGTGGCTTAAGATAACACAAATTTATTATATCACAGTTTCTGTGTGTCAGGAGTCTGGGTACAGATTAGCTGAGTTCTCCACTCAGGGTCTCACAGGACTGAAATGTGGCCAGGGGTGCAATCTCGTCGGAGGCATGGGGTCCTCTTTCATGCTCACTGGTTGTTCGTAGGATTTAGTTCCTTATGGTGTAGGACTGAGGTCCTCATTTTCTTGCTGGCTCTCAGCTGGGGGTCACTCTCAGCTGCTCCAGGCCTCCTGTAATTCCCCACCACACGGCCGTCTCCACAGCGTGGCGGTTTGCTTCTTCAAGGCCTACAGGAAAGCATCTGCTGCAGATTCTTCAGATCTCTCTGACTTCTCTCTCTCATTTCTAGAGACTTTTAAAAGAGCTCACCTGATTAGATCGGGCCTAGCCATACTCAAGGGGAGGAGATTATGTAGGGTGTGCCTACCAGGGGGTGGGCATCTTGGAGGCCATCTTAGAGTTCTGCCTAACGAATCTCTCTTGGCCTCACTTCCCCACATGTTCTTGAGAACACTTTATTCATACTTATTGAGTAAGTACTATGTGCCAATCACTGTTCTAGGTACTGGGAATAACAGGGGCGCTAGTTTAGATAGGTTGGTCTCTGATGAGAAGACGTGTGAACAGAGACTAGAAGGAAGTGCAGAAGTGTACCATGTGGCTCTCTGGGGAAGAGCATTCCAGACAGAAGGAGAAGCAAGTTTAGATTGGGGTCAGAGGGGGGCTTTGTGAGCAAAGAAGAAGCCGGTGGGAGAGGAGGTCAGAGAGGTTGCAGGGGCTAGATCATGTGAGCCCTTAGATTTGGTTCTGAGCAAGGTGAGAAGCAGCTGGAAGGTTTTGGGAAAAGGGATGGCATGATCTTACTAGCATTCTAAAACACCCAGCCTGCTGCGTGGAGAAGAGGCCCTAAGGAAGGAAGGGGCAAGTTAGGAAGCTGTTGGAGTACTTCAGGTCGTTGATGATGGACACCTGGACTGGGTGGTAGTGCTGGGACAGGTGAGACTCAGTTAGACTTTGGATGTATTGGGAAGGTAAAACGGACAGGATTTGCAGATAGACGGGAGGTTGAATGCAAGAGAATGAGAGGAGTTGGGGAGGAAGCCGGGGTGTTGTGCCTGAAGACCACTCCGTATGTGTGGAAGAATAGAATTGTCATATACTGAAGTGGTAAAGCCTGGGAGGGGAAAGGGTGTTGTTTGTTCTTAAAATTTTCTAGTTTGGAATAATTTTAGATTTATAGAAAAGTTGCAAAGATAGTACAGAGAATTCCCATATATCCTTCACCTGGCTTCCTCTAATGTTAACATCTTTCATAACTAACCCTGGTCCTTTGTCAAAACTGAGAAATTAACACTGGTACAATAGTACTAACTGCAGACTTTATTTGGATTTCACCAGTTTTTCCACTAACGTCCTTTTTCTGTTCCAGGGTACCACGTTGCATTTAGTCATCACATCTCCTTAGTCTCTGATCGGTGACTGTTTCTTAGTCTTTCCTTGTTGGAAAGGTGTTTTTGCATATGTTTTCCTTTGTCCACTCCCTGTTTAGGGAAGATAAAGAATTTGGTTAAATTTGTTAAATTTGAGTTGCCTCTTACACTTCCAAATGGGCATGTTAAGTAGGGCGTTGGATATCAAATTCAGGGAAGAGATCTGGCCTGGAGACTTAAATTTGGGAGTTGTCTGTATGGAGATGGTGTTTAGTGGACTAGAGGAGGTCACCTAAGGTGGGAGCGTAGAGAAGAAGGTTTTGAGGATGGAGCCTTCCTATACCTCAAGGTATCAAGATTGGAAGACAGGGATCCAGCAAAGGAAATGGAGAATGAGTAGCAATTGAACTAGGAAGAGAAACATGTTCTAAATGCCAAATAAAAACAAGAATTCAAGGGGGAGGGAGTGACCAAATGCTACCAATAAGTCCAGAAAGATAAGAAGCACATATTGCTATTGGATTTGGCAGTGTGAAGGTTGTTGGTCTTGATAAGGGCAGTTTTGGTGGAGTGCTAGAGATGACAGCTTGACTGGAATGGAAAGAGAGGATCGCCTCAAATATGTCGCCCTGGCTGTTTGAGAGTGGCCTCTGCTTACTCTCATTCTGTACTGAGAGCGTCTAGCACTGCCCTGTTCTCCCAGACTTTCTGGACCCCTCGTTCTGTGGTGGTAACGTCCCGTCTATCCTTAAGCTGTTTCTGCTTTGCTCCTGCTCTTAATTGACCTATGGCCTTCTCTCAGTTCACCACTTTCCTCACTGCCTCCCACAGCCTGCTCTTTCCCTTATCCTCCTCACCTCCATTTCTGGAAGATGGGACGAGCACACTCCTTCCACAGTGTCGTTCTTAAACCATTGTCCTTCTACCTTTGTATCAAAATCCCTGCTCCTTTGAAGCTAATGCTCATCACCTTCCATGTCTCCTCATCTTTGTCATCTGTTAGCCTGCAAATCTCCCGGCCGTCGTTTATTAATGCATCGAGCCCGTATCTTTCCTCTACCCCAGTGGTTCTCGAAGTGTAGTCCCAGACCAGCAGCCATCAGCGACACCTGGAAACTTGTTAGAAATGCATATTCCTGCTCCTCACCTCAGACTTACTAAACAAATTCTTGGAGACTTACTAAACAAATTCTTGGAGTGGGGCCCAGCAATCTTATCTTTTAACAAGCCTCCAGGTGATTCTAATGCATGCTCAAGTTTGAGAACTGGTTTACCTTCAGTCCTACTGGTTTACCTTCAGTCCTGCTGTTCTTCTGGTGACGTTAGTGATCATATGGATTGTGCCATCCTCCGGTTCTTTGATCTTGTCAACTGCAGTGACCTTCACGTTCATTCCGCCTCCACACCCACTACCAGGGAAGCAGCCCTGGGGATGCCCCATATCTGAAGCCTTAAACTCTTAGGTTCCACTTTCTGACCATAACCTGTCCTCCTGGCTCTCTCGGTCTCTTCCACCCGCTACCGGCTTTGCCAGCCTCCTGCCCGCCTTCCTTCCCTCTTTAGGCTGGGTCTTATCGTAGGTCGTTTGAAGTATCATCCTTTCGCCAAGCCGTTGGCAGAGTCCCAGCCCTGGGTCCGTGCTGCAGTCTACCTTTTCGACTCCAGGAAATCACATCACAGGACAGATTTGGTGCTGCAGCCATCCACCTTCTCCGGGAAGCCTTCCTGATCTCCCTGTTTAGAGCCATAATTCTTCCCCACTGCCTGCGTTCCCCACCCTCTTGTCCGGGTGCTTTTTCCTCCATCTCTGTCTCCACAGCACTGTTTGATGCTACATATTTTCATTATGTATTTGTTTATTGTCTCCCTTCCCCCACTAGATAATAAGCTTCGTCAGGGCAAAGGCTTTTTGTCTGTTTTTTCGCTGTACATCTTTAGTGTCTAACGAATGCCTGGCACACGTTGATTCTCAGTGAATGTTTTGAGTAGTGTCTCCAACCTCAGTCCTTCCCATTTTCCTCTAAGATACTCCCAACTTTGCCACGCTTATTCAGTCCTTCCTAACACTCTTCTCCCTCTCTGCAGACCTCCTTGCCTCCCAGTTCACTGAGAAAGGGGAGATATCAGGCATAATTTTCTCAGCTTTTTGCTCCCTTTATACAAACTCATAGATATCTGCGCCCATCCTTCCTTTTCTTTCATTCTCAGATGTCCTTTATTTCTTTCTGTCGACCTTTCATATCTACTAGTCCAAGTTTTCAGCCTCAGTAAAGATCTTCCCAAATCTGTCCTACCCTCCAAGAAAAAAACTTCCCTTGTGACGTGGACTTCCAGTCTTTCCTTTCCTTCCATTCCAGTCTAATCAAGAGTCATCCACTCTGTTTCCTTTTCCTTATTTTTTTTAATATTTAAAGGAAAATTTTATGGGGGGAAAAAAGTTTATTTGTTTCTTAGTAATGGCATCATTGTGGGAAGAACAAAAGAGGGTACGGGGAATCATATCCCTTTGTGGGGAGGCTGAGCTTCCCAGAATCCCTTGTCCCTCCCAGTTTGGGTATGCGGGTGGGGTTGGGGGGTGAAAGGGGAGAAGCAGGGTGTGACTGATAACCTAATGAGTAGACAGAAGGCCTTGGGAATGATATCCTGGGCCTGTGGGAGGGAGGGAGGCTGTGGGCCCTGCCCCACATAAAGACGGGGGCTCCTTGGCACCCAGGCCTGGCCTCTAGTCCTTTTCCTTCCTTTTCTTGGTCTTGGCTTTGATCTTGGGGGTCCAGGGTTTGGTCACACAGATGGTCTCCTGGCACTGAGCCTGGTACGGCATCTTCCTCAGCATGCCCGTGCCCGCATCACTTGCCCCCCGGCCTTTCCCCTGTTTTGACTCACTTCTCTGTCTGCTCTCATCATCACCACCTGACTCAGAAAGCTACTGGTAAGGGCGCGGATGGCTTCTTATTTGCCACATCCAGTGGGCAGATGCATTTCAGCCTTTCTTCTCCGGGACTTTCCTCTGAGTTTGACACAAAGAGGGAGTCTTTTTTGGGATTACCTTCCTTGACCTCACACTCCTCTAGGCCTCCTTGTTCTCCGTGACTGTTCCAGCTTCTGTCCTTCGAGTGATTTGTGGGTTATTCAAAGTTGGCAGCTGTTGTCACATCACTGTGTGTATGTGCATCCTAGTGGTCAAATTTCACTGTGACTGGATTTAGAAATCTCACACATAAAACAATAATTATTTATTAACAAGCCATAAACTTAATGGATAAGAGAAACTGAAAAGTAAAAAGACAATCTTCAGGGTTAAAATTAGAAGAGTTGATTGTAGTTTTCTCAGTGTGTTCTGTATTCACTTACTTCTCTGTGTCCTCTCCTAACTCAGTTCTATTCTGGAATGATCAATAGGCATTTTCTATCACATTCTCTCCAAGTGTAATTCTCACAGACTATTCCTCTGTCGCAGTCAGCCTCTCGTATATAGATGGATCAAACTTAACCTTGCTCTCTAATGAGCTCTCTCTTACCTAACTTTCCCCTCCAGGATCTTCCACATGTCGCATGCTAACTGGTAGGAAATATAATTCACTTTGTTATTCAGAGATGTTAACCTCTGCAGGGTAGGACATCCCTATTTTTAGGAAGGAATCTAAGTCTGGTTCCTCGGTTTTTGTAATAGAATTCAGTTGTATGATGTGTTCATCTGTTATCTAAAGCAGGTGGATTTTCTTTAATCAGCCGCACGAAGTATCTTTATTCTAGGCTTTCCCCAGAGGGAAAGAGCTATCACATAAACTTTACTGAACCTGAAACTTTCCAGGGAGGGAGGGTATAGCACAGACTAGATGACATTTATTCCTTCATCCATCCATTCATTCAGTAAATCTTTTTTTTTTTTTAAAGATTTTATTTTTCTTTTTTTCTCCCCAAAGCCCCCCGGTACATAGTTGTGTGTTTTAGTTGTGTGTCCTTCTAGTTTTGGCATGTGGGATGCCGCCTCAGCGTGGCCTGATGAGTGGTGCCATGTCCGCGCCCAGGATTCAATCCGGCGAAACCCCAGGCTGCTGAAGCAGAGAACTCGAACTTAACCACTGGGCCACGGGGCCGGCCCCCCTTTTTTTTTTAAACCAAGAGAATTTAATGGATCTCATTCAGTAAATCTTTATTGAGCACCTGGTCTATGCCAGGCACTGGGAATGCTGCAGTGGGCAGGGCAGACAAGGCCTGGCCCTGCCCCACAGAGCTTACAGTCTCAGGGTGTTCTGTATTTCTTTTTTTTCCTTTTCTTTTCTTTTTTGTGAGGAAGATTGGCCCTGAGCTAACTTCTGTTGCCGGGCTTCCTTCTTTTGCTTGAGGAAGATTGTCGCTGAGCTAACGTCTGTGCCAGTCCTCCTCTATTTTATGTGGGATACTGCCACAGCATGGCTTGATGAGCAGTGGCAGGTCTGCACCCTGGATCCAAACCTGTGAACCCTCGGCCGCTGAAGCAGAGCATGCAAACTTAACCACTATGCCTCCAGGCTGGCCCCCTGTTCCGTATTTCTTTTGACATGAAATTAGACATTCCGTATTTCTTTTGACATGAAATTAGACAAACAGAAAGTTAGCTTGGGAGAGCTGGAATTATGGAATAATTAAAATGTGAGCTTTCGAGTCAGATAGCAATGAGTTTGAATTTTGGCTTTTTAATTTCTGACTGTGACTTTGGGTAAGTGAGTTAACCACTTTGAACCTCATTTCTTCATTATAAAATGGTACCTCTATTAATGCCTTATTCAGAGAATTAAATAATACATAGGAAGTGCTTTAGCACAGTACTTGGCATAGTGTATTTAGGGTTAGTTATTTTTTTCTTAGAACTTGTTTGGACCTGAAAACAAATAAAATAATATTGTTAAATAAATGCTAATAGTATGACTTAAAAAAAATGTGTATATATACTCAGCTCTGAGAGCACCTGGCTGTACTTGGGATCTAGAAAGACTGCTAAGATCATGTTTGAGGAAAAGTCTGGAAGCAGGTGAAGGTATCCAGGGACACGTCTGGGAGGATTCTTATGATGCTGTTTGCTGGTCTCTCACACAATGCTGAGCTTCTGGAGCCAGGGGCTGTGTCTCCATTGGTCTGGAAGCCCTCTGTGGGGCTGTGGTAGGCCCCAAGCATATCTTTATGAGTGAATCAGCTAAAGACTTTCAGGGCAACTGCTAGAACCATCTCACCACCATGGACGGTTGGACCTGTCCAGGCTGAGGTTTCTTGCAGCAGGCCCCTGCAGCTTCACAAGCCCTTCCCTAGCCCGAATCCGTGAGTCTGGTGGATGCAGAGCCTCCCAGATTCGGAGAGGGCAAGGTAAGGCGCTGCTGTGCGTTGCTCCTGTGGATGCTCAGACTGTGTTAGGAGGGGCATTTGGCTACTCTGGTCGGTTTCTGAGCAGTTTCTTGGGCATGTTTCCTCAATTGTGGAAACCCCACCTGAACATCTACTGCACGAGTCCTCTCCCTCAGCGTATTCCTGCCCCTTCTTGGCCTCAATCTCTGAACCTTACTCAGAATCAGACATCCCTTAAAACCTCTGTGTTTGAATTCTTCTCTCAAATGCCTTGCTGAGCCTTGGTTGGCTAAAGTAAGGAATGTTTTTCTGTTGTTTGAGTTTATCTGTTTTATTTTTCGCTCAGGTTCTCTTATTGAACAGCTAACTACAGAAAAATATGAGTGCATGGTGTGCTGCGAACTGGTTCGCGTCGCGGCCCCGGTGTGGAGCTGTCAGAGCTGCTATCATGTGTTCCATTTGAACTGCATAAAGAAGTGGGCAAGGTCTCCGGCATCGCAGGCAGGTCAGTCGTTTCTCTCTTCTGGGTAGTTGTTCTCGCCCATTTGATATGTGCAGTTTTTAAACTTAGCTTTAAAAGTACTATTTAATTCCTCTTGAATATTTCATCTGCAGGGAGAGTCTGTTGCCTTGATCACGTTTCAGATGACCATCATTAAACTATAAATCTCAAACCAGCTAAACACAACAATATTAAAATATATTTAGGGTACAACAAAATCTGTCACTTTTACTGAAAATGGTAGTTTTTATCCAAGTGGCAACTATAGAAAACATTTCTTGTATAATTTGCTTTAGAAAATTTATAGAAAGCAATTGTTTAGTTTGCCCTTAGGATGTTGCCTTTGGCAGATCTTCTCCATAGTATTTTATGGGCTTTTCCCAAAGTATATTAGTGTTTATGCATAATGCAAATGCTATTAATAATACACTCGCTGAACTGTGGCTCTTCTAGTTTAAGACATCTGGGTTTTCCTACGTGTACTCAAATATTTTATCCTATTTTTTTTTAAGCCAAGATTCAGATAATGTTTACCTTGATATTAGAAATAACAGAACATTCTCACCACAAAATGAAGTGGTAATTCTATGAAGTGATGAAGGCATTAGCTAACACTATGGTGGTAATCCTATAGGAGTATGTAAATGTATCAAGTCAACACGTTATACACCTTAAACTTAAGCTGTGTTATATATCAATTATATCTCAATTAAATAAAGTAGAACAAAATGGATGCCCTCTTGATTCACTATATCTGAAGTCCTTATAAATATAAGCCCAAATGCAGTATTTAAACAAAGCATTCAGTATTGTGAATTTGTTTCTTCACTGTCTGATTTCCTTAACATGGGCATTATTACCACTGTTTCAATATTATGGCTTCCTATAGATTTAAATTCTTAAAAGTTACCTGTGCTTCTGTAAGGAAATTATTTTGGTCTCCTCTCATTTTTCTTGACAGACGGCCAGAGTGGTTGGAGGTGCCCTGCCTGTCAGAACGTTTCTGCACATGTTCCTAATACCTACACGTGTTTCTGTGGTGAGTTTTTTGCGTACACTGGAGTCTCTTCCGCTTTGTGCGTTGTTCCCAGCCCAGGAGAGGTGGTGTGCTGGCATGTTGCAGAAGTTACTGATAGACTTCAACTGCAAGACACTGTGTGCGTGTGGTCCATCCACAGCCAGGCCCCTGGGCTCTTGGCATTGCTGTTCTGGGGGTGGCCTTCCCATCACGCCCACCAAGCTCATGCTGCTTCTGAGCTGTGGTGCTGGTGTCCTGGCAGAGGCGGGTGTGGACATGGCTTCTTCTCACCCCTGACTGTAACAGCTTTGATTTTCTAGGTCTGAGCAGCCTGACTAAGGAGTAGTGTTGAAGTGTACTTTATTTTAATCCAAGATATCAGTCGCTGGTCTTTCTACCAAAGAGAGGTTTTCTATAAACCAGCGTTACAAACTCTATCCTTGTGCCCTCCCTCTTTATGGAATATTTCTTCCTGTTTTCAATAGTTCGGTTCCTCTATGTGTTAGGAAAAAAACTTCCTGTGATCCAGATCTTCATTCCTGCTGCTAGCCTATTTCCTGCACATCCTTTTTTTCCTGCCTTTCCTGCCTGTCTTTTAATGGCTAACTTTCACCATCTGATGGTTGATTTTTCAGATTTTATTTCTTAACCATCTATCTGCCTCCTTGAACCGTTGCATTTTTCCTTCTGTCCTTATAACCCGACTGACACTGTATTCAGAGGTCATCACTGACCCCTTCCTGACTGAATCCAGGGCTGATTTATAAGTTCTTAACCTTTTTGGCAACATAACAGCCCTTGACACTTTTGACCATTTTCTTCTTGAAATGACCAGCTGTTCCTGTTTCTTTCTGCATGCTCTCCTTATTTTTCTAACTAATTTGCTCATATTTCTCCTTTCCTATTACTTAACTAGCAGCTTTCACCAAGAGTCAGTCATTGACCATCAACTCTTTAACCTTTAGACTCAATCTCATGGTAAATTCAACTATCTAGGATGTTCCTTTCTTTTCTGTAAATCCTCATCCACTGTAGTATTCAAGACCTGACCCCAGGTGTCCTCTTCCAAAGGAAGCTTCCCTTTCTTATCCCACTTTGGCCACACTTTTATTCAGAATCTGCTGGTCTTATATATTTTATTGCCAAAATATGAGCCTTAATGGATACCAAATTAGTATTAGCTGAAGGAATGAATATTCTTGAATGTACTGCTAGAAAGGCAACATGAAACTGGAAGAGGTTAAAGGAGAATTGGACACACAGGACCAATACCAAGGCTTGGTTACCGTATTTTAAAGGATTTTTAAACATAAAGCACCACAATAGAATTAAAATTCTTACTAAATCTTCACTGACAAATTAGATATGAGACCCTAAGAAGGCAGAAGAATGTCGGGTGAAGCTTAAGATGATCTGAGTGAGGTAAAATGGTGTAGGAATACAAATAACAACCTTAACCTATCTGATGACTTTGCCCCACTCTGCTATTCCAGGAGACTACTAATTTAATATATTTTATTGAGAACTTAGTAAGTAAGGTACATGGCACCATGAAGAAACAGAGGGGATGACTTTCCAGAGCTTGCACTCTGAAAGTTAAGGCACAATTAACTTGATGTTCCACTGGAAGTGCCAAGTGCTGTGGGAGATACTTGGGGTGAGTTATGGCTTCTGGCTGGATGATTAAGGGAAGCCTTCATAAAGGAGGTAGAAGTGAACTGGGCTTGACAACGAGTAAAATCTTTGTAGGAGGAAAGATTTGTTGAAGAGAACAGCATAAGCAGAAGTTTAAGACCAAGAAGGCTGAGGATCTGTTGGGAGAAAAGCGAGTCATCTGCTTATGGAACCCAGGATCTGTGCAGGTGGAGGAGTGGGAAATGACTGGAAAAGCAGGGCTGACTTCTTGTTGCCAGGCCTAGACCTTGGGACTTTATTTGGCAGCTGTAGGAAGCCACTGAGGGCATCAGTGTGATTCTTTATGAAGATTAGTCTGGTGGCAGTGAGTAGAGTATTTTGGGGCCTAAGCAATTTGGTGACTTGTAACCACCCAGACAAAGAATAATAAAGGTCTGTATTGGGTGTTAGAATGGGACAGAGAGGAAGGGGTACAAGATTTCAAAGGAAAACAGGAATTAACAGCAATGGGAAAGGGAGGAACCCAAATGGTGACACCCAGGGAAGAGAGGGCGAGTCAAGAGGACTGGGTTTGTTGGGGACAGTGAGTTCAGTTTAGAAATGTGAGTAGGAAGATGAGTAAGACGTCCAGCGAGAGATGTGTCCTCCTGGGACTTAGGAACGTTGGAGCAGGGAGCAGGTCTTAGGGATGATATTTGCAATTGGGAGCGGTAAATGAGATGGTAGTGGATAGGAGGGTAAGGGGCGAAAAACAGTGTAATGCAGAGCCCTGCAGAAAGAGAAAAGCCATCCTTTAAAGTCAGGGAGAAGAGGCGGAGCCGCTGAAAGATGGAAGGGGAACACCAGGTACCGTACTTTGGCTGTAGATGTGGGCAGTTTGAGGTGACTGTGAAACCCCAAGCACAGATGCTCCACAGACGGTTGGACACGTAGGACTGAAACTGAGGATTCAGGGGAGTGCAGAAAATGTGGATTTGGGAATCACTGGCCTTTAGGTGTATTGAACCTCACCTCATGAATGAGATTTCTGAAGGACACAGGCTAGAGAGAAAAGCAGAGGTCAAGGACTGGGGACAGGCTGTCATTTAGGCTGTAAACTGCCCAAGTGGGGAGGAACTCCTCAAGGGCAAGGAGTCCTGTGCCTCAGTTTTCTTCTTCCTGCCTCTGTGCTAAGTTCGTGGAAGATGCTTCCTAAAGATTTGCGGAGTGACCTTGATTGTAAAATTATAGCCCTTTTATGCCCACTTTGGATCTTAGAATAGCATTCCTACTATACAGGGCACTTAGGTCCTGTCCATCTCTTACTGCCTCTTTTCCCTCCGTCGCGCTCTTCCCTTCTTCCTTCTTTCTGGTTCCCATATCACTTCAATGGCCCATTTACAGAAGACTTATCTTATAGGTTTTTTTAATCTTAAATTAAATGTGTCCATCAGTCAAAGTGGCATTTTCATAAGTAAAAATGACTTTTTATTTCTCTTTTCCAGGTAATCCAGAATTTAAGGTTTACCGTACTCAGTGAAACTTTTGATGAAGCATTACATTTAACTTTTTATTTTAGGATGTGGGATAATGTGTTTGTTGAATTAATGAAAACCACGCTGATGTTTCATGCTGTCTAGCTATATTATATTATTTCATTAAAGTCTACGATGCAGTTGAAGTTTGTACCATTGACTCTCTGATATGATGTTTTAGGCAAGGTAAAGAATCCTGAATGGAGCAGAAATGAAATTCCACATAGTTGTGGTGAAGTTTGTAGAAAGAAACAGCCTGGCCAGGACTGCCCACATTCCTGTAACCTGTAAGTTGGAATGCTAGACCCCTGGGGATTCCTGTTGGACACGCTTTGCTTGTGGCTCTGAGTTCACATATCTCATTAGCATGTCACAGGACAGGGTGAAGGGCAAGTGGTATCATTTGCTGAGCACTTACTCTGTGCCAGGTTCTCTGCAAAAGTTAACTCATTGAATCCTTGCAGCAGCCCAGTGATGTATAGATGTGTCTCATCTCCATTTTACAGATGAGGCTCAGAAAGGCCAAGCATTTTGCCCAATGTCAGAGCGGTAGGACATGATGGAGCTGGGATTTCCAAAGCCAGTGTCCTCTCACTATATTACACTGCTGGCTTCTCAGACGAAATACCCCCCAGCAAAATCCAGGTCTAAGAGAGTATATAGGACAGACTTCTGTGTGGGGAAAGGCAATTATGTAGGGCCTTATTGAGCAGTGTTTCTAGGATGTGACTCCTTTCCCTATAATAAGTAGCCAGCTTTAGAATGTATCTAATCAGCTTCTAAATCATAAAAAAATGCAAAATAATAAACAGTTGATCAGTTACAAATACAGTTCTACAGGCTTTGACCTCAGACAAAGGTTTAATTCCTGGATTCGAGTCACTCAACAGTTATGTGACATTGGACAAGTTACTTAACTTCTCTGAGCCTCAGTTTCTGCACTTATAAGATAATAATGATATAAGCAGCAATTCTTATAGAGTTTTTTTTAATATTAAATGAATTAATGCACCTAAGAGGCTTAGTACAGAGCCTGGCACATGGTAAGTGGTCAAAACATGGTAACTCTTGCTTTTATTACCCAAATCTAAGAGTAAAACAGACATCAGAGTGCTATCTTGGTGCTTCTGCTGTGTGGAGCAGGGGTGGACATTGGACCTGAGGCCTGTGATCAAGTCATGGGGTTGGTGTGGGGAGGAGTTACTGGGGAGAGCTGGTCAGACTGGCTGAGCAGCATGGCCTGCCATCTGCTGGCAGTCAGCCCCTCCCAGTTCTTTGATCGCTTCTTTGGGTCCTGCCTGAGACCTGGGGACTCATCTCTTTAAACTGTTCCTTCCCTTAGTTGACATTTTCAGTTAATTCCGTAATAAGAAATTAACCCTCTATGTGAACTATCTTTCCAAAGCCTGGAGCAGAAAGGGCCCCTGTCATGCCCACCAGAGAACATCAATCAATGCAGATCAGGCAGTCAACACCATGTCTAAAAGGAAAGAGGCCCTAAAATAGTGCTCCTTCTTGGCTCTGGAAATCCTCTTCTTGACTTGGGAGCTGTCCTTTTACTCCTGTCAGGACCCTGAGATTGCTGAACTCCATACCTGTCAGCACCTGCCTTTCAAAAGAAAGCTTTGGGTTTCTCTCATTCCTGCCTCTCAGGGCTCCGAAGGCACAGTTGGTGCCTCTGTCCCTCTTTTTTGAGTTGTTCTCCTAGATTATAGGATTCTCTAGAGCAGTTGGTCTCATCACTGGCTACATGTTAGGATCATTTAGGGACCACTGTAAAACACCAGTGCCCAGGCTCTGCCTCAGAGCGGTTGAATCAGCATCTCGGGTTTGGGGCTGGGGGTGGGTGTGGGGGGTTGCGGGGAGGAGTGTCTGAGCATCTATAGTTTTAAAAGCTTTTCAGGTAATTCTAATATGTAGCCAGTGTTGCAAACCACTGCTCTAAAGATTTATGAAAACCTGCAATTAAGTCCAGGCCTCGGGGATATTTGGAATAACCTGGAGGCATCCACACCTGATTGGCAGTTTATCTCGCAGTCTAAAGTAGTTAACTGTGCAGCCATGAAAATAGTTTCAGCTGAAAGGGTTGAGGCATAGCATGTGAAATGGAATAATTGAATAATGATACTCATCTTTAAAGAAACATGCTTAAACTTAGATCTCCTGTGGGTTCTGCCTGTCAAAATGGGTGCCCTTAGAAGACTAGGAACTTGTTCCTGGATTGTTTTCAGTGTTTAAAGCTCATTTAAGAATTATCAGAACCTATTTAGGAGTCACATAAAAAATCCAAACAGACCGCTTTATAAGCATATGTGGTTTTTATACCAAATTTTATTACCTACTTGATTAATTAGACTTGGCTCTGATTGGTATTTAATTCCCAAAGAGTTGTGATTTGCCATAACTTGTAATGTGTCCTCCCCCAAAAAAAGTTGTCATAGAAGTTCCCAAAATATTTTAAGTATTTCTGAACAGGTGTGTAATTTACCAAGCTGTCTGCTTTGAAGAGGACAGTATTTATGTGAATATATAATTCTGTTTCATGATTTTGTTCTTTGGTCTCCTTATATCATAGCTCCTATAAAAAGCGTTCTGTTCAGAGGTCTGATTCTGACCTGTAGTGCATCACCACGCCCGGCTCTTTCCACGTGTCCTTCCCCTTTGTTCTCTCCCTGTGTTACTTACAGCACGCCTGCCGTCACGTCAGCCTTCCTTTCACTGTTCCCATTGTTGGCCCATCACCTGGTTGTTACCTCACTAGCTGATGAGAAAATGTCTATATTCTCATGGACCTAGTCAATTTGAGCTCTATTACTTTGCTTAGGTTCGGATCTTCTAAAAGATTCCATTGGCCATCCTGTCACTCACCTAAGTGGCAAGCTGTTTTCATCCCTGCACACTGCACTAAGTGAGCCAACACCATATTTGGAAATGTTATCTTTGACTGTCAGACCCAAATAAAACCAGTATTTTGACTTGGGCTTTACTTTTCTCATTAAATGTTCTAAGAGGATAATGCTGTCAACTCTTGCTATATAAAAACGTTGTTGGTATCTTTGTTTAAGTAGTTTAATCAACTTTAGACAAATACTAAAACATTTCATAGTAGGTTTATTTGTTGTCACATTCACAGTAGGACCCAGTTGGGGCAGCTTTGTTCAGGTTTAGATACGTGGGTATGATTTATTCATCAAAGCATTTCTTTTTCAGTCTCTGCCATCCTGGACCTTGCCCACCCTGCCCTGCCTTTATGACTAAAACGTGTGAATGTGGACGGACCAGGTAAAGTTAGAATTGCACCCTAAAGAAGAATTCAGTTTCCACATTGATGATTTGTGTGTGGATTTCTAAAATAAAAGATTAAGAGGTAGAAGTAAATAGTACTTATTTACTACCACTAATAAATGGTAGGTGTAAATAGTAGTTTCCTGTATTGCCTTGATCTTTTGCAATCTTCTGAGTGATTAAGAAGTTATATGCATAGTGATATATTACCCATTTCAGGTGAAATGCCAAGGTGACAGGGACTTTTTTCTTGACCTCTCTGGAGGGTGAAAGAACAGGAATTGAATCCAGGCCTATTAAGGTCCAGGAGGCCTCCAAGGACCATTCACCTGGGCCTAACACGGTATCTGGAGTCCAGGAGGTTTTCAGTGAACATTGTTGAGTGAAGGAATACGTCACCCCAGAGCGCACCCTCTTTTCATTACAGTCCAAGTTCTCCTGCATCATCAGTGGGAGGATCACTGATGGCTGCAGGTGCCTCTGAGGCTCAGTAAGAGTGTAAAGTGGTTTTTGAACAACAGGATGAGATGGGATTGTGCAGATTTTCAGGGATATGTATTTGTTTAGTGTTTACTGAACGTACTAGGGTAGCAGTGCGGCCTGATAGTCACATTCAAGGGCTTTGGGTCTGAAAGACCAGGTCACATCTGGGCTCTGCCAGTAACTAGTTATTAACCTGGGCAAGTTGCTTGGTCTGGCTTAGCCTCCCTTTTCTTATCATAATGTAGAAATAACAGTGTCTTCCTCAAAGGGTTGATGTTAGCTGTGATGCTGAGCACTGGAAACTGACCATCTATATAACAGTGCCTTTGAAAACAAAATATGTAGTTGAAGTGGGAGTTGGGGATAGAATAAAACTCTCCTCATGGGAGAGTACACTTCAAGCTCTAAAGTTTTACTCTGGAGAGAGACCTGAAGACAATTGTCTAAAAGCACTGGCCTCATATCCTTCTCTAGCTGATAAGGCAGCAAAATCAGGATGTTTATTAGATTAAAGCCAGAATGATTTCCAATCCTGAATCAAAGTCACATGCAGTATGTTCTTAAGTATTGCAGCTGCATAAAATGCCCGAGTGCTAGGTTCTAGGAGAACACCGTTATACTTCCATTCTGAGAAGGTACATTATAACTACATACATTATAACTCCCCAGCCTCCCACCCGAGTCTCTAAGATAGAGGTGAGCTGAGGGCTCTTCCCCTCCTGCATGCTGCTTCATGGGGATACAGAGAAGAAATCACCTGTAACAGATACTTAGGAATGGCCTTCAATTCCTCACTGATCAGAAAATAGGGGAGAGAGAAGGCAGGATGGGAAATAAGAAAAGCAAAGGAGGAAAAAGAAGAATAAGTGGAGGAGGGGAGAGTAATTGAGGAAATAAGGAGGAAGGAAGGAAACAGAAAAAATAGGTGAAACATTTTTCACCCAAGAGAAAGGTTTAGTAGGTTTTGGGGGAAGATTTGGGCTTCAGTGTTAGTTTATCTGTCACACAGGAACAGAATGTCCAACGTTAGACTAATGCTGTCTTTACATCTACTGTCTTTACAGGCACACAGTTCGCTGTGGTCAGGCTGTCTCCGTCCACTGTTCTAACCCATGTGAGAATGTTTTGAACTGTGGTCAGCACCAGTGTGCTGAGCTGTGCCATGGGGGTCCGTGCCAGCCTTGCCGGATCATATTGAAGCAGGGTGAGTGGTGAGCACACCAGCCAGCCATGCTTGTATACTTTTCTGGAAGCTTATTTATGGTTGTCTTAATGACATGGATTCATCTCAAACCTACAGTCACGATGACTCTGTTAACTCTGGTACCTTGGGTGGAGAAAACTGGAGGTATATTAATGCTAAGATGGTTTTCATTATTTTAGTTACATAATACCAGTATAGGTCATTGTCCTATAGAATTTGGACAGTAGATTTTAAAATGCTATTTAAAATTAACTGCTTGGAAAATTTTTAAAAAGTAACTACTGGGGCCAGCCCAGTGGCTCAGCAGTTAACTTTGCATATTCTGCTCTGGTGGCCCAGGGTTCGCCGTTTTGGATCCCGGGTATAGACCTACGCACTGCTTGTCCAGCCATGCTGTTGCAGGCATCCCACATATAAAGTAGAGGAAGATAGGCATGGATGTTAGCTCAGGGCCAGTCTTCCTCAGCAAAAAGAGGAGGATTGGCAGCAGATATTAGTTCAGGGCTAATCTTCCTCAAAAAAAAATGATAATAATAAAGTGTTAAATTGTTTTTAAAAAAAGTGACTACTGAGTGATGTCAACATCGTGGCTGAGTGAGCTTTTCCCTCAGACTCTTCCCTCTAAGATACAATGAAAAGGACATTCATAATACAACAGAGGACATTCACACAACCCAAAAGATGTCTGAGAGACCCACACAGCCAGACATCTGAAGGTAGAGGCGCTAGATTCCCTGGGAGGAAGTGGAAGGAGGTAAGGGCATCTCCTCTCCCTCCCTGGCAGCAGTCTAGAGCGTGGGATGTCGCAGCTCTGAGAAAAGAGAGGAGAGGGGCAGCTCTCCATGGGAACGCCTTTGCTCTCCACGTTCCCTCACAGCCCTTGGGAGGGCTCCACACAGAGGAGGCTAAGCTGTTGCGGGGGTGTCTTCATCAAGCCAGCACCCCAAGAGGGCAGAGAGAAAATTCCTGGGAGATCACGTGCAGAACAGAAAACACCCTGCCCCTTGCCCGGTGTTCTAGCTTGTGTGGTTGGCCACAGCACCCACACATACCTTAGTAAAGCAGCAGTTGCAAGCAAGCAATCGCAAACAGGCCTGGCAGCATAGACTTCAAAGGACAGGCACAGACACCAAGGATCACGGCAGGCTCAGAATACACAGCTCCTGACCACCTCAGTGGCAGCAGGTGGAGTCTGCAACCAGATACTATCACTATGCAAAGGCACAAATCCACCCCATCAAAAAAGAAATACAGTAATAGTCCAGACTAGAAGGAAAATGACAAACACCCAGAAATCAATCCTGAAGGCACAGAAATTTACGATCTAAATGACAGAGTTCAAAATAGCTATCATAAAAAAACTGAATGAGTTACAAGAAAATTCAGATAGTTCAATGAAATCATGAACAAAATTAATGAACAGAGGGAATTCTTCAAAAAAGAGATTGAAACTATAAAGAAAAAACAGTGAGAAATGTTGGAGATGAAAAACACAATGAATGAGATAAAGAAAAATTTGGAATCCTTGAATAACAGCTGATATGGTGGAGGACAGAAGTAGCAATCTGGAAGACAGCAATAGAAATACTTCAGACGAGGGAGAAGATAGAACTAAGACTAAAAATAAATGAAGAGATGCTCTGAGACATATCTGACTCAATTAGGAAATGCAACATAAGGATTATAAATATTCAAGAGGGAGAAGAGAGGAAGAATGGAACAGAAAGCTTGTTCAAAGAAATCATAGCTGAGAACTTCCCAAACCTGGGGAAGGATCTAGAAATACAAGTAAAAGAAGCTAATAGAACTCCTAATTACATCAATGTAAAAAGATCTTCTCTAAGGCATATAGTAGTAAGACTGGCAAAAGTCAATGACAAAGAAAAAATATTAAGGGCAGCGAGGTAGAAGAAAGCAACTTACAAAGGAAGCTCTGCCAGGCTTTCAGCAGATTTTTCAACAGAATCCTTACAGGCTAGGAGAGAATGGAATGATATATTCAAAATTCTGAAAGACAAAATCTTTCAGCAAGCATGCTCTATCTAGTGAAAAAGTCCTTCAGATATGATGGAGAAATGAAAACTTTCCCAGATAAACAAAAGCTGAGGGAGTTCATCACTGCAAGAACCCACTACAAGAAATGATCAAGAAGGCCCTCATACCTGGAAAAAAAAAAAACAGGTTTACAAAGCCTTGAACAAGGAGATAAATAGGCAGACAAAATCAGAAAATTGCAACTCTCTATAAGAAGAGGTTAGCAAACAATTATAACGATAAAGATAAAGGGAAGGAAAGCATCAAAAATATCTATAATCTTGTCATTTTAACCACAAGCTCACAACACAAGATGGAATAAGTTGTGACAACAATGACTTAGAAGGGGAAGAGGATAGGCATGGAATTGGCTTAGACTAAAGAAGAAAGAGGCTATCAGAAAATGTACTATCTAATCTATGAGTTTTTTATACAAACCTCATGGTAACCACTAAATAAATAATCAGAACAGAGACACAAATGACAAATAAAGAGAAAACTGAGAAAACCATAATAGAGAACTACCAAAGTATTTTTGCTGCCCAAAATACACAGGATAAGAAACAAGGGAAATACAGAACAAGCAGAAAACAAGTGAGAAAATGACAGCGTTAAGCCCTCATATATCAATAATCACTCTAAATGTAAACGGATTGAATTCTCCAGTCAAAAGACACAGAATGGCAGGATAAGTATAAAAACAAGACCCAACAATATGCTCCCTTCAGGGAACACATCTCAACTCTGAAGACAATCACAGGCTCAGAGTGAAGGGATGGAAGACAATATTTCAAGCTAATGGCAAACAAAAGAAAGCAGGTGTTGCCGTACTTACATCAGACGAAGTAGACTTCAAGATAAAAAAGGCAATGAGAGACAAAGAAGGGCGGTATATGATGATAAAAGGGACCTTCCACCAAGAAGACATAACACTTATAAATATATATGCACCCAACACAGGAGGACCAAAGTACATAAAGCAACTATTAACAAACCTAAAGTGAAATATTAACAACAACACAATAATAGTAGGGGACCCTAACACCCACTTACATCCAGGGATTGATCACCCAGACAGAATATCAACAAGGAAATAGTGGAATTAATTGAAAAACTAGACCAGATGGACTTAATAGATATATATAGAACACTTCATCCAAAAACAGAAGAATACACATTCTTCTCAAGTGCACATGGAACATTCTCCAAGGATAGACCACGTGTTGGGAAACAAGGCAAACCTCAATCAATTTAAGAAGACTGAAATCACATCAAGCATCTTTTCTGACCATAATGCTATGAAAGTAGAAATCAACTACAAGAAAAAAAGCTAGGAAAGTGACAAATATCTGGATGCTAAACAATGTGCTACTGAACATCCAATGGATCATTGAAGAAATTAAAGGAGAAATCAGAAAATATCTGGAGACAAATGAAAATGAAAACACACCATACCATCTCATAGGGGATGCAGCAAAAGCAGTCCTAAGAGGGAAATTCATAGCAATACAGGCACACCTTAACAAACAAACATCTCAAATGAGTAGTCTTAAACTACATCTAAGAATTAGAAACAGAAGAACAAGCAAAGCCCAAAGTCAGCAGAAGGAGAGAAATAGTAAAAATTAGAGCAGAAATAAATGAAAATTGGTGGGGCTGGCCCAGTGGTGCAGCAGTTAAGTTCACACGTTCCGCTTCTTGGTGGCCCAGGGTTCCAGTTCGGATCCCAGGTGCAGACATGGCACCGCATGGCAAGCCATGCTGTGGTAGGCACCCCACATATAAAGTAGAGGAAGATGGGCACGGATGTTAGCTCAGGGCCCGTCTTCCTCAGCAGGGCCGGCCCCCATTTTTAGCTCTGGATTCATGTTGGGCTTTAACTCAGCTAAGTCATCCGAGTCTTTTTCATGGGTGTTTGTATGGATCCCAGGCTCTTCCATTCTGTTTTTGTGTAGTTGATTTTTCAGACCTAGCTGAAGACTTTTCATTTGTCCACATTAAATATCTAGCAAAGTGTTTTAGCCATGAGTATAGTTTATCTTCTCAAATTCTAATTCTCCCTGGATCCCTTTCAGCCCGTCTAGAGATTTAATAAGCATTCCTTCTAGGTTTGCATTCATGTGTTGAGATAAAAATGCTGAACAGATTAAGGTTGGCAGCAAAGACCTTCCTCCACACTGTCTTTGGTTCCTTACTCTTCAAACAGCTGTGACTCCACCCAACTCTTCTGTCACCAGCTCATATTTCTGTCTCTTGTGCCTAAGAAGAGCAGAGCTTTTTAGTATTGTACTCAGATTATTTCCTGATTGATCAGGGGCTCCGTTTTGTTTTTATTGTCAGAATTTTCTGACCCTTGATTCTTTGTTCACAGCTGCCTGCTCATACCTCTGAAAAAGGCCTCTGTTCTGTTTGAGCAGAAACTTAGCAAAGAAAAACCTGCTTGCAGAAGCTGCCATTTGCTAGGATTTATTTACCAATTCATTCATTCCACAAATATTGATTGTGTTTCCTGCATCTACATTAATTCATCTAATAAGTCTTTATTGAATGAATGAATGAGTTTTAGAACAGGGGATGAAATTGTACGTGTTCTTACTGAAAGATGAAATGTCTATTTTAAAAATCAAGTGTCTTGCTTATGTCTTCATTGATATGAGGCTTTCCGCCTTCCCGTGTCTCAGTGAAAGTTTTTGGTCTGTGCAGTACAATATTTTATGAGCATTATTTCTAATGTTTTGTTAGAATCATTCTATTTTATTTCTTACTAAATATGTGCTTTTAAGATTTGATACATTTTTATAATGTTAGGTTTATTCTGATGTTGACTTTCTTTGCAAGTAGATATCCAAATTGTACGAGAAAAAAGGAAAGCGTCATTAGGTCTGTGGAATTTCAATGTACTTTCTACTCTTCTTTATTATGTAGGGCCAGGTATATTTACGTAGATTGATTTTAATGAGATAAATTTTCATTATAAACTGATATAAAGTGACACGAGAAAAATTTTGTAAGTTGATGAAAATTAATCCTTATCAGACTTTGTTACATGTTAATACATCAGAAATATAACTCCTTAAGCAGAACACATATTTATTGCTGACCTCAAGAAATAAAGGAACCGATTATTTCTTGAACCACAGGAAAATCTATAGTTGTTAGATTGGGTTCTGTCTCGTAAATAAAGTCTCAAGTTATTTGAAACTTTTTACTCAATGTGAATGCTCAAACACGGTTACTTCACAGTCAGCAGTGGTAGAATACAAATTATTAAGGATTTTATATCGTGTCAATTTTTGGATTTCTTTTTAGCCACATAGACTTTTTCCAGGCATTTTATGTGAACCCCAATATATGAAGTATTAAATCTGTGCTTCTTGGGTTGAAGTGAGGATTGAGGAATCCAGTCATCAACTCCTCTGCAACTACCCCCAGCTTAGCTTCCATCGCCTGTGCTGTCTCCAGAGGACCCAGGGAGCCTCATGACCCACGGTTTTCGACCATGGCCTTATGGACCAGCTCATGGTCTCTCAGTTTAGGGGGCTGCTTCACTTTAATGCTGATTTTAGGATGCCCTGCAGAGCCCCCATGAGATACTGACAGGGTCTGACAAGACCTTTTTATTTCCTCCTGTGATAAAGTTCTCAGGCTGATCTTAGAGCTGCTGCATAAGCCACACTTACTTCTGCATCAGGTCTGATTGATAGTGAGGGATACTGTTCTGTGTTTTGTTATAGATTGTTTGGAATATTTTCAGAGCCCACACAGATGACTAATCTTTTGTTTTTGAAATTGTGTCCTCAAGTTTGCTACTGCGGCAGCTCCTCCCGAGATGTGTTGTGTGGAACAGACGTAGGAAAGTCTGATGGATTTGGGGACTTTGGCTGTTTAAAGATATGTGGCAAGTAAGGTCCTGCATTTTTCTCAGTTAGAATAAAGCTGTGTTTTATGCAACAATTATGTAACAGTCTTTTTCTTAACAGGGACTTGAAATGTGGGAGCCATGCGTGTTCTCAAGTGTGCCACCCTCAGCCCTGCGCGCCGTGCCCACGGCTCCCCCCCCTGGTGCGCTGTTGCCCTTGCGGGCAGACTCCTCTCAGCCAGTTGCTAGAACCTGGAAGCAGTGGTCGGAAGACGTGCATGGACCCCGTTCCTTCATGTGGAAAAGTGTGCGGCAAGCCTCTGCCTTGTGGTTCCTTAGGTAATGTAGGCGTGAAGTTGCCTTTAAAAAGATGAGTGTAAACATTTGGCAGTGATGACTACTTATGCAAAATAGTATTAAATTCCAGTTACAGCATCAGGGCAGTTCCTAAATATTGTGATAAATTTGTGTGGGCACTTTTTCTTTCCTCCTCAAAATATACTTGTGAAACCTCACAGTTGCCCAAATGATCTCTCTTTCTGATTTAGCTGTTTTGTTGCTCCCTCAGGACAATCGTGGTGAGATACTTCTCCGTGGGGGGTTACAGTTTCTCTTAGTAGCCTACACTCCTGTGAACGCCAGATAGCCTTTTACTAATCCAGGGTTCAGCAGGTGTTTAAAAGCATTGTCATGTGACAGGAGCATCTTAAAATAACTGTGGTGAGATATTTAAGAGCTAACATTCTAAGTACAATAAAACTTCAGCCATTTGGACCACTCAAGAAAAATACCCTTCTCTATAGCTAAGTTTCTCATCTAGCTGAAGATCACACCTCCTGAGCATCATTTTGGATGGACATTTTTCTAAAATTTACATTCCCATCTTTAAACAGAGGTTACTGAAGGTAATTCCTTTCCCCTTACTGACCCAGAGCCTTCCTTTTCCTGACCCTCAGCGATTGTATTATGCTGAATACAGTGATGCCCTCAGGATCTGCTGGGGTTTCTCAGGTGGTTTCCCCATACCAGTGTGCAGTTTGAGTTGTGTTATTTACTTGTCAAAGCTTTTTGTGGTTTATTGTCAGTGCTTTCAGTATGCCTATGTGCCTACCTTTAGTAACTCTCCCTTTCTTCTGACTTGCGGCCTCTGATTTCTTGGGTATAGAAACCAGAAAAATTTCTTTGGAATTAGCTGTAAAGTGGTAGTCTGGGTTCTAACGGGAGCTTCCTGAGACGGTCCTTGGGAAACGCACGTGGACGGTTCTGCAGGGACACGGCAGCTTCTGTCCTGAGTGAGGGTTCAAAGGCTGCGTGCTTGGGACAATGAAAGTGAGCAACTGCGTCTGTGTAAGACAGGTGCCCCTATAACTAATGTGCTAAAGCTAGAATCTTGAAGTTTGCTTTCCGTTTTTGTCGAAAAGAGAGGTTTCACGTGTCTTCCAAGTACCAGCAGGAACCAGTAGGAGCACCCTACCTAGTTGTTTTTTTTTCAATCTGAGTTTATGTACAGAGGAGAAATGCTCTCTTATCGTATTTTAATACGTGTTCCAACTGCATTAGGAAGATTGTCTGTTGGTTCTCTGTGTCTACTGTGAAAATGTATCTTCAGATAAGCCCTGCGAAATAGAGATCAAATGACTGCTAAATCAGGAAGGATGGTAAAGATCATCCCTTTTCAGAAGCACATGGGTCAGTTTTGTAAGAATTTTGTATATAGTGGCCAGAAATCCTACCCTGAGGCCAGGATGCCTTCTTGGCAATGAGAGAAAGAGGAAATGTGAAATGGGTAATGCCAGGGGACTTGAGCAAGAGAAGGATAGTAACTGTCAGTGTGAACAGACCCGGGGGTGGGACAAGACCAGGTCAAGGAATTCGAGGGCGACCAGGCTGAGTTGGATTGAGAAGCTCGAAGACAAGCCGGTGGTTCTCAAGTGTATTCAGGCCTGGCTGATCTGTAGAAAGCTTGTTTAGGCTTTCAGTCTCTCGCCCTGTAGGAAATTTCCATCCTACACATCCAGCTTTAGTGCCAGAGACTGGGTGGGGTTCTGCTTTCAGGATGCTGCCGTAAGGAGCCGTGTGGGCCCACTTTCCAGCAAAACAAGCAAAGCTGGGGAAAACTCTAAAAAAGCAACCATTTGAAGTCTCTGGAATTGTCCTAGGGGCATACATCGAATGAAATATTTATTGGAAAAAATCTACTAAAACTCAGTAAGAACAGCAAGAGTCTGTATCATTTGAGTCCTGACCTACCCCCTCTCCTCCAGCTGCTTAACAAAAGCGCCGCTCAGGATGGGTGTGCCCAAGAAGACAGCTCCCAGTCAGGGGTTACCGCATCTTAGTGGGAGGAGCCGACTCCCAGCATTTCTCATCCCCTCCAACTCCAAGTTGAAGGGGCCACATTTCTGGTAGGAGCAGCTAAGAGGTCCCTTCCTCCACACAGCTCCATCCATAGAACAGAGGCTCTACCCTAGTCACAACAGGCGAGAATACTGGGGCCCCCATCACCTCACCCCAGCTCACTTAGAGGGCCGAGGCACCACGCTGGGAGAAGCCAGCCAAAGAAAACCAGGGGCTCCTGTCCCACCTGGCACCCAGAGTAGTAGCTGAGACTTTATCCAGAGTGAGAGTCAGTCTATAAGAAAAGAGACCACCAAAGTACTCCCCAAAGGAACTGACTTACTTTGAAACAGAGTGTGGGGAAATTCAGGCCTCAGGGCCTGTTAGAAAACAATAGTTCTTCTTAATTAAGGGCAACAAGCTAAACTATAGGCCAGCTGGTCACCAAAGAGGACCAGGGAAAGAGATAGCTAAGAGGAGCCCTCCTGGGGTCAGAACAAACCTCACAGACTTGCCCCAAAGCCTGCCCCTGCCCACATGTCATTGGATCAGCCTGCTGAGCCATTTATACTCTTGGGCATTGTTGAAAACAGTGGAGCAATCAGCTAGCAATTAGTGGAGACTTAGAGCTGATTGTAATACCAAATGAGGCAGACAGCTTAAGAGAAAAGCCAGGGAAAGAGACAGTCACAGAGAGCCCTGCTGAAACCATTCTCATCCTGGGGTGACCGTGCACACCCCCAAGGCTGTGCCATCCGAAGAATGACACCAACAGCTTCATGTCATAGAGGAAATAGACTTCACCAAGGTGTCCCAGCCAAGTCACAAACCAAATAAGCAAACAACAACAAAAACAAGCAGTGGGGAAAGGAATAGTACCCACAGTTGCTACAATTTATTACCAAAAATGTCCAGTTTCCAACAAAAAATTATGAGGTATGTGAAGACGCAGGGGAAAAAGAAAAAACACACGCAGTAGAACCTTTCTGTGTCCTGTTTCTGTTTTCTATGAGAATGACTCATGTCAGATTTAACAAAGACTTCAAGGTAGCCATCATAAATATGTTCACAGCACTAGAAGTAAGCATACTTACGTACAGGAAGGTTTACAGACAGTGTCTCATCAAACAGAGCATATCAATAAAGAACTGGAAATTGTGAAAAAGGACCAAAATGGAAAATCTGGAGTTGAAACGTCCAATAATTAAAATGAAAACTTCGTTAAAGGGGCTCAACAGTAGATTTGAGCTGGCAGAAGTCAGGATCAGTGAACGTGAAGATAGAATGGCAGAGATTGTATAATCCAAATAACAGAGAGAAGATATAATGAAGAAAAATGAACAGTGCTTCAGAGAAACGTGGGACACCTTTAAACACACAAATATATATGTACACTGGGAATACCAGAGATGAAAAAGGAACAGAAAAATATCTGAAGAAATAATAGCTGAAGACTTTTCAAATTTATTGAAAAACGTTAATCTGCACATCCAGGAAGTTCAACAAACTCCAATGGGATAAATGCGAAGAGACCCACACCTAGACACGTAGGAAAAGTGCTGAAAGCTAAGGACGAGGAGAAAATCTGGAAAGCAGCAAGAGAAAAATGACGCATCATATACGAGGGAACCCCTGTCAGATTAGCAGCACGCTTCCCATCAGAAACAATGGGGGACGCTACATCACAACCACAAGGCAGTGAAATGACCCACTCAGAGTGCTGAAGGAAAAAACTGCCAACCAGGAATTTATATCCAAAATGAAGATAAAAACACCGCTACCAGGTCTACTTTACAGTAAATACTAAAGGAAGTTCTTCAAGCTGAAAGCAAGTAAACCCAGATGTAAATTCAAATCCACATGAAAAATTAAAGAGGAAAGGTAATTATGTAATTATAAAGAGAATTACATAATTATAAAAAGACAGTATGAATACATATTTATTCTTTTCTCCACTGATTTGGGAAGCAATTGTATAAAATAGTGTGTATATAATTGTATCGTTAGGCCTATAATGTATAGAAATATAGCTGACAACAGGAGCACAGAGGAGGCGGATGAGATCAAAGTGGTATTGGAGTTAGAAAGTGATGCCAGATAGAAACTCAGGTCCACAGGAACAAATGAAAACCAGAAATGGTGAATAAGAAGGTGAGCATAACAAACTGTACATGCATGCTCTCCTTTCTTTTTCCAGCTTCTTTAATAGACAGAACAGTACATAAAGCAATAATTATAACCATGTATTGTTGAGTTTGTAACATATATACAGTCGTGCGTCGCTTAACAATGGGGATACATTCTCAGAAATGCGTCGTTAGGCAATTTCATTGTTGTGTGAACATCATAGAGTGCACTTACACACGTCTAGATGGTATAGCCTGCTACACACCTAGGCTCTATGGTACTAATCTTATGGGACCAAGTCTCATATGCGGTCCGTCGTTGACTGGAATGTCATATGTGGCACAAGACTGTAGATGTAATATGTGTAATAATAGCACAAAGGAGGAGAAGAGGGAATGGAGCTACATAGGAGGCAGGCTTCCGTATCTCACTGGAACGAGGTTAGTGGAGATCTGAAGTAGATTCTGATAAAATGTATATGGTAAACCCTAGAGCACCCATTAAGAAAATAACTCAAAAAATACCATTAAAGGAAAAAATGTTACACTACAAAATATTCACTTAATGAAAAAGACAGTTGTAAAAGAGGATTAGATTAACAAAAAAGACATATAGAAAACTGAAAGTAAAATGGCAGGCGTAAATCCAGCTGTATCAGTAATAACGTTAATCTGAATGGATTAAACGATTAAACAAAAAGCAGATGTCAAAGTGAATGAAAAAAACAAGATCCAACTATAAGCTGTGTTCAGGAAACGGGCTTTAGAGTCAAAGATGCAATTAGGCCGAAAGTAAAAGGATGGAAAAAATGCATCATGTAAACAGCAGCCATCAAAAGGGACTATGGATGATCCCTGAGGGGTCCTTGAAACAGGGCTTGTCCTAAACCTAGTCTAGCAGAATGAATGGCAGGCCACCTATCAACAGGCATTCACAGAGCTTGCGTCAGTGAGATTATGGATCACGGTTTCTGATTATTTATGATCCCTGGATGATTTTTAGAATCAAGAGCACTTCAATAAGTCGCCCATGGCTACAATTTTAAGGAGATCCAAGACTAGCCTGGGGACTTGGGGCCTAAATAAAGAGTCGGAAGATCTGTTCTTTGACTTAGGCAAAGCGTATGCGCTGCCAAGTATATTCCAGTGACTGAGGTTGGGGCCTGTCCTTGCCAGAAAAGGCCCAGCCTGCCGGATGCAGGGAAGAGGAGGGAGGAGGCGTTGATGGCATCCTTCTTCCTTAACTCTGATTCTGGGCTTGCGGGGGACAGAGGTGGAAGACTGACTAGTGAATTTGGGAGTCTGAAAATGAGGAGTTGCAATATTCATTCCTGGCTTTTTTCATTTTTATTAAAGATTTCATTCATACCTGTGAAAAGCTCTGCCATGAAGGAGACTGTGGACCATGCTCTCGCACATCAGTCATTTCCTGCAGATGCTCTTTCAGAACAAAGGTAAATTTCAAACAATGCTAGAGTTGTTGCCACCAATACCTTTTAAATTGGTGATTATGGGAGGGGAGTAATCAAAATAACCTCAGTCTTACTGCTCTCATACTATGGTATGATTCATTCAATCTAGACAATGTATACTGACACCTACTATGGTCCAGTTGTGGGATAGGTATGGTGGGGTCCTGCACTCAAGGCTCAGAGGCCCATAATGGGGATAAGGCAGGTATACAAATAGCTCTACCTAGTACAAATGTGATAATGCTAGATGCCAGGAGAGAAGAGCAATAACATTGTTGCAAGGAGTTAGCTAAGAAGTTAGGGGGAACACACTTCTGACACCCACAGCAAGAGTTTAGACAGTTGCTGAATTAGAAGAGTCCACGAAGGGGGCCTGCCCCGTGGCCAAGTGGCTAAGTTCGCATGCTCCACTTTGGCGGCCCAGGGTTTCACCGGATCAGATCCCGGCTGCAGATGTGGCACTGCTCGTCAGGCCACGCTGAGGCAGCATCCCACATGCCACAACTAGAAGGACCCACAACTAAAATATACAATTATGTACTGGGGGGATTTGGGGAGAAAAAAGCAGGAAAAAGGAAAAAGAAGATTGGCAAAATTGTTAGCTCAGGTGCCAATCTAAAAAAAATTAAAAATAAATAAAATTGCTGGAGGAGTTCGCCATCAATATGAGTTCTACTAAACCTTTTGACAAAGTGAAAATCTCTGAAATGCTGATAATCAACTCATTATTCAGCCATATTTTTCATGATATCTTTTGTAATGGAGTGGGCTTTCCCATGGAAGTGAGTCTTTTAGATAAATAAAACATTTCTTAAACGTGGTTTTCTTTTAATCACTTTGGTGGGAGTCTTTGAGAATCATATGCTCTATCTTACTACCTCTTAACAAAGAATACTGTGTAAGTTTTTTGGGTAGTTCATATTTATTGGTTTATTGGGGACTTATGGGGGCTCTGCCTTTCCCTACAGTGTAGATACCACTCCAGTGTGTTGTTTCTTCCGTACAATCCAGTGTTTACATTAACTGGAGCACTCACTCAGGCGCTTTCCTGAGTCACCTTTGCTTTATATCTCTAGAGAGCATATGGGGAACTTTTTCATATCATCGAACCCAGCCAGGTCAATTTATCTAAAACCTCCTACCAGCCATGAAGCTTCAATTTCCTAGACCTCTTCACTTCTGTTATCAACTCAATAGCTGCCTTTTTTTTTCACAGTCGTTTTCATTGAGAAGGAGTTTTTGTTTTTTTTTTATCAGTTTGTTTATTGCTGAGTACATGGCAACCTGTAAATAACATCAAAGCCAAATTCAGAGGCAGATACTGGGCAGCCAGCTGGGTTCACTCTCCTGCGAGTGCCTGACTCGCTGCCACACAGCAGCCTTGCCACGCGTGTCATTCAGGATCACGCCTCAGCAGAGTTACGTGTGCTAGACTTTTGGAGCCATGCATACGTAATTGAAACCACAATAATAAAACTCCGAGTGCAGAAGGGCTGCTGTATTCCGCTTTGCTGCCCTTCACCAGTGTTGTCAGGATGTAGAGCTCTTTGCCCCTGCGTTGAATGGTACCAGATTGTTGCACATTTTCAATTCTTACGTCTGCTTTTAATGGCTTTTTCTGTCAGTACTCTTGGCTGGCAGTTATTTCTCTTTGCTCTGCATACCTTTAGCAGCTTCTCTTTCTATTCAGATTTTATGATACCTAAGCTGCTGGGAGTTTGGAGGCCAGACCACAAAGGTTGTCACAATTATATTTGCATGAAAAGTCAGTAAACCTGGGGCCCTATTGGGAGTCCAGCATTTGAGTGTAGGGACCGGGCGAACCCTGCTCCAGATAGGTGAGTTGGTGAGTGCGTGCCCGAGACGGGCAGGGTATCGGGATGTGCACGTCACAGTTAGCATTGCACTGTAGTTGTGTTGTTTCGTTGATTCCTCAAGTGGTTACTGTTCCTTTTTCTTTCCGTAGGAGCTCCCATGTACCAGTCTCAAAAGTGAAGGTATGCCTGGGAAGGGGCGTGAGGGAACTTTCTGGGGTGAAAGTAACGTTCTCTATCTTTGACAGGTTTGGGTTTTGTGTTTGTCAGAATTCGGCGAAGGTACACGTAAGATTTGTGCATTTCATTGTTTGTAACTTTTACCTCAAAAGAAAAAAAGAACTGTAAGTTGAATTCTAGTTAGTGAAATGCTGAAAAATATGGGGAAAGTGTATTATGTCTGCAGCTTACTTTGAAATGTGTCAAAAAATAAGATCAGTTGTTGGGTGGATAGAAGAATAGATAGGTATGTGAAAAAGTAACTAAGGGTGAAATCTAGATAGTGGGCATATAGGTGTTCACTGAACGTTTGTTTTGACTTTTTTATATGTTTGAAAATTTTCATGATAAAATGGTGGGGGAGGTGAAGGTAAGTAATAACTAATGAAGCAAACTTTTACGCACTGACTGCTGCTTGCTGCCCTTAAGGCTTGATACCCTGTCGGATACCTGGAACAGGGGCTGGCCAGCAGCCTTCTTAACCTGAGGCCTAGAATATTGTTTCTTCCTTTGTCCTTGATCCTGATATCTCACTCCATTCTGGTTCTGTCCTTGTTTTGCTAACCATCACATAGCCTTTGTTTAAACCACCTTAAAACATTTTTGGAAAAGTGATAGAAGATAAGTGTGTACAAAATAAAAGCTCTCCTCTGATCAGGAAGAAAACTGTATTGGTTAGGATGCTTCTGGCTGCAGGGATTGGAAACCCAGGGAAAAGTGACTTCAGTCACAGGGGGATTCACTGTCTGTCATAACAGGAAGTCTGGAGGCAGAACAAGTCTAAGTTTGGTTGATGCCAAACAGTGATACTAGGACTCCAGGTCAGCTTCTCTGTGATTTCTTCGGTTTTCCCCTCCTGGGTATAAGTTAGCTACAGCGGTTCCACACATTGAGTCCTCAGACAACAGCTAGAGGAAGGAAAGGAAGGTCCTTAACTGTCTTCCTTCTTAAGAGCAAGGAAAACAGTCCGAAAGGCCCTTAGTACGTTTTGTGTCACGTGCTCCTGCCTACACCCTTCGCTAACAAGGAGGATGGAGTAACCGTGACAGGCTGGACTGTTCACCATTCGCCCCTAGAACTGAGGAGCACCCGGGTGCCCAATTTCTGAACAAAATAAGGATCTGGTGGCCTGAAGAAGGTGGAGAGTGGCTGAATAACTGCCTCAAACAGCTGAATATTTGAGGTAACCAGAAATTTCTACCTCAAGCCCATGGTCAAAATTTTAGTGCTATTAAAAACATAATTTGAAAACCTTACATTAATAAACTTTTAAAGTAAAAAAAAATTAGTAAAACAATATAAAGTAAAAAGTGAAAATACACCCTCCCCCCTGTTCCCCTCCTGGTTTCACCCCCCCCATGAAACCACTGTCATTGGTTTGTTGGGCATGGGTCCCAATCTTCTGTGTTCCTACAGATGTATACACATTCCAGTGTAGTTTTGTTTCTCCCCTAAACTTAGGTTCACAGTAAACATACTGTCTGCAACTTGGGTTTTTTTCCTCACTAATATGTCAAAGACATGTTTCTGTGTCAGTGTGTATAGCTCTCATTCTTGCAGAGTATTCTGTATGTGGATATACTATAATATAGTTCACCGTTGCCCTTTTGGTGGTCAGTTACATTGTCTCCAGTTTTTCCCATTGCAAATAATGCAGTAACCGTCTTGTCCCACCTTTTAAAACTTTATGATAAAAAACTTCAAACATATGTGAAAGTAGGGAGGCTAGCCTAATGGCTCCCTGTGTGCCTATCACCCGTCATCAGCAGTTATCCACATTTTGCCTGTCTTGTTTCTTCCATCCCTCCCTTTCTGACTTTTCAAGAAAGTACTTTGAAAACAAATCTCAAACATCATTTCACCCATAAATACTTCAGCACCTAGCCCACTTTTTATTGTGATAAAATTCACAAAACATACGAATCATTTTAAATTATTCCGTTCATTGGCATTTGGTACCTTCACAGTGTTGTGCAACCATCACCTCTATCTAGTTCTAAAACATGTTTATCATCTCAAAAGGAAATCCTTTATTAAGTTTTCACTCCCTGCTCACCCCATGCCCCCAGCCTCTGGCAACTGCTAATCTGCTTCCTGTCTCTCTGGATTTACCTATACTGAGTATTTCATATAAATGGAATCTTACAGTATGTGACCTTTTGTGCCTGCCTTCTTTTACTTAGTGTGTTTGCAAGGTTCATCCACATTGTAGCACATATCCAGTACTGTATTCCTCTTTATGACTGAATAATATGCCACTGTATGGATATGCCACAGTTTGTTTATCCACTTATCTGTTGGTGGACATTTGAGGTTTTTTTTTTTTCCATCTATTGGCTATTGTGAATTGTGCTGCAATGAGCATTTGTACACAAGTTTTTGTTTGAATACTTGTTTTAAATTCTTTAGGGTATATACCTAGGAATGGAATTGATGGATCATATGTCAATTCTGGGTGTAGTTTTTTGAAGAACTGCCATACTATTTTCTGTAGTAGCTACACCATTTTACATTCCCACTAGCAATGTAAGGGTTCCGATTTCTCCATATATTCTCCAACACTTGTTATTCTCTGTGTTATTATTATTATTATGGCCATCCTGATTGGGTATGAAATGATATGTTATTGTGGTTTTAATTTGCATTTCCCTAGTGACTAATGATGTTGAACATTTTTTCATGTGCTTAGCTATCTGTATGTCTTCTTTGGAAAAGAGCCTGTTCAAGTCCTTTGTCTATTTTTTAATTGAGTTGTTTGTCATTTTGTTGTTGAGTTGCAAGAGTTCTTTATATATTTTGGATCCTCGACTCCTATGAGATATATGATTTGCAAATATTTTCTTGCGAGGTGGGTTGTGTTTTCACTTTCTTGATAGTATCCTTTGATGCACAAAAGCTTTTAATTTTGATGAAGTCCAGTTTATGTGTTTTCTTTTGTTGCTTGTGCTTTTCGTGTCCTACCTACTTTTGAAAGTGTATCTGTAGGAAGGAATCCTTAAAATGGAATTACCACTTAAATTTTTGATAGATACATCTGTACTCCAAAAGTTTATAGTCCCATCCACTAAGTATCAGTGTGCCTTTTTCTCCACACCTTCACCCATACCATGTATTAATCACTCTTCCTACTTTCTATTTTTTGACAATCTGACAAGTGAAAAATGATTTTAATATACATTTTCACCATAACTAATTTATTTATGTTGTTACATTTGTATTTCTTAAGCCTGTGTTTGTTGAACGAATGTTCATATCCTTTGCCTTTTTTTTTTTCTTTTGAATTGGCCATGGCAGATGCTACATTTATGTGTGACAAGCGGTGTAACAAGAAACGGTTATGTGGACGGCATAAATGTAACGAGATATGCTGTGTGGTAAGTGGAGTTATCATTAGACACAGTCGGACTGCGTTCATCCAGGGTCTGGCTTTCTGGAAGCCTCAGCCATCTGGCATGCAGCCCAGAGTTAGAAATCATTAGGAGGCCCCCAGCAACAGTCAGAGTGCTGCCCAGAGAAACAGGCGGGGCCTTTTTAGGCCTCAGCCAGGTCAGCCAATGGCAACATGGAGGAAGGGGAAGAAGAAAGACAGAAGGCCACAGGCCCCAGAGCCCAAGACCACTGATGAGCATTCAGTCGTCCGCAGGAGACTGTGTGCTGTTCCACACACAGACTGGCCTGAGGCTTCAGGTTTTATATTCTCCTTGGGGCAGGTCATTAGGCAAAGTGAGAGTGGTGTTTTTTAAAGGATCCAGTTTCAGTTATCTGAAATATTCACTCCTATGGAACTAAATGAAGGAAGTGTTTACTTACTGGTAGTCATTTACTAGCAATTGGTACTGTGTTACCTTGTGTGTGTGTGTGTGTGTGTGTGTGTGTAGATAACACAGTACCAATAGCAAGGTAGTACATATATACACACACACTTATATGTGTATATGTATATATATAATACGCAATTGTTATTTTTTAAATTTATATATTGACAAGTCGAAGTGATGAAGTTATACTGTATATCAAGATTTATTTATAAACCAGTGTTTGAAGGCTTCTTATTATTGAAAATTTCAAATGTATACAAAAGCGGAGAGACCAGTGTGAGTCCCATTTGCCCAGCTTCCAGCTTCAGTCGTGATCAGCTCGTGACTAATCTTGTTTCATCCACATCCCCACCTACCCCCCTCCCCAATTATTTTGAAGTTAATCCTAGACATCATTTCATCCATAAATGTGGAGAGCTTTGTTTTTGTTAATCTTGTCATTTACGGAAAATATAAAATGGAGATACTTTTTTGAACGAGTATAAATCTTTCTTCCTAGGATAAGGAGCACAAGTGTCCTTTGATTTGTGGGAGGAAACTCCGTTGTGGCCTTCATAGGTGTGAAGAACCGTGTCATCGCGGGAACTGCCAGACGTGCTGGCAAGCCAGTGAGTGTCCCCAATGCATACCTTGTTAGAAGAATTTTCTAGAAGTTCAGGCATAATACATTTTGAGAGATGGGTGTGCTTAGATTGATATGGATTACTGAACTAATAAGCCTTAGTATTTCAGATGTGAGGAGACTTACAAAACAGTTCTTGCTAGTGCTCCTTTGTTGTCCCTGAATGCACAGAACTTGGGGTGTGGGCAGCAGTCCCGAGATGGGTCTGGTTCAGTAATGGAGTCCTCTTTTGCTGCCCGCCTCTTAAATATTAGTGCCCCAGGTTCTGTCCTCAGCAGTCTTCTCTCTATATATTATAAGCAGCAGTTTGCTAACTTTTTGGTCTTAGGACTCATTTACATTCTTAAAAATTATTAAGGATCCCAAAGAGCTCTTTTTATGTGAGTTATATCTATCTATATTTACCATATTAGGAATTTCAACAGAGAAATTTTTAAAATATTGATTTATTAGTTCATTTTTTAAAAACAGAAATATATCCATTGCATGTTAACATGAATAGCATCATTTTTTTTAAAAAAACACTACATTTTGGAAAATTAGTGAGAAGAGTAGCCGCCTGATTTAGCAGGAGGCAGTTGGAGTCCCGTGTCTGCTTCTGCATCAGTCTGTTGCGGTGCAGTCGAGGCGTGACCTCACACTGTTAGCTAGTTGGAAAAGGGAAGAATATTTTTAATACTTTTTCAAATAATTGTGGATATTCTTCGTTGATATTACATCAAAAGTCAGCCTCGTTTCAGAAAGGACTTGAGTCAGTGCTTTTGTTTTTGTTTTTCTTCTCTATCACATTAAAATTCATTGGTTTTTCTTGTACTTTGAATGGATCTTTTACCCATGCGTGATTTTATAACATCATGCATTGATCATTTGGAAAATAATTGTTTGCTGGGTTATGCAGATCTTTCAAATGTTGACAGATTTTCTGTTATAATATTAAAAAATCATATTCAATACTATAGCTACCAAACTCGTCAGAAAAGTCTTGGGAAAAGTATTAGGAAGTTGTCAAGCTCATAGTGCTTAATACATATTTTCCAAAATTGTATTTTCACTTGATAGCTTGAATTTTATCATTGACAGCAAAGGCAGTTTTCTTGAAGTGACAGGCTCACTTTGTTATTTTTTTATTTTTATTTTTTTGAGGAAGATTAGCCCTGAGCTAACATCTGCTGCCAATCCTCCTCTTTTTGCTGAGGAAGACTGGCCCTGAGCTCACATCCGTGCCCATCTTCTTCTACTTTATATGTGGGATGCCTGCCACAGCATGGCTTGCCAAGTGATACCATGTCCACACCCGGGATCCGAACCAGCAAACCCTGGGCTGCTGAAGCAGAACATGAGAATTTAACTGCTGTGCCACCGGGCTGGCCCCCTCACTTTGTTAATTTTTGGTAAAATGTCTGCCAAATACCCCAGTCTGAATAACCATGGCTTTGTCAGTCATTCTTTTAAGTAAAAACAGTGTTTTATTAAAAAAAGAGGTTAATTCAGCTCACAGCTCAAAGAAGCGCAATTCTTTAAAACAACTAGGGTATCTTCATGTGCAGAAGTGCTCTATGCAGATTTTCCATTTTGTTCCACAGAAGATTAAAAACATATGTATTCAAGGGTCCAGGTTTTTTCTGCTGCTTCATCAAGGACTTTCTCCAGTGAAATTGGCATTTTTTTATTTACTCTGAGTGCTTGGCAGTGAAAAATACAATGATTAGAGTTTAGTGCTACTGCTTTGATTTTCACTAAGGCCCTGGCAGTGTTACCGACCATTGCTTCACACCATCAGTGCAAGTGTCAACACAGTGGGTAAAAAAAGCAAGTAATAGGGGCTCGCCCCGTGGCCGAGCAGTTAAGTTCGCGCACTTCGCTGCAGGCGGCCCAGTGTTTCGTTGGTTCGAATCCTGGGTGCGGACATGACACTGCTCATCAAACCACGCTGAGGCAGCGTCCCACATGCCACAACTAGAAGGACCCACAACAAAGAATATACAACTATGTACTGGGCGGCTTTGGGGAGAAAAAGGAAAAAATTAAGTCTTTAAAAAAAAAAAAAAAAAAAGCAAGTAATAGCTTAGTAGTATTATGAAAATAATTTTGACCTTACGGACTCCCTGAAAGGATCTTAGGGACCACTAGGGGTCAACAGAGCACACTTTGAGAACTGCTACGTTAGAAGATTCACCTACATCAGGGTTTCCCAAAGTGTTTTCTCTGGAATATGAGGCCTTCGTCATTTCAAAAAGGGATTGAGTCAGTGCTTTGGGATAAATCACACAGAGTTCCATAAAAACACGCGCAGGGCCCCTTACCCTTTACCTCGCTGTTTGACATATGTAGCTCATCTTCACAATAAGCTTGTTGAGTGAATAGGTCAAAGTTTGGTATCCCCATTTGACCCAAAGAAAGAAAGCTCAGAGGGATTAAATTACCTGCCCACAGCCACTGAGAAGTTAGGAGAAGGTCCAGGACTAGGCGCCTGAGTCTCCTGACTATTTGCAGTGCTCTTTCTGCTGCATCGTGTAGCCTCTAAAGGGTTTGCTGGAGAGTGCTGACTGGAGAAGAGCTGTGGGCGAGAGTCCTGGAGGAAACACTTTTTTTAAAAAAAAAAAATCCCCTTAAAATTCTCCCCTAGAAATACAAGCCAAAAGAAAGCTGTGCGTGTGTGTGTAAATATGTGCATGCACACCCCAAACTCACAAAGGGTTGTTTTGTTCTGCCTGCTGCTCCACCAGGTTTTGATGAATTAACCTGCCACTGTGGCGCATCAGTGATCTACCCTCCAGTGCCCTGTGGTACCAGACCCCCCGAGTGTACCCAGACCTGCGCCAGAATCCATGAGTGCGACCATCCAGGTGGGTCCCATCTGCTTGCCTCCACGCTCACAGCCCGCTCACACTGTTCATTTAGGATGTTGCGTGATGGTCTTCACCACTCTGAGGTCATGCTATGATGGCCGCCCCTGCTGCCTGTGCTCAGGAGCTGCCTCTGCGAAGGTGGATCCGTGATCTGGGCCACAGCTGGGAACCGCAGTGCCCTCCATTGCTTTACTCTGGATGTCAGACACACCTGAAGGGTTGGGAGCATCCCCAGCTGGTCTTGTCTTTCAGGGAATTTTTTTCTTTCTTATGGCCTCCACTTTTGGTGCATATTTCAAAGTTGAGCATCTTTTTGCAAAATTAAAAGTAAGTTGGGTTTTTTGTTGTGATTGTAGAAACAATATATGTTGATTATATGAAAAGAAAGAAAGACAATAGAAAGTTAGAAGATTGGAATTAAATCATGTCACCTTCTAGGAATTATATTTTGGTGTATATTTTTCAGGGCTCTTTTCCACGGGCAAATATATATATTTGCATTTTTTTCCCTCTTATTATTGTCATTTTAATCTCTCTCCTTATTAATGAGTATTTTTCTACAGTATAGATTTGCAGTGGTAGTGGAGTGTCCTGTTACATGGACGGGTCATAACTTCTTCAGTCAGTCCCATGTTGCTGGCCATTTAAGTTGTTGACAGTTTCTCTAACAGATTGCTGTAGACACCAGACTAATAGCTACCTGACAGCACCCATGTTCTTCTAGTCTAGTCTAGGAGGTCATGGGTCATACTGGGCCCATCATTTCATTTTACCAGATTGCAGAGACAAACCTGAAATAACTCAGGTCACCAGATTTGATAGTTACAGTAAGTCTGGCCATATGATTCAGACTGACAAATGGACAATCATGTCTCAATTTTTTAAGTTAATAGGGTAAAATAGAATTAAGTAAATTCCTCTTGAAGTGAAAAGTCCCTCCTTTCCTGGGGACCTTAGGATGGCCCTCCCAGCGTAGTTTGCAAGCCCCTTCTGTGGTGTTTGCATCAGCATGAGGTAAATGCCCAAGCCAGTGCTCACCCCTCCCTCCTTCACGCTCACCTGCAGAGGGTACAGATGAAGTCCAATCCTGGGGTTAATGTCCAGAGTAAGAACATAGCCATTTGTGAGCTGTATTGTTTTAGCCTGCTTTTGTTCAGCATTCATTTAACTTTTCTTGAATGTTAGTTGTATATCCAGCATGGCGTCAGACACAGGAAGGATCAGAGGAAGAAGAAATGGCTCATGACCTTGAAGTTTTTATGTTGTCTCTGAGAGAAAGAGGATGGTAGTTAAGTGCACATGACACCACCAACCGTTACATGAAGATGGGCCACATAGCGTGGTGGCAAGGCATCTGCATGAGAACTGAGACCTCAGGGAGTGGAGGAGAGCTCAGGGCAGGCTATGGCCAGAGAGGGAAGGCTTCGTTCTAGGAGATGAGTTTGGATGCGCTGCCTCTTACAGGCAGTAAGGAAAGTGAAAGGACTCAGGGGAAGCATGTCAGGTGGAATGAGTAGCAACGACGTCTGAGCAGAAGTGAGTGGCTGCTGTGTCAGGAAGGGCCGAAGGATGGCTGAGGAGAGCAGAAAGCTGCCTCGCTCTCTCTGCTGCGTTGGCGTGTCTGTCCGCTCACACGGTTTCTCTTTCTCACTCATGCTCACCCTTCGGTACTTTGGTATAAAACCAGCTACTTTTTACTCTCTTGTGATCATTTTAAAAAGTATTCCCAGCTCCTAAATGTAAAAGTCCCATGTCATATGCTTTATAATATGTTTGGTAGTTTGTGTGGCTTTATTTAAGCGTGTTCCCAGTTTCGCCTTTCTCTCCCTTCAGTGTATCATTCCTGTCACAGTGAGGAGAAGTGCCCCCCTTGTACCTTCCTGACTCAGAAGTGGTGCATGGGCAGACACGAGGTAAGTCTCTCAGGGTTCCTAGTTCCAGCCCGAGAGTCATGGCTGAGCTACTTTGAGTTGTTGGTCTCATTGTTTCTCAAGGCAGGTATACGCCAAGAAGCAGAGGTCTGCTATTGCCGCTTTTTTTCTTTTTTTTTCCATTAAGGTATAGTTTACATAGAATAAAATTTACTCTTTTCAGTGTACAGGTCTACGAATTCTGGCAAAAGCATTGATAGAGTAGTGTACGCACCACCACGGTCAAGATGGAGAACATTCATTCCCCACACCCACTCCTCCGTGCCCCTCTATAGTTCCTCCCCCGACCTCCAGACCCCGGCAACCAATGATATGTTGTCTGTACCAATGGTTTTGCCTTTTCCAGAATTTCACATACACGGAAACATACAATAGGTAGCATTTTAAGTCTCTTCTGCTATCATTTTTAATCTGGCTACAGTCAAGTTAAGCTCAGCCAGTTGGCCTTGAGAACGTGGGCTGTGTTCAGAGCAAACTTTTCCGGGTTAACCAGCATGGGGAGAGGCTGCTGGCCTGGGCAGAGGTGTCACAGGGAGGGCATCCCAAGAACAGAGGTGGGCTCTCCAGCAACTGCCGCTGCCCTCTCTGTGCCCTATGCAGCTTCCTGTCCTGACTGCTGGGCCAAAACGCTTTCCTCCGGGCTCACCCATGCCTCCGCATTGCCACTTCCGTGAAGACTTTCACCCTCATTCTTAGCCTCTGAGCTATATTTGGACTGTTGACTGTAGACCCTTTGAAACACTTAAAAACTTTTTTGTTTTAAAATATGCACATTTGTTGTAGACAATTAAAATACAGTTCAGCTACTCAGAAAAAAATGCTGTCAACATTCTGGTCTGTAGACTGCTGGGCATGTGTGATACACACCTTCCCGTCCTCTAAAGATTATACTGTTTTGTAACCGGTTCTTTTGGCTTCATAACATGTTGCCCAACATTTCTTGAAACTCTTGACATCTGTGGCAACATGCTTTCAGCATTCTTATCTTGACAGGCATATTTTTCTCCACTTATTTCCTGTGAGTGCTTCTCAAGTTCCAGTCCTTACTACTTACTCTTCCTCTATAAATCTCACTTCCTCTGAGAGCAGCCGTTCTGAGACATGGGTGTGTCATCTTTGTGTTGATGGCTTATTCAGACTTAGTCAACAAACATTTCTTGCATACCTACTATGTGCTGGTAACCGGCTAGGTTGGGTGATTCACAAGCGACAAGTGTGGCCTCTCTCCTGTGGAGCCTTCCCTGTGAGGCAGGAGGCAGACGTATAAACAGGCGATTGTAAAGGCAGTAATGTGGGAGGCGCAGAGGACTGAGGGATAGAAGGGACCCCTACCCAGGGAGGGAAGGCGTTTCCAGAGGAAGTAACATCCTAAAGGATGATGAGAAGATAGGCAAGTGATGGGGGGGCAACAGAGGGCACTGCTTGTGCAGAAATTACCGCCAGCGTCCTGGTGGTAGAGTAAGTAAGTGTTCAATGATTGGGAACTGCTTTCTACCAAAATACTGATGCCAAAGCAATTAGACGCATGTACATCCTAGACTTTGGAGGCCTCTCCAAGAGTAGAAGTTCTGTGTCACTAGCGTCGAAGTATATTCCTCATTTTGAGGGTTCTTGAAAGAATTTGAAAATGTGAGTATATAAGTAACCTTTGGTCCTACAGGAATAAGATTCCAGCATTTTTTTCCTGAAGTGAGAAATCCTGGAAGGAGGTGATTTCTCAAGGAAAAAATGAGTTTGGGGTTCAATGGGCTATTGCTTCTTAATTTTTTAAATGACAGAGCTGCCTAAAGCTGTGGAGACCGTGCGGAGTTGGGACCTGCCAGGAGAGTTGAGTATTTAATTACATAAAACAGCCCCACTAGCAGCCTTGAAACCGTGGGCTGAGGGTGCCCTCCGCCCTCAGGGTTTGTCTGTTGACTCAGTGCCCCAGCTGTTTGCAAAGGAGGCAGAAAGTCGGCTGCTCCTCCCAGCTGGCCACCGCATTTTCACATTCTCCTCGTGATCGAGTTTCACATGCTCCTTCCCCACCTTGGGAAGTTTGAGGTCTCAGGTCAAACTTGGCTGCTAACACAAATCCTTTTAGATCAGAACAAGCGTTATTAAATAAGGTTCAGATTTGTTTTCTTTTCAAACTAACCTTTCAGACTTTGAAAATCAGCCTAATTTTTTTCAGATAAAAAGAACTTTTTACAAAAGAACTTTTTGAAAGTTGAGGGGGTTTTTTTTGTCTTTCTTTTTTTTAAAGTTTTTTTTTTTTTTCCTTTTTCTCCCCAAAGCCCCCAGGTACATAGCTCTGTATTTTTAGTTGTGGGTCCTTCCAGTTGTGGCATGTGGGATGCCACCTCAGCATAGCCTGATGAGCGGTACCATGTCTGTGCCCAGGATGTGAAGCAGTGAAACCCTGGGCCGCCGGAGTGGAGTGCATGAACTTAGCTACTTGGCCATGGGGCTGGCCCCTGAGGAGTGTTTTTTTTGTTTTTTTTTTTTTTTGAGGAAGATTAGCCCTGAGCTAACATCTGCCATCAATCCTCCTCTTTTTTGCTGAGGAAGATTGGCCCTGAGCTAACATCCGTGCCCATCTTCCTCTATTTTATATGTGGGAAGCCAGTCACAGCATGGCTTGAGCAGCAGTATGTAGGTCTGCACCCAGGATCCAAACTAGCGAATCCCAGGCCTCCAAAGCAGAACGTGTGAACTTAACTACTACACCACTGCGCCAGCCCCATGAAAGTTGAGAAGTTTTTAAATAGGAAATTAAGACTCACCCTAAATCCCACACGGAGATGTGAATCTGGCTACTTCTGTCTCTCCTAGTTACGAAGCAACATCCCCTGTCACCTGGTTGATATCTCTTGCGGATTACCCTGCAGTGCCACACTACCGTGTGGGATGCACAAGTGTCAGAGACTCTGTCACAAAGGAGAGTGTCTTGTGGATGAGGCCTGCAAACAGCCCTGCAGCACCCCCAGAGCTGACTGTGGCCACCCCTGTATGGCGCCCTGCCACCCCAGCTTACCCTGCCCCGTGACTGCTTGTAAAGCTGAGGTGCGTATTCCTGGCTCCAGGTGGGGCGTTGGCTGTGGTTCTGGGGCCGCTAGTGAGTGCAGAACTGCCTGCGGCGGCCCTGGGCACACATCCTAATCAGGGTCCTTGGTTGCCAGCAACTGCAATTTAAGTTAGCAAGAGAAAGCTGGAGTAAATTGTACAGGTTCCTGTCTGCCCAGCTCGACATGGCCTTTTAGTTCAGAAGGTGACCACGGTCCCTGTCTCCCGTAGATCAGATTCTCAAGAGAGATTCTGCCCGCTCCATTTATTCAACGCATATAATAGTGTCTGTTTTGTGCAAGGTGTTGCACTAGGTGTTGGTGCTACGCCAGCGAACGGGAGGCACACGGTCCCTTCAGTTAAGTGGGGCAGATACTCACTTACTAATTACTCAGTTAATCAGTTATGGCCGTGGTAAGTGTCGTGAAGAGCGGGTACACCCACATAGAGGGTGCTATGAGAGCATGTGAGTGGGGGCTTAACCTGGTCCAAGGGATTGAGCTAGGCCCCCCAGAGGAGGTAGAAGCAGAGGGCGAGGTGGAGTTGATTAGGCCTTGGCTGGTCCTGGGTCACGGGTCCATCTCCAGTTCAGTGGTGGAAGTTTCATTAGGCCTGCCCCTTGGGGCGGGATTGAGGACAGAAAGGGGCACTGTAGACTGGACACTTCCCTCCAAGGATGTCAACTACAGCGTTGTCAGTGTGCGTGTGCGGTTAGCTTCCTCTGTCCTGGAGGGTGTCCACTCACTGCCTGTTCTCTGCTGTGGTTTGATCTGAGAGAGGCTTTAGAAGTGAAACCTGCCTGTTCACATGGTTTCCCTGTGCTAAAAGTCGCTCCCCATTCATCTCGTTTCAGGTAGAGCTGCAGTGCGAATGTGGACGAAGGAAAGAGATGATGATTTGCTGTGAAGCATCCAGTACTTATCAAAGGTTAGTGCTACTTGATGTTAGCAATTGGTGGATCCAGGATTCGTGTGTTTACTGTAGGATCCTTACAACTTTGGTAAAGGTTGGAAAGTTTTTTAAATAAATTTTCTTGAATCTAGTTTTTCTAGTTCAAAGTATTGCTGTATGTACCTTTCCTTCCCTGACTTTAATTTCTAAAGTAACCTTTTTATTTCTCTTCCTCCTCCTTCCTCTCTCCCTTTTGGTCTTATTACATCATGAGATCAGAAGGGAAGATGTCCTGAAGTTGTGTGAATTGCTTTACCATGCCAGTGCTTTTGGGACCAACTCCTGTGCTCCTCCCCTGGGTGGGGGTTTCTGAATACCTGTGAGGTGTCTTTCCAGCCTCCTGAAATCTTTGGACTTGTTTGGTCACAGAATCTGAGTGCAGAGGTGGAGGTGTGTGGGGTGGATGGTCATGTGTATCTCCGGTTAGCTGCAGAGATGTGCCATGGAGGTAGGGTTTTAGGAGTATGCAGACGCTGGAGTGGCTGTGTTTGGATACCCACCGAGGGCCATGCGTTGGCCTGGATGCTTGAGAAGGGGTACTGAGGAGTGAATTACCTCATCACTTCCTCTGGAGCTGCTTAGCCTCTAATTGAGATAAGACACAAATGTATGAGTAGTTCATAATAGCCAGGCTTCCAAGGTCGCACAAATTGTCGAGTGGTAGATTCACCTGAAAGAAATCCTCTGCATGCCTAGGATGGGGAAGTTCTTGTGAAACTGCATCGCCTTTTCTTCCCCTCCTTTTTTATACTTCAGAATAGCTGCTATTTCCATGGCCTCTAAAATAACAGACATGCAGCTTGGAGACTCAGTGGAGATCGGCAAGTTAATTACGAAGAAGGAAATTCACCAAGCCAGGTAGATTTTAAATGTGTGGCCATGCCTTCCTTAATTTCCAGAGGTCAGCAACCATTTATTTATCTCAGTCCCGCACAGCAAAGCCTTGCACACCCAGTAGGTGTTCAATAGACATTTGATGTTGAGACCACACCCACTCCAGTCCAGCGACTCCTGCTCAGGTGATAGCTGAGACCAAAGGAGACTTCCAGGCCTCACTCCAAACAGTGGCCAGAGAAAGCCGGGACCTAGATGTGTCCAGCCCAGCCCTCGTGAGAAAGAGAACCAGGGTGGTGACTGTGTCAAGAGGGGGTGGGGCTGTCAGAGGGGCGCTGGGAGCATTTTGGGGGCTGAGCAGCCAGGGGACACTGAGGCGCTTCTGAGGACTCCTGAACTCGCATGCCCAGAGGCCTGCCCCCCTGTCCTTGAGAGGGACCTCATCCAGCCATCCTTGGGCCAGCATCTGCTCTGTTTCCAGGTTGACCATCTGAGAAGTTATTACTGGATAGGAGCTGTGAAACCTGTGCCCTGACCTTATTTTTTTCATTTGCTTCTCAAGGCTGGAGTGCGATGAGGAGTGTTCAGCCTTGGAAAGGAAGAAGTAAGTAGTTTCAGCTGCTGTTTATCTACTTGTCTCTGGGCTCTGTGAAATTCGTGGGAGGGAGCCACCCTTCAAGCATTCACTCAACACCTGCTCTGAGTCTTTTGCTGCTATTGGAGAGCAAGAGAAATTCGATCGTCAAGAATTGAAGGGTTTAAGGATTAGCCACTTAAGTGATTTCAGCATATTTCTGAAACGTGAGCATGTGTGATTCTGGGCATGGTGTAAACATCACTTGCCACAGTGTACTTATTCAGTGACCTGTAGACTTCCTGATTCCAGTGGGCATAAGAGGCTTAAAATTTTCTTTAATGAACTTTTATGTTGAAGTATAACATACGTATAGAAGATGAGAAGTGTACAGATCAGTGAGTCATCATAGAGTAAATACAGTGGTGTAATCAGCACCCAGGTCAAGAAACAGAAAATTACCAGAACCCTCTCTTGTACTCCACAAAGATCTCTCTCTCTCCTGACTTCTAGCACTTTAGATTAGTTTTGGTTTTTTTTAAGATTTTATTTTTCCTTTTTCTCCCCAAAGCCCCCTGGTACATAGTTGTATATTCTTCATTGTGGTCCTTCTAGTTGTGGCATGTGGGACGCTGCCTCAGCGTGGTTTGATGAGCAGTGCCATGTCCGCGCCCAGGATTTGAACCAACGAAACACTGGGCCGCCTGCAGTGGAGCGCGTGAACTTAACCACTCGGCCACGGGGCCAGCCCCCTTCACTTTTCACTCTTAATGGTGTCTTTTTGATAAACAGATGTTTCTAATTCTAACGTAGTTGAGTTTATCAGTCTTTTCCTTAGTGAGTAGTACTTTCTTTGCCGTATTTAAGAAATATTTAGTCTATCCTGAGGTCATGATGGTTTTCTGTGTTATTGTCTGGGAGCTGTTTTATTTTACGTTTAGATCTACAGTTGACCTGGACTGATTTTTTTGAGCAGGGTATAAGGAGGGTTCGTGATTCAGTTTTTTTCCATGTGAATATTCATTTGACCAGTACCGTTTATCAAGATGTCCTTTTCCCAGTGCTCCGCAGTACCACCTTTGTCTTAAGTCAACTATTCATATTATGTGTGGGTCTATTTCTAGCTGTATCCTATTGTACTAGTATCACACTGTCTTAATTATTGTACCTGTATAACCAGTCTTAATGTCTGGTAGTGTATCTCTTCAAACCTGGTTCTTCAGGATCGTCTTGGCTGTCCTTGGCTGTTTGCATTTCCATCTAAGTTTTAGAATTAGCTTATCAATATCTACCCAGAAAACCTACTGGGATTTTGATTGAGCTGGTATTTAATTTATGGATCAATGTGGGGAGATTTGACATCTTTGTAACATTGAGTGTTCTAATCCTTAAGCAAGGTGCATCCTTCCATTTACTCATGTCTTCTTTGATTTCTCTCAATGATATTTTATCCTTTTCTGTGCATTGATTTTGTACATCTTTTGGTAGACTTGCTCCTTGTTCTTTGATGTTTTTTGATGCTATTATAAATGATATTTTATTCTTGTATCACTTTTAAAATTTAATTTTTTAATTGCTTGTTGCTGGTATATAGAAATACAATTCATGTGTGTTGACTTATATTCACAACCTTGCTAAATTCACTTATTTCTGATAGTTTATCTGTAGCTTCTTTTGGATTTTGCATGTACACAGTCATGTCCTCTTTTAATAATAGTAGCTTTCTTTCTTTCCAATTCTTAACTTTTTTCTTTTTCTTGCCTTATTGCACTGGCTAGGGCCTCCAGTACAGTGTTGAATAGAAGGTGGTGATATTCCTGACTTGTCGGAAAGCTTTAAATATTTCACCACTAACTATGATGTTTCCTGTGAGCTATTTGAGGATACTCTTCATCAAATTAAGGGACATTTATTCAATGACTGGCAAGCTTTTTGGTTCCAACAAAGACTGATTAAAAGGTATAGCCCTGTAAAAATGTTAATGATTGTAGAATTTAAGTGAAGGGCATATAGGAATTCATTGTAATATTCTTTTAACTTGTCTTTCTTTGAAAATGTTTCAAGGTAAAAAGTCAAACAGAAACAGACAAATGCAGACTAAGTATAGTCCTGTTGTCCCTTCAAGTTTGACTTTGCACACTTGATACCAGGACCTCTTTCAGCAGCTGAATGTGTAGAAGGTGATGTGGTGACTAATGACACTGCCCGAATTTCCCTGGGTTTGACCTTCGGGTAACTTTGTAATAACTGCTGCTGGAAACTCGCCCTTTAAGAACCGTTCATCTCAGTGTTCTCAGCTGCAGAATGTGAACCAGGAGTCCTGAGTGTTCAGAAATGCTGTAGCGAGACCGCACAAGGCCTCCAGAGGTGGAGCTGCACCTCCGTGTGATCGAGAGGCAGCGTCATAGAGGTCAGAGCCAGGGCTCCCCACTCAGCCTGCCTGGATTGAGTCCCAGCCTCACAGATCACTTAGCTGTGTGACCTTGGGCAAGTCACACATTCGCTCTAAGCTTGAATTGTCTTAAAAATCTGTGGAAATGGTGACAATAATAGTATCTGCCTCCCAGAGTTATTGTGAGGATTAATAGATTAAAACTAAGGATGGTGCATATAAAGCTCTCGCTCGAGCCTGGCACATTAGTAGGTGCTCAGAAATATTCGTATTGATTAGAGCTGGCTCTCTGTTTTGAAAGCCTTTTGAATTTCTCCTCAATCTTACAGTGATGATGTAATGACCCGCACTGTATGGAGATTCCTTCTGAAATACCCACTGACCTAAGAAAAAAAAGAAAAGCAAAGTTAAAAAGGAAACCACCACCTAAGGTTGCAAATGTATACTCCGTTGCAGAGATGAGGCGCTGGCAGGCCAACTGCAGCCCACAGACGTGTTTTATTGGTGTTTAAATTTGAGTGAGTGGCTGACGAATCAGAAAATTGGAAGATCTCCCCCTAGGAATTCTCTTGAAATTTTGAAAATTGAGCTTAGGGGCTGGCCCCGTGGCCAAGTGGTTGAGTTCGCGCGCTCAGCTGCAGGCGGCCCAGTGTTTCATTGGTTCGAATCCTGGGCGCGGACGTGGCACTGCTCATCAGACCACGCTGAGGCAGCGTCCCACATGCCACAACTAGAAGGACCCACAACAAAGAATATACAGCTATGAACCGGGGGACTTTGGGGAGAAAAAGGAAAAAAATAAAATCTTAAAAAAAAAAAAGAAAGAAAAAGAAAATTGAGCTTAAACCAGATTCTTATGGGCATTAAACTTGCAAGAGACCCCTGTCTGTGTAAGTGGAAATTGTACTAAGAGCTAAGCTGAATTTTACCTGTCTTTAAAGAAAAAAGGCATAGCTGGGTGTCGATGAGATGCCACAGGTCAGAACACAGCCAAGGGGTCGTGGAGACCACTCAGACTGCAGTGACCAAAGGGTCTGGTGTCCATCCCATTTAACTTGGTAATCCCACACCTGGAAACATTTTCCCAAGAAATAATCTTAAAAGCTTTTTGCTCAGAGATATTAATTGTGTGACTTTTAAAGTTGAGAAACTGGGGAACTGTGACAGAAATCTAAATGGGGAATGTTTAAGTAAATTGTAGGATATACATAATTAGAAGATTATGCAGCTATTAAAAGAGTAAGTATGAAAACCAAATAGTAGTATGAGAAATGCCTATCATATAATGATGTGGGGAAAAAAGATGTAAAATTTTACATACACCGACTGCAAATACTTAAAGGGAAAAAAATCTGAAAGGAAATGTATTAAAATGCAGTGTTTCTGTTGTTAATGGAATTCTTTCCTTTGTATTCCAGACTTTCTGTGAGGTGATATTAATTTTAATAGTTATGTGTCTACTTTGTGTATCTGATGTTTCGGTGAAACCTCAGAGAATGCCATCCCTGTTGACCGTTCCCAGAGCTCTCAACCCCCAGCCTCCTCTCCACCACATAACCCAGGGCCCAGCGTCAGCCTGTGGTGCACTCAGACCCACATAGAGCATCGTGTTTATTTTCTTCCATGAAGACAGTACCATATCTTGTCCCAGGATATAATCAGGCTTCCTGAAATAAGATCATTAACGTCTAGAGAACTGAGGATGTGGCGGGAACTCTCTTACTACAAGAAGTTTGCCCCGCTCCTTTCCTTTTATTTACATGCTTCTCTCTTCCTTTCAGACGGTTAGCAGAGGCGTTTCATATCAGCGAAGATTCTGATCCTTTCAATGTACGTTCTTCAGGGTCAAAATTCAGTGACAGTTTGAAAGAAGATGCCAGGTATGTTGCTTGTTACCTGCTTTCTTAATTGTGGCCTACAAGAGTGTTTGGTCTTTTAGGATGTAGTCACTAGTATGTACTCCTCTGTGACTGAGTCAGTTGAAGGTTATATATCTATTATAAGAGATTATATGACGTTTAATAAAAATCCTTCTCTTGGTTTCTCAGAACTGTGCCCTTGAGGAACTGAATATGAGGTGTTGTGTGTTCCCTGTGGTAGAAGTTTGGGCCCCCCGTGGGTCCTCACTTGGGCAGAAACAGCTCCTATTCTGTCCCCTGGCCCTCCAGTGGCTGTTTCTCCTTCCGTCCTCTCCTTTCTCGTATTTGTTTTCCCTTTCCCTTTCCCTTTGATTGCAGTCGACCTTCTGTTGTCTGGCAGTTCCTGACTTCTGTAGTTCTTCTGCCCACGTTGTCCATTGTCTGCACTTTGCAGGCAGAGAGGGCGAGTGGAAGGGATTCTCAGAAGAGCAGGAACAGATGAATTAACTGTGGTGATTTCTCGTTTCAGGAAGGACTTAAAGTTTGTCAGCGACGTTGAGAAGGAAATGGAAGCGCTTGTGGAGGCCGTGAACAAGGTTAAAGTCAAAACATACAACTGGATGTGTCTCTAAGGCCAGCTTGATAGAAACTCGAGTCCCAGAAACACTGTCAGTGTAGAGTAGTTGTGGGGAAAAGCCACAACTTCCTTGAGGATCCTTATCTTCCCCAAAAGCCCAGCCATTATAACATCCAGGGAAGCCCTGTCCTGGTCCGGAAGAGACATGTGCAGTCAAATAGAATGTCAAAAGATCCGAGCTCAGTGCCTGGAATAGGTGAAGAAACTGGATGAGGGGGTCCCACAGTGAGAGTTGCTGGCTGTATGGGATGCTTGGGAAGACACGCTGGGCCCTCAGATCTCTGACAGGCTGTTATGTGGTAGGACACACGGGTTCATTTCCCTGAAGGCAGTAAAGACACATTGGGTCCACAAAAGAAGTTGGATGCCTAGAGCTGAAGAGCAGTGTGGTGTGAAGACCCTTCAAGGGTCTCAGGAGAGTGACTCCCCTGTCCTGGAGGTAGCTTTGAGCAAGAAAGTCTTGTGGTCAGAGTAGCCGGCCCCACGGTGGCTCCGTCTTCATTCGTGGGGGCCATGGGTCAGGATGGGACGGCCGCTTCAGCTCCATGTCTGATGGCGAGTTTCCTTCCCAGCATTTCTCTTAGCCCCTGCCCCTCCTCCCTTCCTCCTTTCTGTTCCCACTTCCCAGCAGGATACTAACTCGAAGGACAAAATGGGATCATTGTTCCTCTCCGAATTAGGAAACCTGAGCAAACCTTTTTCTCTGCTGTGTGTCTCTATCTGCACACTCATGATTATTAGTGTAGAATGCACTTTTATAGGAAGTGAGATTTCCGTATTTTGTAAGTCTTCGGTCTATTTAGTCATTTCTTGGGAGTGTCACTCACTCGCTGGCTACGGGCCCTGAGGAGGAACCGTCACAGCACCCATGTGAGTCTCAGCTCACTCACCCCTTGTCCCTAACATGGCCAACTGCTCCCGTGTGGCCAGAGTGGGTGAAGGAAGTATGTCAGCCCTCGTCCTCCCAAACCCCGCAGCTTGATTGGCGGTCAGTGAGATGCTGTGGCTGTGGGCCTCCAAGACTCAGCCCCAACTTGGTTGACCCCGGCTGTTCTGGTGAGGCTAGAAGGACCTTTGTAAGCATATTCTGTTTTCAGGATGATTTTATCAATTGGTCGTCTTTTCCCTCAACACAGGGGAAGAATAGTAAGAAGAGCCACTCCTTCCCTCCCATGAACAGAGACCACCGCCGAATCATCCACGACCTGGCCCAAGTGTATGGCCTGGAGAGCGTGAGCTACGACAGTGAGCCGAAGCGCAACGTCGTGGTCACGGCAGTCAGGTGGGCTGATCCTGCCCTCGCAGGAGGACCTGCTGGGGGCCCTGGACCTGGGAAGCAGAGTCTGTCGGCATTTGCTTTCCTTTCTTCCTCTCCTGGACCAATAGATGGAAGGTCTGCTTCTGGGACAACCATTCTGAGGTGACCTAAAGTCTGGCCCAGGGAGCAAAGGCCAGGCCCCAGGCCACAGCGCAGGCAGGCCTGAAATATGCCAGCCTCACGTCTGCCCAGACCCACGGCTGTCACTGGGGACAGCATGTCAGGCAGAGGGAACAGACCCCAGGGGCCTGGGGTGGCTGCCTGCCCATCACATCTGCCCCTTTCCCCTTTTGACCTCCTGGCCTGAAGGAAACAGAAAGGATGCTGGACTGTACTCAAGGCATGCCCTGTAAACACTGTTTGCCATCAGAGGAAACTGAGGCAGTGATGTGAGACAGGAGAGGACAGGGAGGACCTAGGGTCACTCTCAGAACCTGAGGGGGTAGAAGAACTTCCCAATGAAGGAAGCTCAAGCTGAGGTGAGAGGAAGCAGGTCACAGGCCCAGCAGAGGTGGGTGGAAGGGGCGAGGGTGACATGGGGGTGACGGTGCCTGAGGAGACCGGTCGTATCAGGGATATCCCAGTGTCACGGACTGGATTTCCTGCTGTCTGCCAGTCTCCACAGACTGTTCTCGCTTTTCAATACTTTGTGTTCTGTCTTTTATCAGAGGGAAGTCCATTTGTCCTGCTACCACGCTGACAGGTGTACTTGAAAGGGAAGTGCAGGCCCGGCCTCCACCACCGATTCCTCACCACAGACAGCAGACAGACAAGTAAGAATTCTTAAGCTGCTTCCAGAAGGCCCTGTCTGTTCAGAGAAGCCAGCAGGGGTGGAACTGTCCTGGGTTGCACCAGCCGCTGGCGGCCTCCTCCGGCCTGTCCTTGGGGTCCTGTGTTCAAATATGTACGATTGGACTGGGATGTGGTGTTTGTAATGCCCATTTCCCTCCAGGAAGAGGTCACTGGACGTAAGTCCCGCAGTGTAGATGGTGACACTGGGAAGTGGATTCAGTTTGTCCCACCAGATGACTTAGGAACATCACGTGGTTCACAGCAGTGACTCTGGAGATGGAAGTGAGATGGGGGGACTTGGCAGTGAAAGGGGGGACTTTGGTGTTTTGTTCTGTCTACTTCTGTGCAGTTTGACTTCATTTTTACAACAAAAACACGTATTCATGATTTAAAGAGAACAGGAAACCGCGTTGGCAGGCAGCACGTCTGCCAGGTGTTTTCCCAGACAGAAGCAGGGCAGGAGCGCCTTCCCTCCTTCCCGTCCTCTCCCTGCCGGGAGAGAACCAGCCACCCTACCGTGACCGAGGCAGTGTTGCTGAAAGTTGCTCTGGGACCCAGAGGGGTCCCTCCTCCTGTTCTGGCCTTCTGCACAGAAGCCCAAGCAGTATGTCCTACACAAAACCTCTGGGAGGGTGGGTAGGACAGTTTACAAGATCACCATGAGGGTCACAGCAATCAGTCTTCTCCTAGGACTAGACAAGACAGCTGGGTGTTGCCCATTGGGCACAGCCTCAGCCAGGAGTACCTGGGGCCACGTAGCTCCCCAGGACCAGGCCCACTCCACCCCTGGGAAGCAGGCAGCCTGGATCTGGTCAGCACAGCTGTGAACCCACGTGGGCAGTGTTTTGGAAACGTAAGGGCAATTCCACAGCCACGTCCAGTCCACCTGTACCTAACCACGTGGCGTCTTTGGCCTGTTTATGCCGTGCTGTCTTTTTTTCCTTTGCTTGCTTTATTTTTGTACAAACCTTTATTGTGAAACTTTTTAGAGGAAAGAGAACAGTATTAATATAGTGAACCCTTGTGTGCCCATCACCAGATTCCGCGGCTCCCAGCACAGGCGGGCCCCGCTGTCTTATCAGAGCTTCACAACATGTGAAGCGGCTGATCCTGAACATTCTGAAGACCTGCGTCTGTTCCCCCAAACAAGAAAATACTGATCATTCTTTGTTTGCTTTGCAGGAATCCTGGGAGCAGTAATTTACAGAAAATAGCCAAGGAGCCAGTAATTGACTACTTTGATGTCCAGGACTAAGAGGATCAGGATCCCCTCACATGAAAGAGTAATGAGGTGTGGGGCAGACTCGCCTGCTGGCAGATAAGGCATGCTCGTTCCAGCTGCCTGGGAGACTGACAGCCTTGCCTCCTGTCTCAGACAAATACGTCCAGAGCCTGAGTGTGTCGGAGTCCCCTGCTCCTCTGTTCCCTCTGTATAAAGTATTTCCGTGTGGCCAGATGTCTGACTGGACAGTCACTGGCGATGCCATCATGTTTTTGCAGAGGCTTCTCACGTCATCACTGATTGCTCGGAGGGTTGGGGCAACCTTGGGCTTGATCTGGACAGACCAGAATTTTAGCCTGAAAATGGCACTTAGAGCCCAGTTGTCCCAGTCATGCATCCTCCTCCTGAAAATGCCTGCAACGCCTGGTGCACCTCGCCGCCTTCATCCAGATTCATCGCGGTCTTTAGAAAGACACAAGCGAACTTCTCAGTCCTTAAAGCAAACACTGAATTGGCACACTATATCCCGAAGCACCCAGGTTGTGTTAGACCCGGCTGTCTCGTCTGAGTCTGTGGCCAAAACCTCTCACAGGTTTGTCTAGCTGAACTGTTTTAGTGGTTCTCAGTACCATCAGTTCTAACCTAGGAGAGGGGCCAGGTTGCTTTACAGAGTTCTGTTTTCCAGAGTCCGGGGGCTGCCTCATACCACATCACTGAGCCTGTCTGGTCACAGACATGAGCTGTCCACCATGATGGTGGAGGACGTAAGGCAGCTGCACCTCCTACACAGGGTCACACGGTGGCCTCTGTGTGCTGAGCAGGGTAGCCCTAACTCCTCTGTGTTGGAGAGGGTCTCAGGTAGACTTGCCCTTCCTCTGTTGCTCTCTCCCAGGCCTGCAGCAGCCGTGTTGGCTCTCCCTGTCTCTGAGCTCTGGACTTCTGTTTGAATGTTCCCAAAAAAGGTGGACAGTCATGGCTTATCTCAGCAGCCTGCTGGGAGCATCCCACAGGCTCCTTCAAGGCAGGTGCAGCGACAGTTACATGAGTTGGCCCTCTTTGCATTGGCATCTCCAGCACGGGGGCCAGACTGCCAGCAGCTGCCGCTGCTCCAGAACAAGCCACAAGCCCAGAGCAACAGAAGGAGACTTGAGAAGTGACGTCACAAAACCAGCACTTAACATTCATAGGAAGAGCAGGGCAGCCGTTTGGTCCTGACCTAGACAATCTGCCTTGAAAGGCATCGGGTACAGCAGGGAGAAGAGGCAACCGGAGGGAAGAGACAGAATGCAAAACCACCTTTGTCTGGGCCCTTTCAGCAAGGGTCAGCGGCCCCAGACACAGCGGGCAGCCCATGAGCATCCGTTACGTCTTTGAGGCGGTGAGCTCAGTGGGTGAGCTGTACCCTGAGAGCATCTCAGGAGCAGCAGGAGGTGGGATGTCTGATCTCAGATCCCAGCTCTGCCACCCAGCTTGCTGCCTGGTGGAATGGAGGTGTCACGTTCCTCACCAGAGTCGTGGTGAGGACTAAATGAGAACGCACGTGGAGGGGCCTGATCCTGGGTGCTGAAACTTTATAAAAATGATACTTGAGACGTGGAAAATACGTAAACGTCTTCTTCCCCCACATTGCTAGAGCGCTGCCCACGCCTCTGCTGGTGCGTGCCCGCCCACCTGTCCCGCGCCAGCCCGCACGAGCATGTGCGCGGCAGAGTGACCTGTTCTTTTATCGTTCGTAGTCCAGGGAGGGACGCACACCTGAGCAAATATTTGTAATGGAATTGGTTGGTCTGGCCCAAGTAGGTCATTAGTCTGTTATTAAAAGCTGAGGAGCCGTCAGAGGCGTTTTCTGTGACGTTGTGGTAGGAGTTGGCCACCGTGGTTGGGGGAGGGAAGCAGGAGGAAGCATCTGAGCTGAGTCTTGAGGTGGCAGACCGCCATTTGGAGAAGGAGGGAGGCAGCCAAGTGACAGCAGATGGTGTGGGACGAGCCCTGGGGTGTGGTTCGTGGCAGGTTCGAGGAAGGGTTAGTTGTCCAGAGTGGGCAGACAATTGGAGGGACCAGTGATGAGGCTGGAGGTGGACAGGGGTCAGCTGTGGAGAGCCACAAAGAGCCACTGAAGGGTCCTAAGCAGCGAGCGGCGCCTCTGGTTTACGATCCAGAGCAGGAGTTGTGTTTTCTGTAAAGGGCCGGCCAGGACATGTTTTAGGCTTCATGAGCCTTCGAGTTCCTGTCGCAGCTACCCAGCTCTGTGTTGTGGTGTGAAGGCAGCCACGGGCAATGCGTAAGCAAGTGAGCACAACTGTTCTGATAACACTTCCTTTTATAGATGCTGAAACCAGAATTTCTTGTAATTTGTACGTCACTAACTATTTTTATTTTTTCCCAAATACTTAAAAATATAGAAACCATTCTTAGCTCGTGGGTTTACAAAAACAGGCAGCAGGCTGGCCTCGGCCATGGACCCTTGGTTTGCCCCGCTGTTCTAGAGCAGTCTCTCAGGCCGAGTGTGTAGAAGGGACGGGGGGCTAACTTTGAGGCAAGAGGCCCGGCCGAGGGTTGCAGGAGTGATCCAAGTGAGAGGATGAGGTGATGGGAGCTGGTGCTGTGAAGAGGGGAGAGATTCAGGAGACCCGGGAGGTAGGAGAGGGTGCCATGGGTCAGCAGGGGCCAGCCCTCCTCCATCACCGGAGGGACCACAGCCCCCCAGCAAGGGGAAGCTGCTGCTCGGGCTCGGCGGATTCTGCACTGAGCAGTGGCCTTAGACAAGACTTTCCATGAGCTTGGACTAAAGGGAGAGACGCTCCCACCCGTCCACACCCACGTGGTGGGAGCCTGTGGGCACCAGGACCCCACGCTATTGCTCCCTGAGAATCAGGTGGTATTTTCCCTCCCCCTCTGGCCCCACGCTCTTCTTCAGCAGGAGCTTCTTTATGAGGCCAGAGCCTTCCAGAGACCAAGTGCTTATCTCTGGAATCCCCTCTGGCTCGTCTGGAGGGCTGGCTCCTTTCACCGGTGGTGCCCGCCTGGCGTGCAGGGGGCTTGTGTGCAGGACTGTGGAGATGAAAGCAGCCGTGCTGACGGCAGGGTCTGTGTGGAGCAGCTCTGGATCCTGTCCCAGCCAGGCCAGAGAGCGGACCAGGGCTGGGGAAGAAGGAATGTCGGTCTCATGGGGGAGGTACAGATCTCAAACAGCAGGTCCTGAGATTTAGGTTTGGGGGAGTCCTTCCCATGTGGTGCCGGCCTCTCGCTTCGTGCCTGAAAGCCTGGAGACCTGGTTCTCCAGGGAGAACCTGCCACTGTGCCTCCTCTTCCAAAACTGGGGAGGCAGGGCCAGGCCAGGCCAGGCTCCTTCACTGTCACAGACCTGCCTTCCTCGTCAGTCCCCCCACACACCCTGCTATACCCATCGGGAAAGTTCTGCCTCCCAGACTCCCCACGTGGCCTCGGCGTGAATGTCCCATACCATCTCTCATGGCCTTTTAAAGCTCACAAGTCCTCAGGGCATTCTCTAAGCCAGTCCAACCTCTCAGGCTACAAAGGCCCAGGCAAAGGGGCCGGCTCGGTGGTGCAGTGGTTAAGTTTGCACGTTCCTCTTCAGCAGCCTGGGGTTCATCAGTTCAGATCCCGGGTGTGGACATAGCACCACTTGTCAAGCTATGCTGTGGTAGGCGTCCCACATACAAAGTAGAGGAAGATGGGCACAGATGTTAGCTCAGGGCCAGTCTTCCTCAGCAAAAAGAGGAGGATGGGCAGATGTTAGCTCAAGGCTGATCTTCCTCAAAAAAAAAAAGGGCCCAGCCCAGGAGGGGCAAGGCTCCATTGGGTCACACAGTGAGTGCCAGGCCAGGACTGGAATCCAGGCCTTGGGTTTCCCAGCCTAGAACCGCCCGAGGCCAGGAGGGGCTGAGTCCTCAGGAAAAGGGATCTGTCTTCCCTACACAGAATTCCCTTGGAATCCTTCGCAGTGGCGCAGGCTGCCCTCGGCCCCAGGCTTCATGTGGTCGCTCTTCCTAAGGCCCAGCCTCCTGGGAGACCTGGCTGCAGAGAGCCCCGCTGAACTAGCATGCCGGGGTGGCTGCCTCAGCTCTCTCTGACCCTGGGCAGTTTGCTCGCGGTGTCTGAACACTGGTTTCCCCATCTGTCAGGCAGGAGTAGTTCCTGCCCGTGGGCGCCCCGAGCCATTGGGAGGGTAAGTGGGCAAACAGAGAGGGCCTGGGAGGTTGGGAGAGTCTCCCCAAGTCATGCAGCATCTCCACACGGTCCAGCCTCTGGAGCCTGCTGTCCCAGGACTGTCTGTCTCTCAGGAGGAGCTCATTTGGGGGGAAGAAACAGAGCAGTTGGGAAGCTGCCCAGCAAGGGCAGGGGCTTTCAGTCACCCCGCTTAAACTGTGCCACCCACCCACCCAAGCCTGACCATGGGCGAGCAAGTCAGGGTCCTCTTGTTCCCACACTTCCCCAAGAACCTCTCCTCAGGGTAGACGACAGCTATGAGCACTTAGTGTTGCCTGGCTCTGTGCTCACTCCTCTACTCAAGGCCCCGGGAAACATGTATCATTACCCCGTTCAACCCCGAAGGTTGGAGAGTTAGGTTGCTTGCCCAAGATCACCCAGTGAACAACTGGGGATCTGAAATTCCTACTAGGCCTGACTCCAACACCTGTGTTCTCCGCTGCACGGGCAGAGAGCTTGTCATGGAGCCCCTGGGACCACGTGGCCGGCAAATCAGGACAAGTGGGAGGGAAGTTGGCACTATGTTCATCACAACATAGAGAACAGCAGCAAGCCGCTGAAGATGGGGCTCTTTCCTCCAAAGGCCACTAGGGGGAAGTGTGAACCCCCAACCAGGAGCCTGGAGATGGGCTGGGGCAGGGCTTACACCCAGGAGAGAGCTCAGGAAAGCTAATTGAAACTTTTTAGTAGGGTTTACAACCAATATCTTTTAAATTTACTACCTTTTCTCTTCTTTTTTTTAATACTGTTTTCTCTCTGCTTGTTGATAGACACATTATAGGCATGGGTGGGAGAAACAAGCCATGCAGCTGTCTGGAGGAAGACCGTGCCAGGCCAAGGGAACAGCCATTGCGAAGGCTGGTGGTGGCAGCGTGCTGTGCACCCTGGAGGAACAGCAAAGTGTCAGCTGCAGGGGAAGGAATAAGGGAGAGGGTGGCCGGGGCCTTGAGACCATGGAAGGCTTAGGGCAGAGGAGGGAACGATCAGATCTGGCTCATCTCTTGGAAAGATCACTCCAGCTGCCGTGTTGAGACTAGACTGTAGGGTGAGTCCAAGCAAGGGGAGGGGCTGGGAGAGCCGTAAGAGGCCACACCATCTCCGAGGGAGGCGACAGCGGCTCCAACCTGGGTGACGGTGGTGGGGTGGTGAGAAGTGGTTGGGTTCTAGATCCATTTTGCAGGTGGCGCCTGTGGGATTTGCTGACAGCTGGGATGTGGGGGGTGAGAGGCGAGAGTCGGGGGGACTTCACTTTTTGGCCTGAGCAAGGGAAGACTGAGTGTGCCATTACTGAGCTCAGGAAGAGTGTGAGGAGCAGGCTTGGGGGATGGAAATCTCTCCAGTAGGCGACCGTACATGGGAGTCTGAAGTCTGGAAACAGGATCGGGCTGGAGATCTAATTTGGGGAGCTGTTGGCACATGACGGTATTGAAAGGCTGGTGAGACCATGTTGGGAAATAGGGTGAGAGAGAAGAGGTCCTAGGACTGTGCCCTGCCCACCGTCATCTGGAGGGCGGGGAGCTGAGGAAGGGGCGGAGCCTGGGGCTGGCGCCGCAGGACGCAGTGCTACAGGAAGTCCTGTGGCGTGGGGTCTCTGGGGTTTCCTCCAGGTTGCCCAGGGGAGAGTGGACTGCTTTTTTCTTTTTAATTTTCATTTTAATTTTTATAGCAGTAACATTGGATTCTAACATTATAGAACTTTCAGGTGTACATCATAATATGTTTTGAATTCTGTGTAGATTGCATCATGTTTACCACCCAAAGACTAATTACAATCCATCACCACACACACTCACACCACACAAAGGGCTAATCACCCCTTTCGCCCTCCTCCCTGCCCCCTTCCCCTCTGGTAACCACCAGTCCAATCTCTGTTGCTATGTGTTTGTTTGTTTTTGTTTTTATCTTCTACTTAGGAGTGAGATCATACGGTAGTTGACTTTCTCCCTCTGACTTATTTCACTTAACGTAATACCCTCAACGTCCATCCAGGTTGTCATAAATGGCCGGATGTCATCATTTCTTATGGCTGAGGTGGAGAGTGGGCTTCTCTTGCTTTCCCTGACCTGTCTGCACCTCCTGAGGGACAGGGCCGGGCCCAGGGCACAAGTCAGTTAAGGTCCCAAAGTATTCGGGTTCCCAGGGCCAGGGGAGATCACGGGCCTTGGCCACCACCTCCTCTTTAGCATCTCTTAAACAGGGGTGCCCCCCAGGGCTCCATCCTCTCTCCCTGGGCCACCTCATCCCTCCGCAAGTCTTGAAATGCCACCCTGGGCTTATAAGCTCCGTCTCTAGCCCAGGCCTGCGTTTCTCCCTGGATATGCCACAAGCACGTCGGATCTGTGCGCCTGACCTCTAGACTGTCTCCTGGTGTCTCCACCACCTCGCCAGCCTCCCCCTTAGGAGTTCATCTTCTCTCTGATGCCTCCTGACTGGGGCCAGAGGCCAGAGCCAAGGTGGGGAATGTGGGGGTGGGGAGGGCAGGAGCTCATTCTTGCTGGCCTGGCAGGGCTGTTCCTGGGGCCTGCTGTGACTCCAATCTGAGGAATCCTCCTTATCAGCCATCGGAGTTTGGTTGGGTCCCTGGATGCTCAGCCCTGCATTTATGGCCTTATCTGTGTGCTTGGGTGTGCCTGGCTCTGAGCTGTGTATCTTCTCTCTCAGCCCCTGACCTGGCCTCTGAGCCTCCAGCCCCTACTCACCCAGGCCCCCACTAGGCCCAGAGCATCCCCTCCAGGAGCCCCTGCACAGCCCCTCCAGCCCCTCGCCCCTTGGCTCCTGATCACAGACGCAAGGGAGACCGTGAGCTCTGGCAAACCCTCCCCGGCCTCGCTCCACCACAGCACCACGCTGATGGCCAAGCCGAGACCTGAAGCCCCTCACCACTGCAAGCCTCGTCCCCATCTTACAGATGAAGAAACTGAGGCCCAGAGAGGTTTAAGAACATGCCAAATCTCAGTGGGGAGGGGGGCGCTTGAGTGTTTTTTGTTTATTTGGGGGCCGTTTTGTTTTTTGAGTGTTTTATTGTTAGTTTAACTGTATGTGTATGTTATACACACACGTTGACAGAATATATTTCACAATTTAAAAATCAAACAAAAACTAGCCAAGATCCTATCAATAAGCACAAGAATCCCTACCCTCTCCCCCTTCTGCGCCAGTCTCCCCAGGCCTCAGTTTCCTTGGATGTAAGTTGGCCGTGGTCATATGAGAGAATGTCGAGTGATAACAGCAAGCCCACGCCCCCCCGTGCCAGGCATAGCTCATGTCGTCACCCGGCAGCCCGGTGAGGTGGCAGCTCTTACTGTCCTGTCTTACCTAAGGTCATACAGCTAGGAGGTGGCAGAGCCGGTATTTGGATCCAGGCGGGCTGGCCTCGCCTGTGCTCTTGGATGGCACAGTAGGGGCCCTGCGGCACGCAGGGGACTGGGGTCACCTGTTCCCACTTCAGGTTCAGCACAGAGGCGAGTGGGAGCCAAGGTCGGGCTGCTCAGCTCTGAGGGGCCACCCAGGGCATCAGCACCCCAGCCTGGCCTGTGATGGCTGCTCCCACCTCTTCCTGGTCTGCAGGACCCGCTCTGAGGGAGGAGACAGTGAGGCCAGCCAGGGGCACTGTCTGTGGGTGCCTGGCCCTCTGAGGCCCTGAGTGGGGGTGGGAGAGCAGGCAGGATGGGGAGCAAGGGGCTTTCCCAAAGCCAGAACCACTAGGCTGAGGACCAAACCTGAAGTGCAGAGCCCAGGAGGGGCCAGGCCTGGGGCTGGGAGTCGTTCCTGCCCCACCATTGTCCCAACCACAGCCTCAGCTCGGGTGGGAAGTCGGGGGGACTGGGGTCATGACATGAGGCTTCGAAGTGCTGGAAGAAGTCAGAGCTGGGGGTACCCCAGGCACCAACAGATCCAATCCTCATTGTACAGATAGGGAAACAGGCCCAGAGAGGGGAGGGGTCCTGTCCAGGTCACACAGCCAGTCCCTGCTGGACCTGGGACTGGGAGAATGGGAGAGGAGCAAGGCCTCCCATGGCTCACATCCCAGCCTGGCTCCCAGAGCTGCACGGAGGTGTCTCCTGGGTCCAGCCAGGGAGCGGTTAATCCTGCCCACCCACCCCATCCTGCCTACTTCCATCCTTCCTTCCTTCTGCAGCCGGACCTGCCTCTCTCCTCCAGGGACCTCCTTCACCTCTGCCGCAGGCCTTGGCCTCACCTCTGCCCTGGACCTGGCCTCAGTTCACCCTACCACCTTACTTCTCTGACCTCGTCCTCTTCCACTCTCCCCTCCAAGCCAGCAATGGCTCCCCGCTGCTCCAACCTCTGGGCCTTTGCACTGGCTGTTCCCTCAGCCTGGCATACACTTTCCCCAAGTGTCCACACGGCTCACTGCCTCACCCCCTTCAGGTCTTTACTCAAAGTCACCTCCTCAGTGAGGCCTCCAGTCCTCACACCCCTGCTCACTTCCTGTCCCCCTTTCCTGCTTCTCCTCCTTGGCGTGTGTCACTAACACACCCTGTTTTGTCAGCTCTGTGAGCACAGGGACCTTGTTTATCTTCTTTGTACCTGTCTCCTTGGGACTAGAATGGTATCTGGACATTGTGGGTTTTCGACCAACATCTGCCAAGAGAATGGAAGGGGTCTGCTCTGTGCATAGAGATGCTCTCTGGCCAGACTCATCTGGGCTGACACTGGGATCAGAATCTGCAGGATGTCAATGGCCCTGGGCCTAGTGCAGCTCTGTGGCAAGCGGTGGACAGCAGGCAGGGCTTCTGGGCGGACCCACTGGCTGCCCTGCCTCTGAGGCCACCTCCCAGGGACTTGAGGATACCAGAAGGCTGAAGTGTCAGTGAGGGGCAGAGGAGGGCAGGACCTGGAACCTGGGGATCCCATGTGCCTCTCCACCTGTGGCTGAGGCCTATGGTCACACCGCAGTAGATCACTAGGAATGGGAGAGGCCACCCTCCTGGTGTTCACAGGGCCACTGAGGCTGAGCGAGGGGTAGAGCCTCTCTAGGGCCACAGAGGGCCCTCTGGCTGGGACTGCCAGCTGTCGGCCCTTCCTGGTCACTCCCAGGCCCGGTTCCCCTGGCCCGGCTCCTCCCACCGTGGGCCGTCAGACATGCTCAAGCCCCTGCCCTTCCTCCCTGGAGCCCCATCACCTCGTCAGGCCCCCTACCTCTCTCTTCCCACCACCTGTTCTCACGCTGTAGCTGCTTCTTCGTCTTTTAGACTGTATGATGCCTGCCAACGTATTTCACAGTTCTATGTTATAAAGCTCAATCCTACAACAAACCCGTAAGTTTACCCCCAACTCCAGGACGAGAACATGGTTAACAGCTCGCCCTACCGCATGCTCCTCCCACGCACCCCCCTGTCGCCATCCCCATTTCCCTGCAGGAACCATCCCTTTTTTTTAAAGTAGTTTTTTTGGCATATGTATGCCCAAAGAATAGAGGACTTTTGGGCTGTTTTTGCGCGATATAGCTGGTGTCACAGTGTGTACAGACCACTGCATCACTTTTCATGCCTCCAGACTTTGTCCATGTTGCTGCAGGGGGCTGCTATGCCTCAGTCGTCAGGGATGTGTCACATTCTGTTGTGTGTGACTGTACTGCCATGTAAGTCTGTCCCCATTGATGGACATTCAGGTTGGCTCCAGCGCCACATGACCACCCACCTGGCCCCCCTGCTCAGCCAAACCTCCTAAGGCTCCTCCCCTGCCGCGCCCCCAGGACCCTGCTCACTGACCCTCCCTTCCCTGTCCCACGGCCCAGCAAGAACCGCATGACCAGGGCTTCCCCAGTCTCTGTCTTCATCTCTCTTCTGAGCTCCAGAGCACAGAGAAGGCAGAATTGTTGTGGGGCGCTCACTCAGTGTCAAGCACCATTCTCAGCATTGTACACGTTTTATTTCATTGAATATTCGCAGAGACACAAATGGTAGGTAATGGGAGAACACCGAGGCCCAGAGAGGTTGAGTAACACCCAAGACAACACACCCCTTGCCCCCTGAGTCCCACAGACTACTCAGAATCAGCACATCCACAATATAACTTATCATCTTCCTCTCCAAACCAGTTCCTCTCCCAGACTCTGCTCTCAATGTGGACATCTCCAATGCTCAGGCCAGAGCTGGACCCTGGAAATGAGCCCTGACTCCTGGCACAGCCTCACCCGCTCCTTCCTCCAGTCCGAGCCCAGGTCCTGCAGTGTGACCTCCCTCGTGTTCAGCGAATCCTCACTCCTCTCCACACACACAGCACTGACCTGTTCGCGCCCCACTGCTCCTCCCGGCTTATTACCTCTCCCCACACTCCCTTGCAGGCCCCAATCTTTGCCTTTTCCAGCATCCTGCACCTGCCGCTCAGGTGGGCTTTCTAAATCTCAGCATGTCCCCACCTCCAGGGAAAGCCCATCTCCTCTGCCCTCTGTCCCCTCAAACTGTAAAGTGTGGCAACCAGCCCCAGAAAGGACACCCCACCATCCCCCCATTTGCTGCCTCCTCCTCTGGGAAGCCATCCCTGGCCTTGGCCCGAGGCTGGGCTGTGAGCCCTCTCTGAGCCCCACAGCCTCCATGCATCCCTCTTCTCTCCCTTGCTTAGCTCCCTCCTCATGGTGACCTGTCCCCGTTAGACTGTGCTCCTCGAAGGCAGAGACCCAGCCTCATCCAATGTGGCATCTCTAGTGCCCAGACAGGGCCTGCACCCAGGAGGTGCCAATGATTGTTGACAGGCTGAACGCACACGCAGTGACAGGAGCCATGGGTGATGCAGGATGTTTCCAGCCTGGCCCGGGGTTGGTGGATCCTGGCTGCCCCACCTCCACCAACCTCTGCGCCTGTCCCCCTGAACCCCGGGAAGCCCCTTTCTGTCTGCACCTTTGGGAAGGACTCCCCTCTCTGCAGCAGCCTCTCTAACTCTGAGATTCCTTAATGTGGGAGACTCTGGCACCAGGGAGAAGGAAGAAGAGTCCAGCCCCTCACTGCCTTCAGTCGACACTGGGCATTTGCAAGGGTGGGGGGTGATTTGGCCCCCAAGGGAGAGAAAATTGATTCTTGGGAGATGAAAAAATCTTACTCTTTTTTGTATAAAGCACAGATATATGTACAGTACGTAAATATATATACACTATATCAGTGGTATTAAAATATCATGTGATCAAGAAAAAAACATCTAAAAGGCTCCTGAGGGATCAGGAATGAAAAATAGGTTGAGAAACGCTGATCTACATGCTTGGGCCTTGCCCTGTCTGGTCCAGGGACTGGCCAGAACCGAGGGACAGTCCAGAGTCCTATTCTGTGACATTTCAAGGCATGCCCAGAGCTCAGCCCCCACCAGCGAGCTGCTGTCCTTTTCCCAGAACCTCCCTCCCTATCCTGTGCTCAAAAGTCCATGCTTCTGTGTCCAGCATCCTTTAATCTCATCTTGTTCCTACTGGGCTGTGGGTGGGCCCGTCCCCATCCTCCCCCAGGGGGCTCCCCAGCTCCCAGGGCTGGAAGGAGGTGGAGGCCTCTCTGCTCGGTGCTCCAGCCCCGGGGCCAGGGCACAGCCCTGGAGCTCCCAGAAGCATCCAGGAGAGAAGCCCAACCACAGGAGGCCCCCAGGAAGCGGGGGTGCCGCTGTGGGACAAGGCTTGCTTTATTGGGGTGGGGAGGGGTCACAAATCATCTTACTTAGAATTGCTCTAGGTTGACAGAGTCACCTAAGGGTGGGACAGGCCGGATTGAAGGTCTGCTGGTGGGGGACACAGAGACAGGGGTGAGGGAAGAGGAGTTGGGTGGGTAAGATGAGGTCTTGGGCAACACGGATATCCTGCGGTCTTCATACGCCCCGGGGTTCTCCAACATCTGGGCCTCCCATGGGTTGCTGGAGCCAATGAAGACCAAGTAGATGATGCCACCTAAGTAGGCACCCAGAGGCGGCGCCACCACTGGCACCCACCACCAGTCCTTGGCCCTGCAGGCAAGAGGCAGAGGCCTGCTGAGGGGGCAGATGCCAGGACGGTGCCTGCAGCCACCTCGGGCCAAGACAGGGAGTAGGCCTGAGAGTAGAGCGTGACCCCCCATCCTAGCCCAGGAGTGGTCAGCTTCAGCTTGATTCAGGGACAGGGACTGACGTGGGGCAGGACTGACGTTCAGTCCAGGGTCCACATCAGTGCTGGTCAGGATCCACTCCTGCCTCTCAGGCCACCTGGGGGCACTGCAGGACTCTCTTGTGCTGGTCCTCACGTCATCCCTACCCCTCCACATGCCGGGAACCACAGAAGACCTGCAGGAACGGGCTGGGCAGGGCAGTACCTGAAGACCTGTATGCCCCAGCCAGCCAGGAAGGTGAAGAAGCGCGGAGGCAGGTCCCGGGATGGGTTGATGGCATATCCCGTGTTCATGCCCAGGGACACTCCAATGACGACAACAAGGATGCCGATCACCAGGGCCTGTGTCCCCTGCAGAGCTGGGTTGTTCCTCTTGTCCGTGATGGCAAAGAGACACAGCTGGAGCATCCCAGTCACTAACACCTGGGGAGCAGACGCCGTGGCAGCCACCCCGGGCCCCAAGCTAAGCCACAGGCCCTCAACAGTGCCCCCAGCCCAAACCCGCTGGCAGAGACGCGTCGCAGTATGGTCCCCATCCAGAGTTCTTGTCCTCTCTATCGTGAGGGGCTGCCAGATGGCCCCTTCCTGAGGGGGAAGGGCTTGAGGAGAGCCACCCACCTTGGACCGCTCACCTCGTCCAGGAAGCCCCTCCACAATGTCATGTGATCAGGAAGGTAGGTGGCAAAAATGTTAGCGGTGGCTGTGGGACCGGTCACTGTCAGATATCCACCCGAGTAGTCCATGATGGCTTCTGTGGAGAGAGATTGAGGAGGAACTTGCCCCCAGCTAAATCCCCCACTGGAGTCTCAGAAATAAGGTTGCAGGAGGGGGCGTGGGGGCTCCTCCAAGGCTTTTCCCTCCCAGACATTTTCACAGGGCAAGACCCTCAGGTCAGAGCGAGTCCTTCAGAGGAGGAGGCTGAGACCAGGATACTCACGGTAGAAGAGACAGTAGATGGTGGCAGCAGCCAGGAAGGAACCCATGAACTGACCCAGCACGTACACGGGGAACTTCTTCCAGGACATGCGGCCGAGCGCGCAGTTGGTGAAGGTCAAGGCGGCATTCATGTGGGCCCCTGCGGGGAGCGCGGGGCGGCAGCGGGGTGGGAGCAGGAAGAAACCCTGATCAACCATCTGGAGAGTGACGGCCACCGTCATCACGCCGCTGGCACTGATGGAGGGCCCTGCCCCATTTAATCCTCGCAAGGACCCCACACGGCAGGCATCCCCGTCTCCATCTCACCGTTCAGGAGAGTGGGGGACAGAGAGGCGGAACAGCCTGCCCAAGTTGACCCAGCTAGTAAAAGCGGTGCATCAAGGGGGCTCAGGAAGATTGGGGGCAGAGACGGCCCGAGGGCATGGGTCAGGGTGTCCCCCTCCAGGTGGCCAGCATGGCCGAGGTGCCGGCAGCCAGGGAGGGGAGGGCGGCGGCTGGAGGCAGGCGGGAGGAGCCTGCAGGGACCCCCTCACTCACCGGAGATGTTCCCTGCCACGTGCACGCCCATGGTGACTCCGAAACCAAAGCCCAAGTTGACACCGAGGAAGCTCCCGAATTTATCTCCTACAACCATGTGGGCCACGGAGCCAAGGCCAAACATCTACAAGGTGGGAAGTGGGGCGGGAGGGAGGGATCTGAGGCCTCCTGGCCCCCACCCTGGGCCTCCCGAGTGGCCCTCCCTCGGAGCCCCTCTGCTGCGGGCTCTTCCTCTGGAGACCTCCCTCCTCGGGACCTCTCCACCTGGCCCCACCGAGGCCCCTCTGCCCCGGCCGCTGAGAGCTGGGGGTGCTGGAGGGGTGTCAGGGGCTCTTCTGGATCCCAAGCCCTCCTGAGGCTCAGGGGACGGGGCGCGGCTGGGGTGGACTGAGCCCCTTGGAGCATCTCACACTGCAGCCCAGCCTGAAGGAAGTTTCTGCAGGGGGTCTCCAAAGGTCACTCCTGGACTCTGCCAGGTTCCTCAACCCACACAGCAGCCCTGCAGCTGGTGGGGGTCTCTCTCTCTCTCTCTTGCCCTCAGCACCATTCCTATTGCCCTTTGGTGTCATTCCTAGACTTCTTGCTCTTGCTCACCCCTAACTGCTGCTCTCCTCAGGTGACACCCCCCACCGACTCCCTTCAAAGGGAGATGAGAGGCCTGAAGCTGGGCCCTCACTCCATCTCCTTCCTGCAGCCTCACCACCCCCACCCCCATACCCACCTGCGTGACTGCAGCCTTCCCCTGCTGCTCTGGCTCCCGCACCCAGCCACTCCGCTGCCTTCCTCTTGCCTGTATCTCCCACCCTCCCCTTGACTGGCTCCCACAGACTGGGTCTCTTCCTTCTTAAAAGGAAAGCTCCCTGCCTCAGCACAGCCGTCCTGTCCAGCTGTGGACTCCTAGACGCCCCCTCCCTGTGTCAGTCAGCCTCCGGGAAAGAACCCACTGGCTGGCCCTGATGTCTCTTCCCTCCCTCTCCCTCCTCAGTCAGGCTTCTGCTCCCACGTGTCACAGACACTGAAGCTCTCTCAAGGCCTCCGGCCTCCTGACTTCCCAAGGTCCCTTCGGACATTGTCGTACTGGTCTTTGCTCACTTTGACTCTCTTAACCACCCTGTGCTTCTGGAAGGTCCCTCCTCGTTGGTCTTCCTGGCACCTCTCGCTCCTGGTTTTCCTCTTTGCTCCGCAGCCTCTCCCTTTCTACAGTTTCTTCCCACATTCTTCTTCCTTCATCTGCCTCCTGAACAGATGACCCCAGGGATCCTCCCTGGCCCCTTTCACATCTCACCCCAGTCACTCTCCTGGGTCTTCTCACTGGGTCTACAGCTTCAGTTATGCCTGATGCACTAAAATTCCTAAAACCTCCACCTGGGAGCCCCATCCCTATTTCCAAATACCAGCCGGAAGTCTTGGTTTCCCATAAGCATCTCAGGCTCTGTGTTGAAAGCTCGCCGTCTCTTGGAAAATGTGATACTCATCCTCTGTTCCCCATCCCAGTTGGCCCAGCCGGAAACGTGGGTCTCACAGACGAGAGCCTCCTCTCCCTTTCCCCCCACAGCCAATCAGCTGAGCTGCATTCTCCCCAGCTCTTACCCAGCCTCTTCCCTGCAGCCAGAAGGAAGCCGTGACCTTCCTAACACAAAAATCTAATCGTGTCTGCCCCTTGTTCAAACGTTCACTCTCTCCCCTCCATTTCTAGGATAAAGTCCAAACTCAGTAGGCCACCATTTAAGACCCTTTATAATTTCACCCCTTCTGCCTCTCAGTTTCATATCTGCTCCGGTGTTCTCTGTGTTCAGCAATAGTATTACTACTAAATAATAACTGTTTACTGAGCACTTACTATGTGCTAAGTTCTATCTATCACCTCCTTCAACCCTGACACCACTGATGTATTAAGTACCATTATTCTCCCCACTTGACAGATGGGCAACCCAAGGCTTAGAGAAGTTGACTGGCTTGTCCGAAGTACACAGCTTACACAGAGTAAGCCAGGAGTTGAATCTAGGCAGTCATTATGCCAGACAGCCTCAAACCGAACAAGCACGCTGCTCCCTGCCTGTCTTGCTTTCTCGTGCCTCTGTTTTTGCATATGCTGTTCCCTCTGTCTGGAATACCTGATGCTAGATCCTTAAACATGATGCTCTACTTTAAGGCCACACTCAGATGGCAGCTCCTTTGAAATGTGTCTTGAACCTGTTGTCTCTGAGGGACCTCTAGATGTCTAGGCTGCTGGAAATCAGAGTCCAAGTCTGTGTCATCCAACAGGATGGCCACTAGCCACATGTGGCTAGTCCAAATTGAGATGTGCTGTAACTGTAAAGGACACCCCACATTCCAAGACTTAGGAGGAAAAGGAGACAGTGGAATCTCTTATTAATAACTTTATATTGATCACGTGTTGAACTGGTAATATTTTGGATATATGGGTTAAATACAATAATTATTAAAGTTAATGTCATTTTTTACCTTTTTAATGTGGCTCCTAGAAAATTTTAAATTACATATGTGGCTCAAATTGAATTTCCCTTGGATAGTTCTGTTCTAGAGCTTTTGAAAAAGAGAAGCTGGATACTGTGGACCTCAGGGCTGCAACTGGAGCCATCAAGGAGGATGAAGGCTCCTGGGAGAGGGCGCAGGGTGAGGGAGCAACCGAGGCGGAGCCTGGAGCCGCCCATCAGCCCTCACAGGTGGGCGTTAGAAACCCCAGCTGGGGGCAGCCCCATGGTGCAGCAGTTAAGTTTGCACGTTCCACTTCTTGGAGGCCCAGGGTTCGCTGGTTCGGTTCCTAGGTACGGACATGGCACCGCTTGGCAAAAGCCATGCTGTGGCAGGCATCCCACGTGTAAAGTAGAGGAAGATGGGCATGGATGTTAGCTCAGGGCCAGTCTTCCTCAGCAAAAAGAGGAGGATTGGCAGTAGATAGCTCAGGGCTAATCTTCCTCAAAAAAGGAAAAAGAAACCCCAGCTGGAGGAGGTGTCCAAACGAGAGAAGAGCAAAGAGAGAATGTGCCCTGCACTCCAGGGAGAAGCAGTTTCCCAAGGAGAGTGTGGTCCACATGGTCCCATGCCGCCTCTGGGTCAAGTGCATGAAGGCCTGGAAAACATCCCTTTGGATGTGACAATCCAGCAGCCACTAGTAGCATGGTGAGCACCATATCATCAGGCCTTGGGGACCGGAGCCAGCTCCCAGAGCCTGAGAGGTGAGGAGGTGGTGAGGAAGAGTTGAAGGTACCAGTGTAGACAGACATCTCTTTGAGAAGCTGCCTGAGGAGGAAGGGAGAGTGCATGATGAACGCAAGGGCTCACAGGTGAAGGAGAGATGCTTGTCTTGTGTCATGCTGTTTTGAGTAGAGAGACCTCAGTATGTTCAGGGTGAGAGAGGGAGAGGCTGCAGAGAAAGGATGAGCAAAGGACCTGAGGCGTCTAGACGCTGGGACGGGTGCAGGAGGGGAGGGTCCTGCATGAAGGAGGGGCCCGCCCCAGCCAAGGGGGAGATAGGTAGATGCACAGGTAGGGGAGGCCTGGTGTGAGAGGGACAGGGGTGAGCAGCCAGACATAGGAAGCCCACCTGATGGTTTTCTCTGTCAAGCTGGAGATCAAGCCATTTGCTGATAAAAAGGACAGGCCTAGTACAAAGCAGCTTTAAGGAAGTCTGAGAAAAAGTGCAATAGCCTGGATAGGGGAGGGGAGAGGCCGTTGAGCAGGACCCGCTGGGTCCCTCATGAGCCCCCGGACAGGTGCAAGGGAGCCCAGAGGCGGGCCGGCTTAGGGCCAAGGGTAGGATGAGGCAGGAGAGGACAGAAACAGATGGGACTTGGGGGTGGGAGTGAGGCCAGGACAGGCTGACAGGCTTGGGAGGGTCAGGAGGTACAGGAACTGGGGCAGGCATGGAGGGTGGCCCAGCCCATCCCAGTCTCTCCAGCAGCCCCAAGGCCAGCCCCAGGCACGACACCCCCAGAGGTTGCAGAGTGGAACCGAGTGGAACAGTCCACTTCCCTCATGCTGGCTGCAATAAATGGGGCCCAAGGTCACACTAGCTTTTCTGGCAAAAGCTTCACCCCGATGACTCACTGAGCTGCCTGTGAGCTGAAAAGGCCCCGCTTCTTGGCACAGGCGGACAACTAAGAATAACAACACCACAATGTGCTGTAGGAGCTCCAACCTCACAAAGTGCTGTCGCAAGTGTTACTTCTGTTCAGTCCTCACAGCACATCCACACGGCACGCGTTTCTGCTCCCACCCTTCAGATGGGGAAACTGAGGCCCAGAGAGGGCTCTTGAACTACCCAAAACCTGAGAGTGAGGGGCTTCCCTCAGCTGGGGGAGAGCTAACAAGCCAGGGGGTTAGAAATCCTGCCGTAGTAAGCTAAGGGACAGCATGGAGAGATTAAGGGTGGAGACTGTAATGTTAGATTGGACTGGACTGGACCTAATCTTAACTTAAGATGTGACCTTGGCCTAATGACTTAGTCTCATGCAACCTCAGTGTTCCCATCTGTGAAATGGGGATCATAACAGAACCTCCGTGGCAGGGCTGTCGTGAGGATTGGGGGAGATGCTGCACATAAGGGGCTTAGCATCACAGTGCCTGGTATGCTGTCGGTGCTCAATAATTATCTCAATAAGAGCAAGAGACACACAGACATGGGCAGGCGTCGTTTTATGTGGGCGGTGCCTGCTTTCCCTGAGAGTTCTCAGAGGAGGCCCCCTCCTGCCTCCACGGTTCCAAGGTTTAACAGCCTTCATGGGGCTGGAATGTCTTGTCATAAATGAATTACTTTGCCCTGGATTAAGGCGGGACAGGATCGAGCTTCTGGGCTCCCAGCTCAGTAGCTGAAGCAGGAGGGCGGGTAATGCAGGACAAGGGGAGGCAGAGAGGGGAGATCACTTGTCATAATGACACGAGGCAGCCAACACATGTGTCCTACATGTGTGCTGGGCTCTTGGCCTTCTTCACGCAAGTCTGCCAGTTCGATGTTAGTGTCACCTTTACCCACGACGAAGCGAAAGTTCAGAACAGTTAAGATACTTGTGAAAGATCACACAGCTAGAAGACAGCAGAGCTGGAATTCGAACCCAGCTCCAAGGCCCCACGAAGGCCTGACTCTACGCACGCACTTCATAACTGTGAAGTCAGCCTCTGAGCCACCGAAAGACCCGCCCAAGGCCAGCTGGTGACTCAGTGGCAGCATCAGGAAGGAACCCAGGTGTCCGCAGTCCCCTGGGCTCCGTGGCCCCACCGTCTTCTACACCGTGGCTCAGTGCACACACACCCACACTCACACACACTCACACTCTCACACACACTGTCTTTCTCACCCCCACGTCCTCTGGCGTGCTCCTGACTGCCTTTGCGTCCCTGCCCAGAGGCTGCCCCTTCTTCTCAGGGACCTGGGCCCTCCAGGGGGTGCATGGCTACAGCTTAAGGGCGGAGGCAGGCTGGGCTCAGGGGCAGGACTGAAGCAGGTGGAGAGGGAGGGAGATTCCCAGAAACCGCCCATCCTGCTTGCAGTCTGGTTTCTGTCCGATCAGCCACTAAAAGAGCCCTTGCTGAGGTCCCATGACCTCCGTGTTGCTGACCCGACAGACCCTTGTCAGTGCCCCCTTCTCTGGCCTGTCTGCAGCACCCACTGCTGACCACGCCCTCCTTCTGGAACCCCCCGCTTCTGAGCCGTGGTCTCCCTCCACCTTCTCCCTCACCTCTCCAGCCACTCCTTCTCAGGCCCCTTTGTGTGCTCCTCTTCATTCTTCAGGGCTCTGTCCTCAACTTTGTTTTTCCTCTCTTTTTATACACTCTCACTGCACAGTTTTTATAAGCCCCATCCATATTCTGATCAACTTCAACTCTTTACTTCCAACTACAACCACTCGCTTGAGCTCCAGACCTCTATATCCAACCCACCCCCCAAATTTCTCCCCTGGCGCCTCACCTCATCACATCCAGACTGACCTCACCTCTCGCCCTGTGCCAGGCCCCGGGCTCCAGAATGGCCTCCTCGGCACTTACCCCACGTCTGTTGCTTGCAAAGTCTCCTTGATTCAATCTTCTACAACTCCCCCTAACAAGCACCTTCTTCTCCATCCCTGGGCCAGTCACCACCTTCTCTCTATCCTAGGTCATGGCAACAGCCTCTTAACTGCTCCTACTCCCTCCAGCCCTGCCCATTCTGCTTAGGCTCCACACTGCACCCAGAATTTCCTTCTCAAATCCGAATCTGACCACATCTTTCCCCTGCTTGAAAACCATCAATGTCCCCATTGCCCTTGGGATTAACTCTCAAAGCCCAATGCTCAACCTTCTCTCCAATCTCTCTACTGTTCGTCTCCCTTCTCCCCACTTCCAGCCATGCCGCCTGACACCCCCCTGCCCATGGTTTTGTTCTGCCCCCATGTATTATGAGCCCTTTCTCTCCCAAAAAGACTTGTGAGAAAGACGGCGCTGTCTCCTTACTTTCCCATGCTTCTCCCACGGGCTCCCAGCTCAGAGCCCGGGAGTGCACAATGTAACCCAGGGGGTCATGGTGGGGAGGAGGTCATGGATTGCCTTTAATGAGCCCCACCTTCGTGGGGTTCAGGCCCCTTCTTCAGAGCCCACCCACCCTGTGCCACCCACCCACTCACCATCATGACATACGTGCTCAGGAACTCGGCCAGGAACTCTCGCACCATCTCCTTCTCCAGGATGGCGTGTATCCTTGTTGTCATGGGTGTCGAGATCGTCTTGGACTTGCGGGTGGACCTGGAGCAGCAGCCCAAGGCCGTGGGCAGAAATGACACTCAAGTGCACTTGCTGCCCATCGGCCCTTCCACTCATGGCGGAGTTAATGGATAACCCAGTGGCTTCTCCACACACACCTCCTCTTGCCCAGGGCAGCTGGGGCAGCTGGGATCAGAGACACAGGGACGTGGAGAGAGACTGGGGGTAGACAGCTAGGCCATACCCCTTCCTCCTCCTGGGGGGGACTGGACCAGTGGGAAAGGGGCACCAACAAGGCCATATTGCAGAGGGGGCAGTTGGGGAGCCAATAAGTACCATCCATGGTGCTAATGAGCATCAGAGGAGAAGCAGAGGGAGAGGGCAGGCAGGAAAGAGGATCTCAGTTCTCTGCCTGTCTGTCTGCAGGGACCAGAGCTCTGGGGACACAGACAAGGCATTAGGCAGGACCTGGCCACAGTGAGGGACTCTGCAGACAGCACAGGGTGTGGCAAAGTCTGCTCCCAGCTCTATAAACAGCACTGAGGCCTGAAACATGCACAGGGTTCTGCCAAAGATGAAGCGGGCTACAGAGCACACCAGGCTCTGCAACCAGGTCAACACAGACGATGTTTGTGAGTGCTTGAATGAATGAATGAATGAGTGAATGAATGGGAGAGAGGGAAGGAGGGGCTAGATCTTACTCCCTGGTATATTCTCAGCACCTAGCGCTGTGCCATGCACATAGTAGGTGTGCATATATATTGTCAAATGGACGAAGACAGGAGTATCCACCTGCCTCCCTCTCCACGAGACCCCCAGAACTTCCTACAGTGCCCGGCAGGCGGCAGATGCGCGATGATTGTGTATTTAACAAATGTATTATTGGGTGAACGGACAGATAGAAAACTGAGTTACGGGCTCCATCGTCTGTGGGGGTGTCTGGGGCTTTAGTTTGGGAAGGAGATGGGTGGAGTCTGGACGCCAGAGAGGAGGAGGAGGGGTACGGTACCTCTAAGCGGGGCCTCAGTGCTTGGTCAGGCTAGTGACCCTCACTCTCCTCCCCTGCCCAATGCCCGAAGCCACACCAGCCCTTCAACCACCTCACCTGCCAGGAATTGCAACATGACACCCCCAGGCTTCCTAAATTCCCCTGGCCTCCAGCAGCCAAGAGCAGGCACAGTGGGGAGGAATGGAAACCAGGCATGGGTAAAACACCTCCCATCTTTCTGGCTGAGACCCCATGTTCATACCTCACCCACCCCAGTCCTCGCTCTGTCCTAACCCCGGGAAACAAACCAGAACTGAGTACATGGAGAAGGGTGTAGAGTTGCCTGGGCCATCCACTGGCTCCCGTCCAACTCCAGCTCCCAGGCGGCATCATGTAGGGGTCCCTTGCCCATATGACTGGCCTCCTCAGCCAGGAAGAAGAGCCTGTGAGCAGCCTGAGGCAGGCAGGGACCCAAGAACAGTCGCAGGAAGGTGCCACAGAAGCCGAGGAGAGGCGGACAGAGCAGGAAGACAAGGACACCAAGAAAGTCTGGAACTCTGGCCCCTGCCTCCTCACCACAAGCAGGCAGGACACAGTGAGCAACAAAGAACCACCAACCAGCCACCGAACCGAAGATTTATTGAACGCCTGCCGTGCTACGACCTTCAGGCACAGGGGTGAGTAACATTGGTGTGACCCCTGCTCTTCAGAAGAAAAACAATTAATTAAGCAACTACTATAAAGTGTAAGGAGGGTGCCACAGGTGAAGAGTAGGCACTAGGGGGTTTCAGGGAGGAAGCAAATGACCTAGAGGAGGGGGTAGTAGGCACTCCGAAAGAAAGGGAAATTTAGTTCGAGAATAAAAGGCTGGCCGGATGAAGGAGCATCGGGGAGGCAGGGAAAAATCTGGGCATCGTAATGGCATGGGCAAAGGCTGGCAACTAAGACAGTGTGTGCCGTGCGGAGGAATTCTTCAAGGGTGGACTAGCCAGATGGAGTGGGAGTGGCATGAGGTGGACAGAGAGGGGCACAGGGTCACATGGCAGAAAGCTGCGTGGCGCTCGTTAGGGAGTCTGAACTCAACCCTGATGGCCATGGGGCCACATGGAGAAGTGAAGCAGGGGCACTGTCTCCTCCATGGGGGCTAGGATGAGGAAACAGGACAGAAGTAGGTGAGCAATCCAGAAGCTTCTACCACAGACAGGCTTGGGGGGGGGCGGTGGCGGGTGGCAGCCTGAGCCAGGAAGTGCCATGGAGATGGCTAGAAACAGTCAGACTGACAGATGTGGTGTTTGATTAGAGAGGAGAATGGAGAGGGAGGGTCAGTCGTGGCCCCAGGTTCTGGCCAGAACAGCAGAATGACACGTGAGGCCCAGGAGAGAAGCTGCAGCCGGAGGCAGGCGCGTGAGGAGTCACCGTCTGGTGTGTCGAGTTTGAGAAGCCACCAGACGCCTAGGTGGAGGTGACCAGTAAGGAGACAGCTGGTCGTGTGGGCTCCTTTAGAGATCACATGTGGAGGTCACCGAATCATAGGGGTCACTTGATCCATGGGCACAGATGAGATAGCTCAAGGAGAGGATATAGAATGAGAAAAGAGCATCCAAGAAAACTGGCCTACAAACCAAGGAACCAACAGCCAACCAGCTAATTACCTAAGTAATGTCTGCTAACCAAGGAACTAAATAGCTAACAACTCACCAACCTATCCTTTGGCCAGCTGATCAATCTAGCAACTTAACCAACTAACTCACTCTCCTGTTAACCAGCTCACTTAATTATCCAATCAACCAACCAACTGTAAACTATCCAACTAACCTCAAGCCAACCGTTTAACCTGCTCACTGACATTTATCCATTCAACAAACATTCGTTGAGCATCTACTTAGGAGTCAGGCACCAGGGACACAAGTGAAAACCCAGCCGCCACCCTTGGCTGGCTCCATCTAGTGGGGACATGGATAAGGACAACAGCATCAGAGGCAAGAAGCCCCAGGGTGGGAGGTGAGGCCTGAAGAGACTTCAGAAGAACGGGCACGTGGTGGCCCAAAGTGGCCGTGGGGGGTCGGGTGGTGGTAGAAAGGACAGTGGGATGGGCACATCCTAGATGTTTTAGGAGATTGGTGACTGGATGTGAGGCACGGGGGAGACAGAGGCGTCAAGGCCAAGGTCTTGACTTCTGGCTTGAGCGACGGACAAGAAGGGGAGCCTTGACGGAGCTGAGACCACGGAGGAGCAGCGGGCCGGGGCAGTGGACGTGGCTGCTTTCAGCTGGGACTGAGTTCCCTGTGGGACACCAGTGGGTCTCTGGAAACAGGGTCTAGGGCCCAGGAGAGAGTGCTGGTCTGGAGACGGTGATGCCATCGGCACTGAGGGAGCCGCTCCTTCTCTCTCTAAGAGCGCACAGACGGACAAATGCCCCCTCTCACGTGGAGCTGATGGGCAGCAACGAAACAAAATCAGCGGGCGCGTTTGTGTGTTAGAAGGTAATATGTCCTATGAGGACAGATGGAGCAAGAAGAGGGGCTGGGCTATGCTTTTAAATGGGGCGGTCAGACATGAAGGAGGTGAAGGAGTGGGCCTCGTGGATAACTGCGGGAAGAGCATTTCGGGCAGAGGGAGCAGTGGTCGAAGGACTGAGCATGTTTGAAGGAAAAGAAAGGCAGTCAGGGTGACGAGTCGGGACAGCAGGGTTGGGGGGAGGGGAGGTGAGAGGGGCAATGGGGCCTTGGCCATTGCAAGGATGCTGGCTTTTATTTCACCCCAAAGAGACCTGAGCGGGTGAGAGGGGGTGAGTTCGGTTCAGTTGAGCACTGCCTACGTGGGAGCAGTTGGAACCCACTCACCAACCCCTTCACCCTCATCCAGGTCTTTCGGAGCCTCCCCTCGTGCCAGGGCCCAGCCCGTCCTTGGCTCAGGGGCAGGTGGGAGAGCCCTTCTCCTGGGGCTCCTGGGCTAGTGGGGGTGGGAAGGAGGGGGTCTGCAGGAGTCAGCTGCCATGAGGGAGAGGCTGAGAGTGGGGCAGGGAGGGTGCTGGGCTGCTGGGCGGGGGCAGGAGGCTGGGGTGCAGGATGGTTGGGGTGCTTACCGCCTCCTCCTGTCTGCTTCACTCATATTTTGTCTTCGAGATTTTTAGATGCTGTGGAGCCAGAGAGAGGTCACTAGGGCTGAGGGACACAGAACTTGGCCCCACATTCTCATCAGACAGGGACAGCTCCTGCCAGCTCCAACCCCTCCATCCAGCCAAGCTGGCCGGGAGGGAGGAGGGGTGGATATGCTTCAGCCAATGGAGAGAGGCCCTGGGGCCCCACCCCCTGTACCCGTGCTGGCCTCAGGACCCCTAACCCCTGCACCAGGCCCTTCAGGGGTCCTCCTTCCCTTCCCAAGTCTGCAATCCAATCAACCTCAGTGGTTTCACCCTCACATATGCAAGTATTACTGCCTTTAGTCTAACCTCAAGCCCTCTTTTTTTTTTTTTTTAAAGATTTTATTTTTTTCCTTTTTCTCTCCCAAAGCCCCCCAGTACATAGTTGTATATTTTTAGTTGTGGGTCCTTCTAGTTGTGGCATGTGGGACGCCACCTCAGCGTGGTTTGACGAGCAGTGCCGTGTCCGCGCCCAGGATTCAAACCAACAAAACACTGGGCCGCCTGCAGCAGAGCGCGCGAACTTAACCACTCGGCCACGGGGCCGGCCCGGCCCCCAACCTCAAGCCCTCTTGTTGCTGACTTAAACCATGACTTTCCAGAGCCTCTTCCTTGCATGCGCATCCACGCACACACACACGCACACACACTCAGAGGATGAGGTCCTAAAAATTCATTTAGTCCACACCTCAGAACAAAGTCTACCCTCTCACCTTCCCTCAAAATTCCCCCTTATATTCCCACTCTCCTCACAAATGACAGTATGAAGCTAACCCTTGAGTTTCCCAGTCCTGTAAGTCCCCCTTGTTCTCTGGCCTGAGTCCCTCTAGCTGCAGCATAATTCACATCCCCAGCCCTGACTGTGGGAACCCTCCAGCCCCAGCCCCTCAGGAGGGGACTCCAGCAAGCCAGCCATCAGTTCATCTCTGCTCTGCATCCCTCTGCCTTGGTCCAGTGTCTCTGGTCTCTACTCTCTCCTCATCCCACCGCCACACTCTGCTGACAGCCCAACCCAACGCATCCTCCCAGTTTCTGCTCCAGTGCTGGTCCTCCCAACATCAATCTACAGATAAGGAAACTGAAGCCCAGAGAGAGTGTGACATGCCCACAACTTGGGACTAAACCAGAACAGACATCCTGGCCTTCAACTCCCAGCTGGGGCTCCTTCCCTAGACAGTCCCATGGTCACCTCCTCCCCCCATACAGGCCCCAGGGAGTGGCACTCCCAGGCCTGGGCCGCAGGGGAGGTCCCCTGTCCCGGCCCTGCCTGGAGCTGACTCACTCTGCTAAAGTGCCTTCTGGTTCCCAGCGTCTGCCTCGGGGGCCTCTCAGTTACTGCCGATCTTGGTCCTGTTCCTCCATGACTGTCCCAGGCTCCAACTACACTCCCAGCTAGGGCTCCACTGCCCCTGTGTCCTTGGTCTAGAGCCCTCCTCTCAGCCTCCTCGGGGCAGTCCACGCGCTACTCTGCTCTGCTCCTCTGCAGAGAGGTCAGTGGGGCAGGGGTTTGGCCTGGACTATTTGAGCCAAGACCAGACACATGGCCCAAAATAGCATCCCTGCTCCGGCCAGCGGCGCCACGGAGACCGGGTTCTGAGGCAGCTCTTGTGAGGTCAGTGCTGGAGCTCCAGGCGGGCGCCCTGGGCCTCATGGTCCCAGAGGAAGGGCCTCTCCTCCAAGCCAGGTGTCCAGCCCAGAACCAGAGGAAGCCCTCCCAGGGCCCCAGACCCAAGGGAGTGGGTAGAACTGCCCAGAATGGGGACTGGAGGTGACAAAGTTCTGGAGAGCAACAGCCAGGTGGAGGGGTCAAGGAGCAGGCCCTGAGTCAGTCCTCAGGGAGCCCCCATGCTGAAGGAGGAAGCGGAGACTCAGGCCCTGGGCGCAGGGCCCCCCAGTCTGAGAGGGGAGGTGGAGAGCCAAGCTTGGCCCTCTGTGGGTCCCTAGTCTGGAGGGGGTGCCAGAGAAGAAGCCTGGACCTTGTCCTCTGGGAACCTCATCTGAGCTGAGGAAGGGGACACCAAGGCCCTGCCCTCAGGAAAACGTTCTTCCTTGGGAATGAACGGCAAGCGAGGCCTCTGTGAAGGAGCCAAAGCTGGACCAGAGGGGGGACTCTGGCCCAGGGCTTCGGGAGCTCAGTGACCGAGCTGAGGTCAGGGGCAAGTGGGGGCACCAGCTGCCCTCTGAGAGGACTTCTGGAGTCAGGGCATGGCTGGGCCACCAAAGATGGGGCAGTTTGGGATTTGAGCAGGCGACCTCGCGCTGAGACACAAGGGAGTGAGGGGTTGCTGGTCTGCAGACTAAGGAGGCCTACCAGGTGGAGTGGTGGAAGGTGGCCTCGAGTCCAGGGAGCAGGGGCGGCTCCTCGTTGTGGGGAGGCAGGATCAGCTTTGATTGCCCAAAGCCAGCTCTGGTAACAGAACTGTCCTCTAGAGGGTGCCAACAGACCAGGCCAGGTCTGGATCCTGAGTTGCCCAAGTGCCCACCCCCATTGTCCTGAGGTCACTCAGCAGGAGAGGCAGGGGCAGCTGCAGCAGAGGGTTTCCCCATCAGAAGCCTTCCATAAGGAAGGAACTCTCCCACGGCAGCCCCCCGGGCTGCGGCTCTGCCCCTCTCTCCTCTCCGCAGACTGGAAGGGCTCAGGAAGCTGCGCCCTTCCCTCAGAAAGGGGGAGGTACACCTCTGGACATGGGGGACCCTGCCATTATTCCCTTCCTGGGTGAGCTGTTGGGGTCAGGGGGAGGTAAGTGTCGAGAGTGGAGTGAGGTCTTGTATGAGGTCAGAGCGCGGGCAGAGTTGGGTTGGGCTGGGATCAGCCTCGTGAGGGAGGGAACTGGGATCCGTGTTGGGGTCAGGGACCAAGCCCTGAGCTCATTGACTGCGCTGGGTGCTGGGGAACCAGAGGTGGAGAAGACACAGTGCCCTCTGTCTCGTGGAAGAGACAGCTGAAAGGCAGGTGACTTAGGAAATATGCAGTAAGGTGGAGGGAATACAGGCAGCAGCTAAGCCAGCCTGGAGGGAGAAAAGAATCATCCAGCAGAGATAAGATGGGAGCTGAGTCCTCCAAGGTGAGTGGGAGAGGGTGGGGTGGTGGTGGTGATTTGAAGCCATTTGATCCCAATGGGATGGTGAGAAAATCTAAGTTATTCTGGGATCTGTGGGTGGCTTGTAGAGAGCTGGAGAAGCAGGCAGGGGCAGACCATGAGGGCCTTTGTCTGCCAAGACGAGGAGTCAGACTTTCTCCCGAGGGCCTCAGGAGCCCTCAAAGCGTTCTAAGCAAAGAGAAGAGTAAAGTAGGCAATCTGGGGTCCCGGAGGCCCCAGAGCGTCCTGCAGGCAGGGGCATAATGGGGCCTGGGCTCGGGAGAGGGGTCCAGCTGGAGAAGAAGATACTAGCACCTGGGCATCCACCATGGGCATCGACGGGATTGCCAGGAGGCACGAGGGAGTGGGGCAAGGGGTAGGGGCAGGATTCTGGGGCACAAGAGGGTGACTGAGAAGGAGCAGGTGGAGAGGAGATGGAAACCAGACACTAGGCTGCAGGGGCCCATCGGGAGCTCGGAGGGGCTGTGGCCGCAGAGTTGGGTGCGGAGGAGGGGCCAGCCTTGAAGAGCTGGGAGGGAGGGTGGCCACAGCACTGAAGCAGTGGAGGCCGAGGAGGCAGACAGTTCCGCTGTGGAGAGAAGAGAGGCAGCTAGCAGGGTCGCAAGGTTGCGTGTTTGGGTCAGAGTTGGGTCTAGACAGAGCCTGGGGGCCTCTCCAGGGCCAATGGGGATGGGGGCGCAGAGAGGGGACACCTGGGGTCCTGTCTTCACTGCGTGGGCTCTGAGTAGAGCTACTAGATAAAATGCAAGACTCTCAGTTAAATTTGAATTTCAGAGAAACAATATTCACAATATTTTAGACATACTTATACTAAAAAATTATCCATCGTTCTCCGAAGCTCAAATTTAACCGGGTGTTCCAGCTCTGAGCTGCAGCCAAGACCCCCTCAGATGCTCTGCACACTGACCTGGGTTGAGTGCTAGCTCAGCATCAAATTCACTGCACGACCTTGACTCGGTCTTGCCCCTGGGCCTCTGTTTCCTCGTCCTCATCCGCGAGACGACCTTGGACGATATGAGGTCTCCCACTCAGCTGCTTTTGGCATCCAGACAGGGCCCGGGAGATGCCTTGTGAAGGCAGCAGCAGACCCTTAAGTCAAAAACGAATTTGGTTGAAATGATAAGTCAGTTGAAAAGGAATTGGTAATATGAGTGTGCTACAGAGCAATTTTTGCAAACGTTGATGTATCTTTAGGCATTTAGACCCTCTTTCAGAAATTGTTCAGTTTTCTTATTCTAATTTTGCCTGCAATATGCCATTTTTGCTAGAGAAAGATGGGAAATAACCCAGCGCTCGTCAGCCTCTGTTTCTCACTTGCAGCACTAAAAATCTTACCTGCGAACTGGTGAGTGGGGACATTAACATGCAACCTAACCGAATATATAAATATCATGAACACATAGCCAAACAAGGCAGGCAGATGTAATTGTCTATCATTGCAGTGGACATTTTTTTTTAATAGAAAAAAAATTAAAAACCTCAGATCCTGGGGCCGACCCAGTGGCATAGCAGTTAAGTTTGCATGTTCCACTTCGGTGGCCTGGGGTTCACCGGTTCGGATCCCGGTGGACATGGCACCGCTTGGCAAGCCATGCTGTGGTAGGCGTCCCACATATAAAGTGGAGGAAGATGGGCACGGATGTCAGCTCAGGGCCAGTCTTCCTCAGCAAAAAGAGAAGGATTGGTGGCAGATGTTGTTAGCTCAGGGCTAATCTTCCTCAAAAATAAATAAATAAATAAATAAATCTCAGATCCTTTTCTTTTATTCTTTCATTACCTAAAATACAAGCAAACCTTAAAAGACCCATTTTCCCTCCTTGACAACTACCGCTAACATTTGGAAGGGTTCTTTCTAATCTTATTTCTTTGTGTATAGTCATATACATCTCCTCCCGACTTTCTCAACAATAAGTGGAATGAAACTTATTTAAAGTTTTATAAAGTACTTTTTTCACCCAAACATTTGTTGAGAACATCTTTCTATGCCAATAGGTTCACCTCTACATCCTGTATGCGGCTGTACAGCCCCAGACTGTCTCCGATTTTAAACAGACTCTTCTCCATTACGAACAGCATGGAACAGACACAATTGGCTGAAACCCGCTCAGGAGTAAAAATACAAATAGAAGTTTTTAAAGATCAGGATGAAGAAAGAAAAATGCCCTAAGATGTTACAACTTCTCTCAATTTTCCCCCAGATGCCCCCCAAAGTGTTAATGTGTAAATAACTAATCATTTCAGCTAATTATTTATTTCAACCAACCAATTTATGTCAACTGTTTGATTAACTTATCACATAAACTGCTTTCAATCAAATTGTTTCACACTTGGGGTCTTTCAGACCGTTTTGAGTCCTGGAATCCTTTGTATAACTCAGGAGTCCGTGGGGTCAATCTGTAAGAAAGGAGCACAAGGGAGGAGTGGCTGTGGCGAAGGGGCAGAGACGGGGGTGGAGCAGGGCAGTCCCTGGAGGAACCCCGGCCTCTCTGAAATGGCCTGAAACCATGAAGATTCTCAGACTGCTCAAGAAAGAAAAGACCCTCAAGCGTCACGCAGGTGAGTGTCCCCTTCCCAACTCATTTTGCAGGTAGGGAAGCTGAGATTCAGAGCAAGGCAGCAACTTGCTCAAGATCACCCAGCACATCCAGGTCAGGTCTCCATCCTGGGCCCCAGGAGACCAGAGTCCCCCAGCTAAGAGAACTGGGGGCTGGGCGGCCAGGCTGGGGAGGGGTGGGGTCACAGGCAGGCTCCAGGATGGTCTTTAACCGGTCACTCTCCAATGACCAGACCCCCTGCCCCCAGCCCAGCCTCTCACCTTCCTCAGAGTCCTCTGTGGGCCCCCAGGCAGAGTGGACAGAGACTGGGGCAGACACAGTCAGGAGGCACAACACTTGCCCAAAGGCAAACATCGTGTCAGTCAAGGAACCAGAATTCAAGCCCAGGCCTGCTCGATTCTACAGCCCACATCAGGCTGCCTAATTTGGCACGAGAAACCAGGCATACAGCTCAGACCTGTCACTTTCTAGTTTGAGCGGGAGCTATCAGAGAAGGCTTCTTGGAGGAGGGGCAGTCCCATTGACAGAAGCTGAGAGATGACACTGAGGGAATTTGCACTTGTGAGAAGCATTTATGTCTTTGTATATGAATACGTGTATGTGGGAATGGGCAGGTGTGTGTGTGCACGTGCGTCTCTGTGTCCGGCCCTGCTTGTGAAAACCTCTCTGTGGGTGCTCATACATACACACTGACACACACACACATGAGTCATGTGCACATGAGCATGCGCCCATTCCTCTGGGTTAATATTTTCCTGCCTGCGTCAGCACGGTCCCAGTCAGCCGGCAGCTCACTGCAGGAACGTGCCCTATCTGATCCGGTCAGGGACTGTGGGCCCAGAACGGGGGCTGGGGGTGGGCAGGGAGCCCGTCTCAGCTCCCCAGGGCAGGCTACTCTCTCTCCACTCGCCTGCTCAAGCTGAGCAAGGAGGCAGGCCCAGAGGCCCCAGCTCCTGACACACCTCCCGCTTCCCTCATCTTTGCCCAAATCCTGAGGCCTCTCCACCCACAGATGTTCCACTGAGGACAAACAGGGAGTAGAGACTCTGAGGAAGGGCTCCCAGGGTGTCCCCCTTCAGCAGGAAAGCAGCTTTGAAAGGACCGGGCTAGCCTGTAGGAAGGAGGCATTTGATTCCCAGCTTTCCAGGAACACAGCGATCGTACTAGGGGCCCGTGCAGAGTGCTGTGTAGGCCGGGACCGCGGCCCAGGCACCCGCGGGCATGGAGCCTCAGCCGGGAAGGCTTGGTGCAACACAGAGACCCCCAGCAGGTTGGGGTCTTCCTGGTTCCCGGGCCTCTCCCAGTGTTGACGGAGGGTCCTCCCATGCCCGCACCAGTCGCTGGGGTGCAGGCTGGGCCAGACTGGGCTGGGCGGGCAGAGACAGTCTCTTTGGCTCTGAGCACAGCCCAAGGCCTAGGGTGAGTCAAACCCAGGTGTCCTGGCTCCTAGCCCAGCTTGAGGATACACGAGTGCATCTCTGTATGGGAGAGACAAGGATGGAGCATGGAGGGAGGATGACGGCCCCAGTGGGTTGTTCCCCACGGGCACAGACTTTGCGACTTCTCGCCTCCCTCGTGCTCCATCCCTGGGCAGCCTCCTCCCCACCCTATGGCCACATACTGATTTTTATAGCCCTTTGTGGGCCCCTTCCTCCATTAAAAAAAATTAAATAAAAATCATATTTTACGACTGTGTTGGTATAAAGACGAATACATTTAATGTTGCATATTAAAAAAATTTCTTCAACTTACAAGTTCATTTTTTTCTTATTTTAAAACAAAACATTTTTTGTGGGCCCTTAAGGGCTCTGTGCCTGCCGTGTCCAATGGAGAAGTCAGCCCTGCATGTCCCATGTCCTCTCCCACCACACAAATGCCCCAGTCCCACGCCAGCCCACACCTCACCCACTGCTCCAGAGCAGATGACCCACCGTCCTTCTCTTGTTCTGTCTCTTATACATGTAATGGACACGTCTACACCTGCCCCAACCCAGCCTCGTCTACACTTCCCCCAAATCTGTCCACTTTCCGGGGGCTCACCTCGAGGAACGCCCCGCACTGCCACATCTCTGGAGCGCCCCTCTTTGGCAGCCCCCTGAGGTCCTCTTCATACCCCCATCCCTGCTGCTCCGGCCCCACTTCTGCCCTTTCTCCAGACCCCAAATCTGTCCCATCTCTAGGAGTTTTATCTCGGGTCTCCTAGTCGGCAACCTGTCTCATTCATTCTCCACTGCAACATTCCTAACCCCTAAGTTGTGGGGTCTGCCCCCTGCTTGAAGTCCCCTGAACCTCCCTTGCTGACGCACAGGAAAGGTGCAGGCCTTGCCGCCTGGCAGTCCCCAGCACGCTGAGCTGCCCCCGAGCCTTCCCTCCCACCTCAGGCTGAGCGTGCCAGTTCCTCCTAGCTTCCATGGCACCTGTCGGTAGCTCTTCCGACCCTTGAGACAAGGTTTCTTGTCTGCCTGCTCACCAAGGTTATCCAAACAAGCCCCTCATCCTACCACTCGGGATCCCCAGAACATGGGCACTGGACTGACATCGGTTGAGAGAACATGCGAACAAATCACTGATCGGAGGAGGTGGTTGACATTGTGATCGATGGAATCACAGGGAGGGAATGAGGACATGTGGGTGAATGAATTTAGAAGAGTCAGTGAGGGTTGCGGGAGAGACCCAAGACAGACTACAGCTTGCTCAGCTCTGGGTGATGGTCTGGGTGCCTCCATTGCCTGTCCCAGGAGGGCATCAGAGCTGATCTCACCATCTGTGCCCCTTGCCGGCTCGGCTGGCTGAGGATGGGTCCAGACGCTGCTGACTGGGGGCACGAGCTCAGTTCTCATCTTCCTGCCCCACTGTAACAGGGCCATGGTCCCTCCTCCACCCATGACTCTCAGCCCTCCTGTTGATGTCCCTCATCCCCAAGACTGGGCATCTTAGGCCAGGTTTGCCAGGACAGAGGGCAGGAAGACTTGACTGGCCACAGAGAGAGTGAATGGAGTTGGAAGTGGTGCCGCCTGTGCCAGGGTAGTCTAACCCAGAGGGCCTCGCCTTCGTCTTAGGGACAACACATTATGCTTCAGTCCCAAACAAAGCTTCCCACCAGCTACGTGGACGCCAGAGGAGCTGGGACAGTGCGAGTGGAGTGGGCAGAGATGAGTTCCCAGCGGTCAGATGAGCTCAGGAGATGCCCAACCCCAATACCTGGAGACAGGCTACATATCCCTTTAGAGAGTTTTAAAATGAAACTTTCAAGCATGTACAAAAGCAGAATATGAACCCTCATATAATCATCACCCAACAAAATCATCAAACTTTTGGCACTTTAGTTTCATTGGTGTTTTTTAATTTTTTATGAGGTATTTTAAAACAAACTCCAGCCATTATGTCATTTTGCCGCTCCTGCATTCTTCGGTATTCAGCTCGAAAATATATGAACATTTTCTTACATAATCAACACCATGACTAACAAAATGAACAGTTCCACGAAACTGTCAAGTGCCCACAATTGCATCCAAATGTCTTAATTTGTTGGTTGGTTTGAGTCAGGATCCAAACGAGGTCACACGATACATTGGGTTAAATGCTGTCTTACACAGGGGCACGTCCTCCTTCTGCCTCTTGTTCATGTCACTGACTTGAGTAAATGTGGTTCTATAGGGCATCCATGTTCTGGACTTGGGTTTGCTTCCCTGTGGTGTCATTTAAGTTGCCGTCCATCCCCTTTATTTCTTAGAATATATAGGAAGTCAGTTCTAATGTTGTGATTTTACTCAGGTTCTGTTTGCTCGAGAGGGGGAACCTCTGTGGACGGTGCTGTGAGCTTCCGGTTCATCCCGTCCGGAGGCCCATAATGTCTGGTGGCCCCACACTTAGTGACGCTGACCAGTGGGTTCAGAGGGTGGCATCCTCATCCCTCCCTTGTCAAGTTCCCCATCTGCCATCCACTTTCTGGTTTCATCCTCTGATCGCTACCTAAATCAATTTCAAAATCCTTCCACACTAAAGCATTTTAAAGGAGAAGCTCTGAGCAGCAGTTTCTTTCTTTTTTTTTTTGAAGAGTAACCCTGAGCTAACTATTGCCAATCCTCCTCTTTTTGCTGAGGAAGACTGGCCCTGAGCTAACATCCATGCCCATCTTCCTCTACTTTATATGTGGGACGCCTACCGCAGCATGGCTTTTGCCAAGCGGTGCCATGTCCGCACCCAGGATCCGAACCAGTGAACCCTGGGCCTCCGAGAAGCGGAACGTGCGAACTTACCCGCACCTCACCGGGCCGGCCCTGAGCAGCAGTTTCTTAACCCACAGGAAAGCAAGGTCTAATAATGGCGGCGTCTCAGGTTCTGAGTTAATCAGAGCAATGAGGGGAGTCAGGATCAGCGAGGCTGCATGAGAAGGATGAAACAGGAGGTGGTGGCAGAAAGGAGCAGCGGAAAACCTGGGGACCTCCTGGCAGGCTGAGTGTGGGGCTGGTTTGGGGTTTGGCTATTCAGGGAGTGCTCCCCCATCCAGGAGGTGAGCTGTGGTTCATAGCTCCGGCCTTACAGCCAGGCAGACCCGAGCTTGAATCCCATTCAGCTTCTTAACTGGTGCTGGGTGACTTCGAGCAAGCTATTTAATTGGGTGCCTTTGTCTGGACCATGGAGATCCTAAGCCTTACCTCTCAGGGTTGTTGGGAGGATAGATGGAATTGGTGCGGCGGGTGGCACATGCCCGGTGGAGAGTAAACACTGTGTGGTGGAGAGGATGCCTGTTTGAGGAAAGGGACCCTGC